CCTGTATATTGAGTTTCAACAATTCAAGATGTCATACAGTTTTTTATTTATACAGTTTCAACTACCCAGACCTAAACATTTTTCAATATTTCTGTCGGATGTTGATCACCATGCATGATGCCATGTCTAACTGTAAGTTTGAACAAAGCTCGTGTACTTTTAACACAGACCTTAAAGCTTTATCCTTCAATTAGTATAACAAACCTATGCATGTAGCCACATCGCAGTTTCATAATCCAGAAAAATTCACTCACTGAAAGTCATTTATATGACAATCTACATGTAGATCTATAAACCTAATTTTTTGTGAAGCTATTAAAAGAAAAAAGAACCCTATCATCCTGTTTTTGTTTTGTGAAACTGAGAATTCATTTTGACAAATTAAGAAAAAGAAGGGACCAACTTTCAAATAAGAATGGGACCATTGCTGTAACAGACTTTTACCCTTTCACCACTGTAGACCATAATGGACTCATCCAGATCAAAGTATGGTAGAGTCTACTAAAGTTTTATAGGGGTGAAAGGGTTTAAAGAGTATGGTAAATCTCTGTTAAGTATATCACAACAGTATCCTTATCAAACCGGTCCATAAACTCATTCACCCATGAAATTTCATAATGAACTATTCCAACCATTGAATTGGAAGAGTTCAAATGTGTCTTCAGGGGGGTGAATGAGTTAATATGGATAAGTATAAAGCAGCCAGCTGGATGAGGGAAGCAACCAGACAAAAGGAATAAAATGTATAACTGCTCCACAGAATGAGAGGAGTTAAGAATCCACAAGTATAGACACGTTACCGGTGACAACGGTGACTTTTTTTGGATACGACGGAGAGGCAACTGATTCATAAAACAGAAAACATTCATAAACCAAAAATCAAGCTAAAAAAGCATCATACTGATCAAATAGATTACAGAGCATCACAAACTAAAAGAAACGTCTATCGTTTATAAATACATGTACAATGTCTGTACTGTATAAATATACCAGCTCTGATACCCTAGTATTAGGAGCAATACAGTACAAGTATATGAGAGAGAGTTACCATATTCAAACTAAAAAGTTACCCATTCGTTATAAGAGCTCCCTTCCTCTTTTTCTGATCCAAACGTTTGGAAATGTCTGATGTATGATGGTTATTTTTTGAAGAATTTTTGGAAGGATTTTGTTTAGAGCTTCTGATGATTCAGCATTCAAACTTTTCCGAATTGTTAATTGACCTGCCCAGGGTGCTTATTAGGTTTGAATACGGTATATATACATACATGTATACAAATGTAAATACATTTCTGGCTTATACACTTAAATACTGATTTGTTTAATCCTACGTATACTGACGATATATAATAAACAATACTGCAATATTCACATCATATATATATGTCTATATCAATAGAATACAAAGTTAAATGGTTGTACTGTCAACCAGCTGGTTTCGGGAATTTTTACTGGCGATGCAAGCTAGATCTTTCAAGAATAAATTAGAAATGAATTTCATGGAGTATTTAGTTAGGAGCGTAACTTTACTAGCATTTTTAAAGAAAATCATGACAGTAGCCTGTTACATTGATAATTTGATACAACTCAGTCGGAAGTCTTAACCGCTTCACCCCTAGCTAGCCTGTAGACCATAATGGACTCATCCATATCAATGCATGGTAGAGTCTTCTACTAAATTTACATAGGTGTGAAAGGGTTAAGAGTATCATATTAAAGATTTAAAAGTGGTAAGTTAAAATCATATTAGGTAGCGATATAGATGAATGTACAGTTATTTGATAGTCATATTATAATAGGGAGCTGAATAATACATAGGGGGGCATACAGATTTGACTTTACAAAAAAGTGTTGGATATAGGTTGGAAAGTTGAAATAAAGGCATAATTTCAATCAATTCTGAAGCATCTGGTTATAATGTTGAATGCACTTATACCAGGGTGTGTTGTAATTCAATGTTGCCTATATCTCGAGCAAAGAAAATAATATTATTTCCTTGGTAATACATGCTTATATAGAAATGTTTATGCAATATCTGCATTGTAATTATATAATAAAAGTAAGGAAAAACATTATTTCCTTAAGGAATATCGTTCAAATTCTTGCAAGAATTCAAATGATTATATCTCAGTTAAGATTTTAAGGCTGGCATGCTTCACGACCGGAATAATCTCAAGTAGCAGTATAATATGATAAATATGTTGAAAGTCCAGATATACCATGGTCTACCATACCTAGGTAGGGTCAGTGTTTACATGTGTTGGTAAGTCATCCTCGTATTATATCTACATCATATGCCAGTGTCCAACAATGTAGGTCCGTAAAATGCAGACAGTGAGCATTTACTTTATATTTTACCATATTTATCCTGCAATAAGCCCATGGGACCAACACATAATCTTTAACTTAAAGTAGAGGGTGGGCTTATTACAGGACAATTAATCAATAGTTGTTGGCATTTCCACTGAACTGCAAAAGATATGGGTGGGCTTATTACAGGACAATGAAAAAACTTTTAATTGAGATTTCTACTGAACTGCAATAGATATGGATGGGCTTATTACAGAACAATGAAAAAACATTTAATTGAGATTTCTACTGAACTGCAATAGATATGGATGGGCTTATAACAGGACAATCAAATAGCACTTTATTGAGATTTCTACTGAACTGCAATAGATATGGATGGTTTTATTACCAGAAAAGTTCATATGCCAATCTTATGCAGAAATGGAAGAAGCATGTGCATCATGAATCTAAGATTTGGGGCAGGAAGGCTTGTGAATGCTTATTACGTTATACACAACATATAAAACACAACATACAGAAACGTTAGGCTGCGAAATAAATTAACATGTTTTTTCACAAAGTGTAATCGAAAACAGCTTTAACGTGACAAGACAACATAAAATGCCATGCAGCTTACTAATGCAACAGTCCAAAGATAAGGAAATAGGCCAGAAGTGAGGAGAGATAGTTGTCTACACACACCACACGCACACGGTCATTTCGGAAATCAAAATGTCACAAAATGTGAGAGGAGGTTGATTGCAATTAATTAATTAATTAATTCTTTAGAATCTTAGGGTTACAACATGTATGTGGAAGTAGAGATTCGGCTCGGCAAGTTGTAGGTCTCAGGGAAACACGTACGTACACACCACTGGTCTATAGCAGTGATGATATGATACACTATATTATAGATGTGAAATGATAATGGTCATTTAGTATGAGATATAAAATGATGATCATACAAGTGATGAATGGTTATGATGACAGTGTATATATACAGCCTTAGGAAGCTAGAATATCTACTTTCATTTTAGATATGGTTTACTTTCATTTCAGTTTTATGTTTTGTATCTACTTTCATTTTGTGCTATTTTATGAAAAAATACCTTACTTCAACTAATATAAGTGACACAAAATTACATAAAATGTGACCACTCAACTTTAACAAATAAGTAATGTTAGTTTCATTGACTTTGAAAGGAAATAACATGCAGCAATTTTTTTAACTGAATTTCTTTTAATTAACCTTATAGTCATATCCCATGCATCAATGATAATTTTGATGTTTACAAATATTTGCAAGAAAATAAAATCAATAAATGCATTTTTCAATTAAAAGACTGTGGGGTAAAATTATTAGTATATGATTAACAAATATTGTCACAACAATTAGTTACATTAGATTATTAATGGTATATAATAATGTACAGCTACATGTACAGTTTCTGTGCAGCAGGTGTACCATACATGTGTACCTGTTATGTGAGTACACAGTGTTACCTGGGTTATAAACAGAATGTAAATAATGCAAACTAACAAAGTTGCCATGAATTTACATATTTTGTCATAAGATTTTTATACAAATATTTTTATTTTAAATATATTATTTGACTACATAAAAGATTTAAAGATTGATGAAGTATGTATTGTAAGAGTAGTGTCATTTCTTTATCCAGCGCCTTCTACTTCTTCCTGTTATTTCACCCTGTCCAGTGTTTTAGCATTAATCCAATATTACCTCATGTAGCCTTGTGTCAGTTCATTTATCACGTAAATATAAAACAAATTCAGTCCTGCAGTCATCCAATCAGTCCAGTGTCCACGCTATGCTGTGAGACCTAACAGGTCCTATATATATCTAATAGACATAGTTGATTCAGTGTTAGTTAATTCAGTGTTGCCTTGTCTATACTGTGTCCTGTCGTTTGTCCCTATATCATTTAATATAAACAGTTCTGTCATTTTGTTGGTCTATTTCGTCTAGAGTCACATTTTTAGTCTAGCTTAATATTTTAAGGTACTTTTATTGAGTTACCTGTAGCATGAATGTAAAAAAAATGCAATTTTCCAAAAACCCTTATGGAATAAAAAAAATATTTTCAGAAAGAAATCCCACATGCATTTTACAAAACAGATTCTGAAACTTGGGTTTCTGTCATATAGTGATGATGAGTTATGATTTGGGTTATGTTAGATGATCTTGAAACACCAAACTGTAGTAACATGGGATACATGTTGTCACATGCGTGTAAGCACCATATATGACCCACACATCTAACTGAGCTGACTATGGGTAGAAATACTTTCCGTAGAACACAAGCCAAAGAGACCCACTACTGTTCAGAACCTAATCCTTACTTCCACATCAACAGACACATATATAGGTATTAGAAAATAAAAGTTTGGTGTTGTACCAACATCTATACAACGAAATCCATACGTGTGAGGCATATATTTAGGTCACAAAATCAATATGATCTAGCTATGACAACCAGTGATGTCACTCAGATCTCAAGTTCAATTTTTCTTCAGAAATTTTCTGAGAACTTTGAAAAATTTACAGAAACAATGTGATCTAATGATGACAACCAATGATGTCATACAGATCATAATTAAATTTTCAAAGATTTTTTTTGAGAATTTTGATAAAGAAGCATCAGTAAAGCTGCATGTACCTGGTTACTCAAGGACGTCACTCCGAGTCTTACCCGACTTCGTGACACACTGGACGCAGAGGAACTGATGGAGCTGACTGACTCCTGACTCCCGCTCCGTTCCCGTGACAACCGTAGACTAGTGTTCATCAGAGAACGTGCTTGAGGGCTCGGAGTGGTGCTTCCTGTACCTACTCCGGGCCCAGACCCTGATGTGAGGCGTGCAACTTTGTGTAATGGAGCAAACAGCCCATACATGGGGCGGCAATCAAAATATCTGTGAACACAAAAACAGATTTTCATATGGTAGTAAATAGAAAAAATATAGGATTCTATCTCGCAAATCTGCAAAGACATTTAAGCAATATATATACATGTATACCCTTTTGGATTATAGCTTATTTTCTATGGTACAAAGTATTTGTAGACTTCATCTAAATATTTCTCAAATATTCATTTGGAGTAATATAAACATCTCTTAATTATTGTTCACTTCACTATAACTCAGTTGTAGAATAAGTCATTTAATGCACAACTGTGAAAAAACTAAATAAATGTAGTCAAAAAAAATAATTATCTGTTGAGTTCACAATATATATTTGATATATTAATACATCTTACCTTTTCCCTGCTACAGCACCATCATTTTTACCCTGCTTTTCATCGAGATCTACACCAGCCCAGTCTCCCTTAGCAAAATCTGTTAGCCCTACGTATCTGAGAGTGCCCATCTTAGTCCCACTGACCAATACGCGGTCACCTATCTTCAACACCGCTTTACTTCCCCCAGCAGAGACGGGTTTTCCTCCGAGTGACATCACAGGTGCCTTGGACAGACTGGTTGCTGAACCTAACGGCCCTCTACTTGGTGTTAATCCTAATTTTGGCGTTGTGGGCCTCATATGAGAACCGTTTGGTGTTGCTTTCACAGAATGTCCCGATTCGGACATGTTTTCGTCTGGCTTTGGAGTTGTAGACAGCATCAGATTCGGTGTCCGTGATAGTTTTGAGATTCGCGCAAACACACCCCGTTTGGGTTCACATTGAAAGTATCGGATACCCTGAACTGACCCATCATTTTTCCCTTCAAACTTGTCCAGCACAATTCCTGCCCATTCACCGGCTGCAAACTGGGTTTCCCCCAGGAAGGCAATGAATCCTGGTTTGTTGCCGGACACCCAGATCCTGTCCCCAATGATGAAGTCATCAGCAGGAGGAGGGGGGTTAGGCAGCTCAGGGCCTACAACCAACCAATTACCAGGTAAGCTCTAAAATCCACATATAGTTATAGTGATTGGAATCCCCAACCTATCATACTTCTTGTAAATAACAACCACTATATGATATTACATTAAATCAAAATCCACTAGTAGACAACATATTATTAAGTCAACTTACCTTTGTATCTCTACAACATAATGTAATTTTTATCCTTTACAACTTTCATAAAATATAATAACCTGGAGTTGGTGATACGTCTGTGGTACGTTACAACAAGAAACCACTATACACACAAATGTTCCTTAAAGTAACAGATGTTTTAAAGTGAATTTTAGCTTCTTCCACACTTCAAAGCCTTTCCTGTAAATGTATGCCTTTTAAAGTTATAAACAGGGTCCTAATAGTACCAGCATGTAACATGTTTGTGACATATATCTAAGAGTATGGCAGTTTTTGTTTTGTATCTAAATGCTAACAAATCATCAATATAGTTATGAATGGTTACGATGAAAACAAAATTATTTAGATTTTTTTTAAAAAATTTACAAAAATAGTTACGAAGCTGTACCCTGCTATTTTTCCTTGTATGGTCATGAATACCCTTCTTTTATACAATGTTGAGTCTCTTGGGCCAATGATCCTTTACACAAAATTAGGAGGTACAAGGTTAAAATCTATCCTAATCATCTTCTTTCTTTAGCCAATGTATCATAATATAGCACTTTGAAATAAGTGTGATTCATGCTTAAGTAAGAATACCTCTTCTAGAATAAAGATGCTATCACAAACCTTGGTCCGACAAATACCAGTGACCAATCTACAATTTTTTTTCATGGGTCCTTTTCAACTGTATTGCCTTAAACAATGGGTCACATTATGTTAAATTTAAGTATTTCCAGGAATTCTACAAGTAGGATGTGGGTGGTCACAACATTGCATAGTTATATAAAAATGTTTCATTCCATGTCAAATCACAAAAATGTGTCTGTGCAGTTGCTAGAGTAAACGTTTATCACAGCATCAATGAAAAAATCATACAAGTCTGTAACTGCATGCGAAGAAAAATTAACAGTACACACAATGGGTTACAGGAACTAGGGACTGAAGCACTAGCAGACACAACTAGCAGAGTCAACAAGATTTAATCATATTTATATCATTCAATCATAATTATCAGCCTCATTGACATGATTTCTTGTATTTTTACTCAATATTAAGGTAAATATTACCGATTAATAATTTTACCATAAAAGATGTCCTCCTTAAAAACTTAGAAATATTGGTAGGTACATGTGTACATTGTGTATGTGGAAAAAAATAACTGGGATATACAGATCATTTATAATATATCTTAGTTTGTTATCAGCATGCATCAACTTTTGATAAACACGTTTGAACAACATTTGTCTGCAATGAATTCTAATACATTTCAAAGTGTTCTATTAGTTTATAAATATAAGAACACTGTCACATAGGACTACCTCTCAGTAAATTATATAACATGTACTGTCTACCACTATTGGTGACAGGGTTACCTTTCAGTATATTATGTAGTGTGTACCACTATTGGTGACATGGTTACCTTTCAGTATATTATGTACTGTGTACTACTATTGGTGTCAGGATTACCTTTCAGTATATTATGTACTGTGTACCACTATTGGTGACAGGGTTACCTTTCAGTATATTATGTACTGCATACTACTATTGGTGACAGGGTTACCTTTCAGTATATTATGTACTGCATACTACTATTGGTGACGGGGTTACCTTTCAGTATATTATGTATTGTGTACCACTATTGGTGACAGGGGTACCTTTCAGTGTATTATGTACTGTGTAACACTATTGGGGACAGGGTTACCTTTCAGTATAGTATGTAGTGTGTACCACTTTTGGTGACAGGGTTACCTTTCAGTATCTTATGTACTGTGTACCACTATTTGTGACAGGGTTACCTTTCAGTATAGTATGTAGTGTGTACCACTATTGGTGACATGGTTACCTTTCAGTATATGATATATTGTGTACCACTATTGGTGACAGGGTTACTTTTCAGTATAGTATGTACTGTGTACCACTTTTGGTGACAGGGTTACCTTTCAGTATATTATATATTGTGTACCACTATTGGTGACAGGGTGACCTTTCAGTATATTATGTACTGCATACTACTATTGGTGACGGGGTTACCTTTCAGTATATTATGTATTGTGTACCACTATTGGTGACAGGGGTACCTTTCAGTGTATTATGTACTGTGTACCACTATTTGTGACAGGGTTACCTTTCAGTATATGATATATTGTGTACCACTATTGGTGACAGGGGTACCTTTCAGTGTATTATGTACTGTGTACCACTATTGGTGACATGGTTACCTTTCAGTATATGATATATTGTGTTCCACTAGTGGTGACAGGGTTACCTTTGAGGTTATGTATGTGTACTGTGTACCACTATTTGTGACAGGGTTACCTTTCAGTATATGATATATTGTGTTCCACTAGTGGTGACAGGGTTACCTTTGAGGTTATGTATGTGTACTGTGTACCACTATTTGTGACAGGGTTTCCTTTCAGTATATTATGTACTGTGTACCACTATTGGGGACAGGGTTACCTTTCAGTATATTATTTACCTTTCAGTATATTATGTAGTGTGGACCACTATTGGTGACAGGGTTACCGTTCAGTATATTATGTACTGTGTACAACTATTGGTCACAGGGTTACCTTTCAGTATATTGTGTACTGTGTACTACTATTGGTGTCAGGATTTCCTTTCAGTATATTATGTACTGTGAACCACTATTGGTGACAGGGTTACCGTTCAGTATATTATGTACTGTGTACCACTATTGGTTACAGGGTTACCTTTCAGTATATTGTGTACTGTGTACTACTATTGGTGACGGGGTTACCTTTCAGTATATTATGTATTGTGTACCACTATTGGTGACAGGGTTTCCTTTCAGTATATTATGTACTGTGTACCACTATTTGTGACAGGGTTTCCTTTCAGTATATTATGTACTGTGTACCAATATTTGTGACAGGGTTACCTTTCAGTATAGTATGTAGTGTGTACCACTTTTGGTGACAGGGTTACCTTTCAGTCTATTATGTACTGTGTACCACTATTGGGGACAGGGTTACCTTTCAGTATAGTATGTAGTGTGTACCACTTTTGGTGACAGGGTTACCTTTCAGAATATTATGTACTGTGTACTACTATTAGTGACAGGGTTACCTTTCAGTATCTTATGTACTGTGTACCTCTATTTGTGACAGGGTTACCTTTCAGTATCTTATGTACTGTGTACCTCTATTTGTGACAGGGTTACCTTTCAGTATATGATATATTGTGTACCACTATTGGTGACAGGTTTACCTTTCAGTATATTATGTACTGTGTACCACTATTGGTGACAGGGTTACCTTTGAGGTTATGTATGACGTCAGCAGCATACTTTTCTGCGTTTCCGGCACTGATACCTGCAGCGCGAGCACTCTTAGCAATTGCACCTGCATTAATCAAAATCAAGCAACACACATACAGCAGAGGTTAGACACAGTTAGAAAACACTACTGCAAACCAATTCTGGCAATGTCACACTCATTTTCTGCAATAAAATAGTAAAAATTAAAGAGGAAACTTTAGCAGTTGATACAAAGAATCTTATCTACTCAAGATACATGTGGAACATTAAAACTTTTTTTTTTTTTTTTATAATTAGTTTCAAGAATTCAAAAATAGATAGAGGGTGCATTTCCAGTCCTAGTTAAAAGATAACAGACAACTCTGACACATAGAGTCATCATATCCTCAGGATCATAATTGCTCTATTTACTTAATTGTACATTTGAAGAACCCAAGAATCAGTGCATATATATACCTATTTGAAAGTCCACATGAACATTCCTGGACTTTTCAATCTTGTTAAGTTTTGAAATGCAGAAATGAACTTTGACCTTGACAGAATTTGAATAGTTCAGCAGAGATCGGTGATGGAAGGTTATTGACAAAAAGATGGAAATCAAAGAAACAGTGATAACCACAATAGTTTCCATGCACGGCTTCAATCAAGAAATATTTGACCAAATGCAAAACATAACACATCCTATCATGTGTGTATTTTATCTTCAATTGACCAATCACCAATGGTGATAAAAGTTGTTTTTCTACCCTCTTTTTTGAGTCTCTTGCGATTTAGGCAGTTTCTATTCCCCAATTTTGTAAAATATTTCCATTAAATACAAAATAAAATGCAAAATACACAAAAGCAATGATTTTCTCTTAGACAGGGCTCCTGTCTTAGTCCCATTACCAAAACAGCACTGCACTAAAAAAAACTTCATATTGACGGGTCATTTCATTATATATTATTTCATCAGTTACACATATACATATACAACGACATCATATCGCACCACCAATCCAAACATCGTAATTCAGTGATTGATCTATAAATATAACCACAAGGCAATCACAATGACGACACTGCCTATAATATCAATTTCTAACTGTTCAAACACAGTCATATTAAGTACTGTTATTTTTATTACAGGACAGCCATGTAACACAACAATCAAATCTACCATGCAATTATAATTATTGGAAATCTTTAACCATACTCAAATGTATTTATGTTTGTGGGTTAATTTGTTTTTCATATCACTCCAGGAAATTCATATCATCTTGATTACTATACAAGTACACTAAACAATATAATACCAGGTAAAGACCTTACTAGTAGACCTTGTCGTCCTATTTTATTTTGCACCATATTAGTGTATATTATGTCAATTTTTACTCTTTTTGCTATATTAGCATGTATGTTCATTGCACTTGAAGTGCTTTAACCCTCCTATTATATAGCAACACCTGTGGGATATGCAGGTGTTCACTATTATCTCATTACATCATTTTTAGTATAGTACTTTAAATTTAGTGCCTGTGATATCTATTTATATGCTGCTATGTTATTGTATGTTTTACTCGCTGATTATGTGCTAGCTAGCTTTCTGTGATAGTGTATGGCTTGTTTGTTGTTTTCTGTTTGCTTTTTATCCTGTTTGTCGCAAAAATAGCGCTACAGCGCTAATGTTTCTCTGTTTGATATATGAGATGCTAAATAAAGTTTCTTGTATAGATTTTAAACTGTGATAATGACTTACTATATTATTTCAAGGTAAACAATAAAAATCATTACTATTTTGTATGCAACAGGTTATTTATAACAGGTAAATTTTCAAGATAAAACATAGAAATATGCCGCCAGACAAGTTTCATAGATTTCCCTACAAGTGCCTCAAAGGGTGTGTTACAGGTACATAGGGGGGTCACTTGGTGCAAGTTTGGTGCTAAATTTTGCCATGTATATGTGGCGAGCTTTACACATTGGTGGTGTCAGTCATTATGCATTCCTATCAATCATTGAAATTACAAAAATAACTCTCATCTATGAATATTAAATACATTTCATTTTCATGATGATGACTGTATCAGGCACCATATTACAGACTCTCTAAATATATATTTACCAGACATAATACCAGCTAGAGATTAACGAAAAGTTGTAAAAGTTTTTTTCCATGTTAACACAGGTTTGTCAAGGTTTGTCATATGTTGTGTACATGTTAATAAGGATTCCATTATTTCTGATGTGATGTCAACACATGAAACGACAAAATCAATTAATACCTCTGTTCACCTTATGTATATCATTACATTGTATCACTCAAAAAAACCCCAGGAAATTTGAGTAACTTTTTGAAACACATGGGTGTAAACCAGTTCCAACATGTTAAAATTTACTAAAAGACAGATCTTGTCAAAATCAACGAATTACATTTCCTTAAAAATCTCAATTATCATTTCCTTAAAATCTCAATTATCATTTAAATATAATAATTACTAAATAGGAGATAGAAATAATCTCATTGTGTTTCAATAAATAATTATTTTGTTTAGCTTTTTATTACTAAAACTATGCATATAATATATGAAATATTTGACATCAGTTATTTCAATACCAGATTGTATTTGGTGAGCACAACATAGGGTTTAAACACAAATCACACTGTGGATACAAACATAGGAAGAACAGGCAAATCAACCAACAGAGGAAAGAAAGACAGAAGCAGGGTGGAGCAAGCTTACTTTGCACTTTTTGCACAGAACCAGGCAATGGAATGCTTGTACCTGATGGGCGTGGGGTCGGCACACTCAAGGGTTTGCCGATCTTAGAGGGCGCTTTTAGCCCTGACGGTCGAGGTAAACTCATCTACAAAACAAAACATTCTCTTTTATTATCTGATGTCAGATTTTTTCCTGAAAATATGTAACTTTATTGACAAAGTCATAAATATATTGCAATAAAATTAAAAACCTTATTGAAACTTAACTTAATTGATCATATACCTGAATGATTAAAGATATCAAATACTTTGAGAAATGAGCGAATCAAAGGCTGATCATGATAAAACAAATATTGTGAGGAATGAGAACAAAGTTCTTTTTTTATTCTTTTAATCAAGTGTATCACAGAAGGATCTAAACCAACACATTTTGATAGATTTCTAAGTAGGGCAATTCAACACTATTCTTATTTCAAAATCCAGTGTCACATACATTGTGTAAATCTTGGAAAACTTTTAACAATCTTTTTGGAACTACTATTTTAGAAAATAGTTTTTTGCTGGATAGCCTTTGCTATGTTCCCCATTTACCTACATGAATATGAGAAAATTAAACGGACAATCCTGATATTTTTGTATCATAGTATTGAGCATAAAGGTACAGTAGCATGCATGGAGAATTATAATCAAGGCTAAAAAATAAAGACAATAGGTTACTGCAGGTATATATAATATAGATAAACATTGAAGATACTGAAGATAAAATAATGAACTTGTAAGTTACTTCATTCTGGGCAAGAAAAAAATTGAACAATTTAACTTACTCAATAAACTTTGAATATATATTAATGAACAATTTAATTTGCAACATGATGTTTCTTGAATGCAAAATATTACTGGTCTCAAGTGCTTTAAATACATGTTCAAGTACTTCTTATGTGCATCATATTGTCAACAAATTATGAAGTGAAAATCAATGTTTGCATCTTGTGTCCTTATTCAAATACAATATCATATATTCGCTGAATATTAAATATCACACAATTACCTTTTTCAGCTTTCTTTGTTATTCCATTATATTAAAACATCACCACTTCACAGATGTTGGACAGAAATTAGCAAGAATCTTTCTTGTAGCTGGCAGCTATGACCTGGTAAACTAAATCATCAGCAGGCCCAAATCTTCCCGTGTATATGCACTTGGAAATCTCTTGATGTTTTTGTCTATATCCAACGCAATGGTAGAAAAGTCTCCTACTCCAGTGGCTTCTATAGTTTAAACCATTATTCTGTCGAAAACAAATGTTCATTTTGTAAATTATACACATGCTCATGATATGAAATATCTATTAAGTTTCAACTTCATCTAATAATTATCATGTTTGCAATGTATTTAATATTTAATGTTGCTCGCTCCATTATAAATGGAGAAATAATTATTTACATTAGAATATATACCAAATATGTTTATTTAAGGCCACCAAGTAGAGAACCAACAATTTTTTAATTATATTTAAAAAAAAAAAAAAAAACTTTTTTGTATTATATATATATATATGATTAGGCAAGACCAAAACAAAAACGGTTTCCTGTAACATATTGGACAAAGTTAGGGTAGGTAGGTAGGTAGGTAGGTAACAAGTTTTATTTGTAAAGATAATTTTATGTAGTTTACATAGAGTTATCTTGATTTTAACCATGCTTCTTTGAAAATTGCCTTAAAAAGTTTAGGTAAGACACAAAAAATTAGGGTAGGTAGGGTTACCGGAAACACTAAATATTTGTTTAAGGAAGGCAGAGATATCATAGTCAGCATTGCAGCAAAAGGAAGTAACTTTGATTAAGTTATCTCCTTTTAAAATATTAATTTGTCAATTTTAGCTATAAACTTCAATTACAAAGATGTGTGACACACATTCTTACTTTACAACTGCAGCTTCCACCGTAGTAAAATATGAGATTATGGTGATATCTGGTATTACATGTTGCTTGAAGATATTAACGAATGCTATGTATTGCCAGTTCAACAAGTATTGATCATATATATTCTGATGTACATATATCAAAACATTTCATCAATTATGTCATATTGCCAAATTTTAAAATAACACTTTATTGCTGTGTATTACAAATATAATATATACACTTATGATTATCAAAGTGTCAACATTCTTGACTGACATATGTTTTATGCGACATCAGTTGAATTCATAATACAATAATAAATAGAAAATACAACAAACATTCAGAAGACATATTGCCTATCAAGTCATTTATCCAGTTAAAATATTTAATGGTTGATCAAGTCCTGAACTTAAATACATATATATATATAATGCATTAAAAAATTAAAAAATATAGTGAATTAAAATGAATTAATATGTAATTATGTATATATATATATATATATATATACACACATACAAGTATAAATACATGTAAAATTCTGAGAAATGTTTCACCACATTTCAATGATTTAAGGACATTTTTTGGCCAGTCTTGAACTTCATTTTCAAAATATTGATTAGTCTGTATTCCCATTGAGGGTGGATGGGTTCTCAAAATGCAGATGAGTATACTGTATATAGAATGCAGGGGCCAGGACTCAAGCTTTTCATATAGGTCGACTCATCTGCATTTTTTTCAGTGTTACTTATGACCGATGAAAAATAAAAATGCATGCTGCAGGTATATATATGCACGTGTATATATAGTTGTATGCATTTCAACAGGATTTGGTTTGGTTTAGAGGAAAAAAAGAGACAAAACATTAATGGATCATATGTTATACCATTCTCATTATTCTGCATTATTTTAATGCATTTTTAATGTAGAATATCTTGAGTGGAAAATGAAGAGTGCTGCATATATATATATTATAAATTTGCCAAAACACTCAAATATATTGATCAATTATTCAATATATATATAAATGATATATATTGATCAATAAATTTGAGTGTTTTGACATATTTATAAAAACACTCAAATATATTGATCAATATATATATATATATATATTATCAATGATCAATGTATTTCAGTATTTTGACAAAATTAGAATGCATGACATTACTTGATGTACATGTTTATTTATAACATGCAGGAATAGCACATGTTCATCTCAGGACGAAGGAAACAAAAAGACCCAGACAGCAGACAGATGAATCACTCAATACCGTTTCAGAGTAATTAAAGCATAAGAGACGAACATAAGAAAAGCTGGAAGTCAAGTATATGTGAGTGACTAATGACGCTGTAGTGGTAACAGCTCCTGTGTTGTTGTGTTATGGACTGTCATGAGCAGAAGAGATGCACACAGGCAGACACAACTTCTTATGGCCTAAATTTAGTTTGACTCATCCAGAACACATGTACTACTACTTTACAAATGAACGTGTGAAAAAATATTTATTTTTTAGGGCAGAGCTTCCTATACAGCTAACATCTGTTGTGGGGTCAATTAACAAACAGAGCAGGAGACTGTTTCTCAATGAATGGCACGCTTTCTGCGGAAGCATCAACTACTGTTAGTCGTGTTAGCCTGAGGCACCTAAAGGGAAATTCAGGATGATGGGTAAACATGACAGCTCTATGGGACGATACTGCGGACATGTGTAATGTACAAGTGTGGACACTGTTAAGTGACATCGTTGTAAATTCACAAATAATGACATTATGTCCGACAGGAATGTTAGGACGACAGGTTCAGGTTGACGTCACAACTGTCACTTCAGTGTTCGCATTTATTTACTTTCCCCAACAGTGTAACGAAGTGTATAGAAATAACGTACTGAAATCAAACCTGTCCAAATTTTCACGAAAAATGCCATCTACTTAAAATCAACAGCCTAACTAAATACTCTGATGTTAAATTTTAACGTTACAAGATTACTCATTGACCTCTCTCGAACTCCGACGGGACCGTTTCCTCATCCGACCTCACATCTGCGAAAGTTTTTCGCTGTCTCGTTACTTTTAAAGCACAGATGACTTTTGGACTATATTTTAAAGGTTAAGCAGATTTTCATGTTTTCATTTGCACAGTATATAGGCGTTCAATTTACTCACCTAGTTACGTGGCGCTTGATCGTACCTTTACCCTGCTACCAAATTTATACCACAAATCATGGCTGCAAGAGATGAGGTCCCACATTGCGCATGCGCCGTAAATGAGTTCCGGTGTAAACAAAAAAAATCCCCGAGGCCTCCAGTAGCCTAGCTGTAGATATCTATATATAGATTAATTAATACGTAATTTCTAACCGAGTATATGATAAAACTTTATTTAGAATTCTTCTGTTTCTTTGTCGACATTTTTTGTTAATGAGTCAATCGACAGAAAAAACATTAATGTCACCAGTGTTGATGACTCAGCTGTGAAAGCGTTTAATGTAGAGCTCTACTATACAGTAGATCTGTTGCTGCAGTAACTGGCCATGGGCCTCAGGGCCTTCTTCTTCTTCTTTAGGGTGCCTTTAGGGTGTGATCACAGAATAATGATACTGTAATATAAATGGCAAATTGTTATTAAGCGATTTTCCTTAAGAATTATGAAAAAAGCTAGATGTTTAACATTGAAAAAATATATCGGTGTCATACTCATAGACAATAAATTATCATCTGATAAACATATAATGATATATCTGAAAAAGTAAATAGAGCCACGGAATTAGATAAGTCCGTGATAGAGCTAATTCCATTATGGGAGTTCTACGAAGAACAATGGAATATATGAACTTGGAGAGTTTAAGGATGCTTTAGACATCTTTAGTTAAACCACACATTGAATACGCGTAGCATCTTTCATGTTGATGTCCTTACAGACACAGTTTCAAAACATATTTTTTTGCCATATTTTATTGTTATTACTTATATCAGACTTGATAGACTTATATAACACGTCTCTGCTTATATTGGACATGGGTGTAGAAATTAATCCAGGTCCATCAGTAAATGAATTATCTATATTTGAATGTTAGAAGTATAAGGAATGAATAAGAATATATTGAAAATATTACAAATGAATTCAATATTTTATGTATGACTGAAACGCATTTGGATGAGTATGTATAATACCTACTTCTGAACTAGTTCTACCGGGTTTTGTGGAACCATTTAGAAAAGACTGAAAATTCTCCGGTGGTGGTATTTTAGTATATTATTCTGTTTCTTTAAGATGTGTCCGGAGGAATTATCTCGAATTTCTAGATGGAAAAATAATTTGGATACAGGTAGAATTGGGTCACAATAGTGTATTAATTCACGTCACCCTTTTGGGAGAATTTTAAGTATCGATTGAAAAAGCTTTAGAAATTACTTCGAATGTTATTATTGTTGGTGATATAAATGTAGATATGCTACATGTAACGTTATCACGTAATCATATTTTACACCAAGTCATGTTGGAAATCGACTTAACTATATAATGTTATGAATGGGCCGACTAGGCGTGGAATAACTAGAAATAGTTTACTTGATCCTATTTTATTAACTGATCTTACCAAATGTACTGATTCGTATGTAATTCCGATTGATCGTAATATAAGTGATCATGATGCATGTATTGTATTTTTGTTTATACCTGTTAATCTCTATTGTACCTACAGTCGAGAAGTTTGGGCCTATAAACATGCTGATTTTAATAGTTTATTTTTTTTGAGAATAATTTCTCCTTGATCATTCTTTATTTTACGAAAAGCAATCTGTTTTTATGATTCATCATTCCACTGTCCATCAGTTAATAGAAATTTACCATAATATGTGTTGTATAGGTTACACAAATGCTGGTGTACCACAAGGAAGTGTGTTAGGTCCTCTGTTGTTTTTTATATATATTAATGATATTGTTGATAATTTAAATAGTATTTCGCGCTTTTTTGCTGATGATACCTCTTTGATGTTTTATGGAGTTAAGGCGTTTTGTGGCTCTCTTCGATGTCCTCCTTACGTACAAGGAAAATTCATGTCTTGTGTTGTTTGAATAAACGACGTTGTTTATAGTCAGGATTTCAATAAAATACAGCTTGAGTCTTATGTGGTCTCGGTTTGTAAGAGTGTCATGATGACCCTATTTCAATGTAAACATGCGATCAGAACACGACAGGATGGTATTGTAGTGAGACATGATAACCTACTTCAATACTCGTCATTCCGCCTTTTCATGATGCATTATTACATCACGTTTAAATAGTGTAGGCGTAATAGCCAGCCAGCCAGTTAGACAACGCTAATCGTAAAACATCTCATACGTAATCCAATACATTAATGGTAGATTTTGTTTATCTCTGTCCCTTCTTACACAAAAAGATGACACACATAGTCATCTGTAACGCTTTGAATTATTCGAGACCTCTGTCAGTATTATATCAGCAAGAGACCTAAAGGGTCTGCATCGCTCACCTGGTATTCATTTAATGCGTGTAACCCTAAAACTATATTTCAAAAGGCTAATTAAAGCTACAAACGTTTAGGTATCGAGAAGAAGCCCTTTAAATGTAGAGATATTTGACTCATGTAACTCTGAAACTTGGTCAATGTCATTCATTTGAACAAAACTTTTAGCCCTTCACACCAGCATGCTAATGGCCAAATATAAACCCATAGGCCTCTGGTTTATTAAAAAGTTGTTTAAAATAAAAAAAAGTTGACAATGAAAGGACTACGTACGTACGGACGATGATGGATCCTACACCACGGTACATGTATGTATTAGTTCACTTGGCCCTTTGGATCAGGTGAGCTAAACTTAACATTCCAGATATACTATATGACATGTAAGCTTTGACTGATATACTTCTAATCACAATATCTGTCTATTCTTTGTACTTTATTTGATGCACACTTCTTTATTAACATCTTATCTGTGTTGTCAAAAGTCATAGTGTTATCTATTTATTATAGCATGTTTATTGTCGAAGAGGTCTTAAATAAGTTGTAAAACTTTACGATTCTTAGGCAACATGTTTTACGATAATATATACCGCAATAATACTTTCTGTACCTTTTTTTTCTAACAAACTCTTTTGAAAATGAAAATATACAATTAAAACCCAATCACTTTGTTTCAGATTCTACTTTGCATTGTAGGGGAAATAATGAACAAATTAAAGGTATCAATTTTCAGTAAAATAAAAATGAAATACTATCTGCGAGATCATTTTATCATGTTCTTGTACATTCGTCAGCAGAGTGGATAATGTATGCAAGAATATCACGAATATTAATTTAGACACAAATGAAATGTGGAAATTCAAACCTTCGTGAATATGTCGTCGGAACAACAAACGCGAAAATGCATATTCGCGGGAAAAAGTAATTGTTCTAACAGTATCTTGCTTATCTATAGTAAATTTGTTACGTGGGAGAGTGTTCTGTTAAATCGCTGGTTAAAATTGACATTGTGTCAGTTACTGAATGATAACCTCTAACGTTTTATTCATGTATTGTCGACACCATTTTATAAGCTATAAGGAATCAGTATAGACGTAAAATGCTGTTTAACTATGTCCGAGTCAGTTTGTTGGTAATATTTTTACATATGGTGACAGTGAATGCTAGTTGTAATGAAGACTCTACCAAGAGGATTCTCCTGAGTGACCCAGACTACAACAACTAATAACCCACCTCCAGGGAAAGCTGCAGACCCTCCAGACCACGGTACAGACACAAACTGGTGAACTACAGACCCTCCAGACCACGATACAGACACAAAATAGTGAACTACAGTCCCTCCTGACCACGTTACAGACACAAAATAGTGAACTACAAACCTTCCAGACCACGGAACAGACACAAACTGGTGAACTACAGACCCTCCAGACCACGGTATAGACACAAAATAGTGAACTACAAACCCTCCAGACCACGGAACAGACACAAAATGGTGAACTACAGACCCTCCAGACCACGGTACAGACCCAAACTGGTGAACTACAGACCCTCCAGACCACGGTACAGACACAAAATATTGAACTACAAACCCTCCAGACCACGGTACAGACACAAAATGGTGAACTACAGACCCTCCAGACCACGGTACAGACCCAAACTGGTGAACTACAGACCCTCCAGACCACGATACAGACACAAAATAGTGAACTACAAACCCTCCAGAGCACGGAACAGACACAAACTGGTGAACTACAGACCCTCCAGACCACGATACAGACACAAAATAGTGAACTACAAACCCTCCAGACCACGGTACAGACACAGACTAGTGAACTACAGACACAGTCTGCAGAACTACAGTCCTTAAAAACCAAGGAACTGACAGAAAATGGTGAACTACAAACCATGAAAACCATGAAACTGACACAGACTGGAGAAATGTCTTCACTCAAACAACAACTTTCACAGGCAAACAATGGTAGACTAGACTACTGTAATTATTAAAGTCCAACTTTTATTTGCTTATCTAACCGTATATTTGTCATTTAGTCCTGATCTACACCATCCGTTGGTTTGTTTTATAATTAGTTATATAAGTTATAATAGATTTATTTTTTACATTATTATAATACATTATACGTGCTTTTCCTTTTTAAAATATCGTTTATTTGCTCAAGCTTCACTCGTAACTAAGGCCCAGAGAATAAACATGCATGATTTTTATATTTCGTTCTAATTCCACTTGATACAGAGGCTCGGAGTCAGAATGGTAAAAACACCTCCATAATACAGCAATTGTCTCAAGGTAAATATGCCACTATTTAATTGTTTACATACCATATAAGCTCAATATGGTGTATGCTTGCATTTCCTTTAATAATCAAACCATCGTTCAATAGGCCACGAAAGCTTGTAGTTATAGAGAAATTTTGAATAGGTTAGACGAGCGATAACTCTGTGTATGATGTGTGAAAATTTGGTGGAACGTTAGAACATTTTATCTTCACGAGGCCGACAGCTCCAAATCAGTGGCGGACGATCATGGCTGATTGATCATCGTAAAAAGCACCAATTGTGAAATTTTCGAGATTTTGAAAAAACAAAAATCTTAAAATCACAATCAAAAACAAGTTTATAACCTTGACTATTTAATATTTTGATAAAATACCAAAATGAAAAAAGTCATGAAAAGATGTATTTTTTTTGTTGTTATTTAAACAATCGTAAACAATAGAAAAATCCAAAGCCATTTCAGTTTTTTGAGTTTTAAAAGTTTAGTCAAAAGTACAAAAAAATCCTATAAATTGAGACGAATTTTAATTATCAAATCTTATTCCAACTCCTGAATACGGCGATAGTTAGATTATATTCCATATAGAATTAATTTAAAGAATGCAAATACAATTAAACAGATTGAATTGTGTTTTTGTAATTGGTACAGGAACGCAAACTCCTCCCTAATATGTTAATGTGATTCACTCAATATGTAACGCCGAAAAAGAAGCTATTTGCTTTCATATAATTAAGATAATTGCAGAAATTCTGTTTAGTACGGAAAACATAGTACAAAAATGTCACTTGTCAAGATCTGCTTTGATATTCCTCATATCTCAATCCATGGCAATTTAGCAAGAGTTGCTTGCATATCTCTCTCATCCTAGTATACACTACTGTTATCCGAAAGTGATCTACATTCTACCTTAGTCAGCATAACTAAATCTCAGAACACAAAATCAGTCATTTTAAATCCATGTATTATCTTACAAATTAACGTTTTACATAGGTAAAATGTATCTGAATCGTGTCGACCGTATTTGATATTTGATAGGGTACCTCCAATTATTTTCAATGAAACACGCTTGATGGAAATAATGATGCAATGTGGATATGATGTTTTTGAAAGAGTTTTTGTAGTTTCGTTTCAATACATTGAAAGTGTTCACCTTTTTTGCAGCATTATCATGAAATTAGGGTTTTATACACTTGTTCGCTGGCACTCGTTTATGTAATGCTATTTGATTAACCTTCAAGAAATCGAATTCGCTTGTTCTGATATGACCAGTGATCAGTGATGGTGGTACATAGATTCAATATAAAACTCAAAACATAATTTCCCCTTTGTGATATAGTTGGTGGCGGATCCACGTTTGTCCGCTGGGGAAGGACCGACTGTCCTGCCAATCTGACGGAACTCGTGCATTCTGGTAGGTTTGTTGCTACAACTCTTTTTTCCAATCTATTTTTTTCACATGTTTCGGTTTTTCTAAATTCCTTTTAAAAATATGGAAACATTTTATGTCATTTGATAAACTTATAAAGCTGCATGATGAATTAAATCACGGCTGTGTGATATCGCATTTAAAGCATCATCGTCCATCTAATAAATTTTCCGTTAAAAAGCTACTAGTCCAGAACGACAGAGTAATGATTTGACAACAGTTTGTCTAGAGAATTATTGGGCCAAGGAACTTAGCGTTTATTATTAAATGAAGAGTGTTTTCCCTTCCCCCGTTAATTATTTTGATTAACCAATCAAATGCCATGTTACATCTCAAATGAATTAGAATAAGTCATACATGTATAAGTTATATTAAATTAATTTTCACATTATCAATATATATGAAACTTGCTTTTTCTTTTCAAAGTATGGTTTATTTGTTTATGCTTCACCTGTAATGACGGCGTAATGATTTGACTAACGTTTATCTGGAGAATGATAAGGCAAAGGATCTTAACGATTTAATTTAAATTAAGAGTATGCGCCCTTTCCCCCATAGACAGAAGGGCCGACCAAACAAGATGGGATATTGGTAAATATTTCTTGAAAATACAAGACTGAGTACACTTTATTTAAGTAAGCTTCATACAAATTTATTTTTAAATACCTTAACCCAAATGAACGGGTTTGATATAGGATTCTACTTAAGCATAAGGATGTGCAACCAAATTTGGTTAAAATCGATTGAAAAGGACATAGTATTGGTACGAATGGTGTATCAAATATTGGAAATAGATTATTAATGTACGTGTGTAAATGCCTCCAAGTAAATGTTACCTAGAGCATGATGGAAAGAGATCAAATGGTTTAGGCCCCCTTCCCCGACAAAAAGGGTGAAATGATCAATGTGAAAAAATACTAATTCTTAAGAATGAGTAAACTGAATTTGGTATGATTTATCACTTGGTCAAACGGACTGAATTATGTTTAAACAAAAGTTGACCCCTAATAACTCCCACCCCAATCGATCCCTTTCAAGGCTATGGGGTGGGATCAATAGGATAGAGAGAGTTGAATAAGGATGAAGGGATAGATAACCCAATTTGGTTAGAGTAAATTTCGGCCAAGGGGACACATCATTGTTAAAATAAAAGTCATAGCTGCGCTGTAAGCAAAATGACGCGGTCCAATAGTGGTAAGACTCAAAATTTTGCCTTTACTCAGATTGCACTTATTGTACCCTTTTGACATACATTATAAATGTATTTAGCGCATTTTAAAATAATGATTAAAAGACAAAATGAACTACTAAAACTCCCCGGCTTTTTTCTAAATGATTTTGATCCAACTACACACGAAGTGGGTGTACTGATTAATCTTGAAAAAATCCATTCCCTTGTAAGGTTATGCAGGAGGTTCATGGTATGACCACACAGGCGCTGCAGTTGACTATCTTTGTCTACCACCTGATCCAGAATGGTTACAGACGACTGTTGTACCGAATGCTTACACAGGGAGGATATATGGAGCAGAGTACGAATCTAACACCGGACATTTTCTATTTGGGCCTCAATCACGAGATGAAGAGGTTCCCTGTGCGGTCTGTAGATCTACGTCTTTTGTTTCCTCAGTGATGATACCGGCGAGGACGACCTGCTACAGCGGCTGGACGAAGGCGTACAGTGGGTCACTGGCTTCAGGGAATTATAATAATAAAGCTGCTACCCAGTACGTATGTGTGGACGAGAACGCACAGCCTCTCGCTGGAGGAGCTGATAGAGACGACAATGGTATATTGTTTCTTGGCGTCAAAGCTTTTTGTGGTTCTCTTCGATGTCCTCCGTACGAGCAAGATAAATACATAGCTTGTGTAGTTTGTATGAAATAAATCTTTAAACAAAACACCAAAGATGTCTTGAAGATTTCAAAACAGATATTTGTATTTTCTCTCGTATTATTCTTTTTGTAATCTTCCACGCAGCTGATGACCACTAATAATAAATGATCTCAAAAATTGTCTCTATCAAACTATCGGTTAACTCATTCACCCTGAACACTCATTTGAACTCTTCCAGTTCAAAGGTTGGAATAGTTCGTTATGAAGTTTTAGGAGTGAATGAGTTAAAGTTGACAAATTATATCACTTAGCACTTAGTTACTCAACATGTTTGTCAAGATGGATGTGACATAGAGGTCCAGTGACATTTAATCCCTGACGAAGGGCTAAGCCCGAAAGCTTGGAAAAGAGTCATTTACAAGTTCATTTATATCACTTAGGTTTTCTTATTTCTATATGTTTATTTGTAAAATTTGGCAATGCAGCATAATAGTTGAAGTCTTTGCAATTCCATTGAAACAATTAAAGTGAGGTGATGGTACTGCTAGATTCATTAAAAATAATTCAGTCAACATATTTGGTTTTAATTTTAACCTTGAAAGTTGAGTTGGTAGTCTTGATATTAACGAGGCCATGATCTCAACAATCTATGGTTGTTATTGAATTGAAAGTTTATTTACACATTTGACCCCTGACCTTGAAAGTTGGTCAAGGTCATTTGTGTTTTCAAACTTGCTAGCCCTTCACTTGAGCACGTCTCTGGTAAAACAATAAGTGTCTAAGCTGAGTTTGTTTAAATAGCTTAGCTAGTTTCTACATACTGGACGGAAGTGAGCGTATGTGAGCCATTAAGTAATAGCCCTTTACTGAAGCATGGGAATGGTCAAATATTATTTCCCCAGCACCTTAGTTTCTTAAAAGTTTCTGTATACTTGGCTGATATGACATGACAACAGTGACATGGACTTTTGATATTTGGACCTCAAAAAGCTATCCCAAGCTAGGATTTCTGATAACAGTGTACAAGTGCTGACTCCCTATTGTTTTCTACAGCAAGTGATATTAACCTTCGAAATTCTCATTTAAAAACAAACAACCGCTTTCCAGATGAAGCAGTGCATGTATTTAAATGAGCAGAGTGGTCGAGTGGTTAACACCATCCGCCTACCACGCAGGCGGCCGGGGTTCAACCCGAAGTCAGCGCACGCATGGAATATTCAGCGAAAGTGTTTTTCTCCTGCCCGAAAATCTCCAATAATCCAGGTGGAGTATAAAATGGTCTGGGGTTGGTGTTGTGGTATCTGTGCCGTAGCATTCAAGTGAGGTGGCACTATTAATTATGACGTTGGAAGCACAGTGCTAATACAAACAGATGGAGTTATGCCCCTTTATGCGAAATACTTGTCCGTGCAACTCCTCCTTAACTGACAGGTGGATTTCATTCAAACTTTGCACGAATGGTCGGTATCTTATGTAGTTGTGCACCGGCATTTGGGATTTCGACCCTTTTTGGTTGAGGTATGCCCCTTTGTGCGAAATACGTGTTACTAGTGGCACACTGTGGATTGCTTTGCAATGCTTTGCCTTAGTAACCCTTTAACTTACAGTTCTGATTTATATAGCAGCAGGAGTATTAGTTAGCCTTTGGCTTACAGTTCTAGTTATTGAGTGGCAGCCAATAGTAACAATGACCCTAACCTTGAAAAACCAAACAAAGCAAGCACTTTTGTTAAGGGAGTAGTGCATTTAGTTTGAGTGCTATCAGCCAATGAAACCTTTGGATGAACTCTAGGTGGGTCATCCCCTTTGTTTGTGTAACTTTTGTTCTCCATTAGCTAAAAGAAGCTACCACTCCATTTAGTCTAAAACCTCTCCAGTAGTTTGGAAATAAATGTTATTTAATGTCTTTCTCAATGATTTGATTATCACATTTTCGTAAAAGGTATGATAACTCTTTACAACATTACATTACATACATATAATGTATTTGATTTGAAGAAAGAATTTGAACACCTTTAGGGAATGTCCGACTATTCTATAGAGAGATGCATTATTAGCCTTCAAATTTCCTCGTAATGTTTCTGTGGACTGCAAATATAAAACCATGAAAAAGCAGTTACAAAAGTTTCAAAAACAAATAAGGTTTTATAAAGATTTTATTTCCGAATGAAATATATACATCAAATAATCTCGTATCTCCTCGCAGATAAAACCATAATTTAAAAAAGTATCTATACAAATTCTCTTCATGTGAGAAGCAGTAGAATGATAAAAGCAAAGTGTTAATTAGTCAACTGTATCTTGCTTATAGAGACTTAAAGCTGACAGTGAAAGTTAAAAAGCTTTCAATTGAGATTTAAGAAAAAACCGGTTATGTTATTTCCGGTTTAGAGATCTTCCCCATCTCTTCCTTCTATCGTTTCTAAGGAAGTGCCGACCTTTTAGTTTGTCCTTGCTTAGTAACGAATATGGGTCTCGCTGGGTATAAACAGCGCATTACCCGTCAAACCGGTTATCATTTGTTCAATATGTGCACAAGGTGACACTACTTTACTATATATATAGAACACTTTCACGCACAATTTTTTTACCGACATTTTGTGTCAGATCAGTTGAATAAAACTGAAATGGAACACATCAAAGATATTATTTATCTAAGAAAAGTGGAAATAGTAGTATAATACGACCAATTAAAATATCAAAATATATAATGCACTAATTCCAATCGTTTCCATGAAAACAGTTCAATTATCAAGTTTCACATTGTTGACTTCACACCTGGCAGTGTCGCATTTGGCAAGTGTTTTTTGTAGTAAAGGGTCTACACGACGAAGACTAAGAGTTCATAAGTTATTATTAAGGAGTCATCTGCAAATTGTCCGAGTTTATAATTATTGTGATGTATCTGAATGCCCTTGATATTTGTATTGTTTTCCCCCGTGTTATATCCTATATATATGAACCAAACAATGTGATGATTATAGTGTAAGGGAGGTAACAATTGCTTTATAGAAATTCACATAGAGAATATATACATTTCATATAGAATATACATGAACCAAACAATGTGATGATTATAATGTAAGGGAGGTATTGCTTTGTACTATGTTTGTGAACTTTCCAGGAAGGAGATGAGTAACGAACGAGAATAAAAAGAGAGACAGACGACGAATGGCGTGGTTTATATTTCCTCCGAAATAAGCGAGCCCCAATATATTTAATCCATAACACCTGAATAGTTAGTACATTGTAACTAGTAAGAATAGATACTGTGAGACGGGACCTCCTTGGGGGAATCCACATTTTACATTTAATTTCGACAATATATAATTTTGAGTTATATCCATCTTAGCCCGAGTTTCCTCTGGCCCTAACACCTGAACACTGCATCACAGTTTGGGGGTCTGTATATATTGTCTACGTGTAAAGGGTTTGAGTTCTTAAATTAGATTTGAATATTCAATATTTCCATGCCCTCTACCGCCATGTCTCTACGTCTTATAAACGGTGTATTGTTCTCTATATATGTCGCTACACCACCATGCCGTTTTCCATGCGGCCTGTCCAATCGTTCCAGCTGATAATTATTTATATTTACATCTCTTCTTCTTCAGATTAGTAAACTCTGACTTGGTATAAATTAGTATACGCAATGAAAAAAGGCTCGGCGGATTGATACCTGTTTCAAAAATGGCGCCGTTCACGCTTCAGTGAGATAACTGTTCGGCGACAGCTATTGTTTGGTTCCTTCAACATCTAGAAACATTGCACATATTTGAAATCTATGTTGTCTAATAATTCAACAATTGTATCCTGGCAAACCCTTATTCCGTGGATGCACATTCAAAATTCTTTGACGGTAAAGCAAACAATGGCGGCTTCCTTTTGCGAAGTTTGACCGCGTAACCACCAGAGCAGTGTGTCAATGCATGTACCTAAAGACCTTTATAAATAAACACATATGTTCGAAATGCTACTTATAATACTTAATTTAAACTTTAAAAGCGATAAAAAGAAGAAAAATAGTCTTGTTCACTGCGTCGTTTCTAAATATACCCATATATCGATGTAGATTCACTGGAACTATATTATCTTAGCAACCACGGCTACCTTAGTTAACATCGTAGCAACTCGCTTTGAATGTCTTTTCATTTGTATAGCATTTGAACACTATGATGTAATTATAATGATTGACCTTCGGTTTGACGGCGTAAACGGTAGTATGAACGCAGTTGGCAACGGATTATAGAATATGTTCGTTGCCATCTGCGTTCATACGACCGTAAACGCCGTCGAAATGCAGGCCAATCCTGAAATGTACACCTCATCGTCACTTATGTCCGAACATAACCAGATTCCTGTGAACACAAAATATCGAACTGCTAACGGACGACGTGGAAGGATATTTCTTACGGTGTATTGTAACTACTCCGTATGTTCTACGAACACATCTTTCAACCAGCAGGTAACGAAAATAAGGAATGTTCATTTTCCTCAATATTACCGTACGTAGTACATATGTACCAGTTATGCCAATTGTGCATTTGTAGAACATGTTAAGAATACAAACATTTATGATAGTCACACAATTAAATATCACAGACTGTAAAAGCTACTTGAATCATGTATCACAGTATAATGATATCGGGTAATTCTTCTTAAAACATTTACACTGCATGCATTTCTAACACTGCTGTTTAGCCCATTCCACAATACAGAGCATTTATAGGTAAAAGATCTCTTAAAATAGTAGTTTGTTCTGGCTAAAGGTACATACCGTTTCTCTGAAGATGATGCTCTTGTAAATCTAGCAGTGACCTCATTTACATAAGCAAACATATTGTGTAAAACACATGGAATATCAGTTTAAAATGTTGTCAAAACTGCTTTTCTTAAATCATTAAAGTCAGACACAGGCATCTATCTTAGGATTTAAAAGGTGAACAAGTAAGGTTAAAATATTTCAAACATCGAGTAAAATTCCAGCAGATCTTTTCTGAAGTTTAAAAATGTTACCAATATATATTCTTTATTACTTGGAGTGCTCAACATCGATGAGCGCGTAAACACACTAGTGTTGTATACCTTCAGAAGGATTTCATTAGACATAAAAGGTCTAAGTCGTCGAACAACATCAATCTGTTTTGACAACCTTTCCATGATAAACAATTATCTATGAAGACACCTAGAAGTTTGGCCCGGATAGCAGTTTCAATGGTAAAATCATCAATCCTAACTACAGGATCACTACATTTAGCAAGTTTTTGGACAGTTGTGTCATTTTTTCTTCTAACACTTCAACAGTCTTATTTCTGACATCCTGGGAAGTATCATCAGCATACATGGTAGCTGATGCATGCTTTAGACACCTTAGATAAGTGGTCCCAAAATTGAGCCCTGTCGGACACCAATATTTATTGTTTGAAAGGCGAAGAAAATATTTTCGAAACTTACAGCCTGTGTACTCTCTTAGACTTAAAAATACCAAAGGCCTTACGAAGGTCAATAAAAAGGACACCATTGCCATGATTAGCAACATTTAAAAGTACTGTTTCAGTAGAATGATGTGGTCTAAAACCAAAATGACAGTCACCTGTTAGTTTGATCTTACAATTGACCAATTAGCTTCGTAAAGCTGTTGAAACTTACGCAAACAAGAGTACTTCATTTATTTGCTTATTCCTTTTGTCTATAAAAGAGATAATGAGAAGATACCCTTCAAACACAATAGCTGACTTTTGAAAAAAAAAATCCTGCATTGTTAGGAATAATATTTGTATTATCAATATCATTTTTTTAATGTTGAAGTCCCTTTAATACTCTTTCAAAAGTAGCATTTAAATTGGAAATTTCTTTAATCTGCGATTTCCTTTCGTGCAAATTTGCGAGTAAGATCGATCATCTAAGGATGTATATCGCGAATTTTCATTGAGACACAATTAAAGCTGTTGATGTACTTTTTTCTTTCGTTAATTCAAATCTTCGTGAATACGTTGTTGGACGAACACTTGCTTTAAATAAATGTTCACAAAAACAAGCGTTCTACAGTATATGACTTATCTAACATAAACTAGATTCGTTGGATTTATTTTTGGTTCACCACAAGTTACTCACCTATGCACTGACACTGACCCGTTTTTGACGTGGTGTCAGTTACTGCCTGATAACCTTTGCACGAACTGTTGTCACCATTTTGTAAACTAAAGGGAATCGGTATAGACGTAAAATGGCGATTAACCGTATCAGTTTGGTAGTATTCGTCTTCTATGCGTTGATAGTTTGTGGTCATTGCAAAGAAGACTCTAACAAGAGGATTCTTCTGAATGACCCAGACTACATTCAACAGCTTATAACCCATCTCCAGGGAGAGTTACAGACCCTCCAGACCACGGTACATACCCTCCAGACCACGGTACATACCTACCAGACCATGGTAGAGACACAAACTGGTGAAATATCCTCTCTCAAAACACAACTTTCACAGGCAAACAACGGTAAGCTTCTTAATTACTATAATTGAAGATAGACAGATACTAATTATGTTGAATTTTAAAGTGTGTCATTAAAAAGAAAAGGCCTAACTATACCATTTGCTCTTCAGCTGGGCGAAGGTGTGCACGTATATCGTTAAGAGTGTGAATTGTATATGTAAAAGTAGTAATGATGCGTCTTGGTGTGTGTGTGTGTGTGTGCTTAATATCCCTTAGCAACGGCGTCGCCATCTGGTTGTTTTGACCTGCGTCGAGCGTGCTTGGGTTAAACCGCTTATCGTTGACTTCATTGATTATGGCCCTGGTATCCGACATGCGTGTGATCCTTGGCCACGAAGCGGTGACCCCTGTCAGTTTTTCTATCGGGTTTTCTGAGGTACTTTTATTTTTCGGCTCAACAAAAGTAAAAAAACTCGATGACGTCATGAAAAGTTACTCTCCGTATAAAATTAAAAAATCTCAGTTAAACCTGAAAGAAAAACTGACCAGGGTCAAGATGGCGGCACCGTTGCTAAGGAAAACACCATCTTGCAGCGCCGTTGCTCCCCCTCGTTGACTTCATTGATTATGGCCCTGGTCGCGTATCCGACATGCGTGTGATCCTTGGCCACGGGAAGCGGTGACCCCATTTCCATTTGCAGCATAAAAATTTGGTCTATCAAAATATTATTTTAAGTTTAAAAATCGTACTTATGTCGGCCAGATTGAATTTCAAATCAATTTCTTAGTAACAAGAATTGCTCTGGATCATACACCAAAAACTTTTCAAGTTTTTCAAGATGGCGTCTATATAGCGGCTATATTGAATTTCAATCAGCGCCAAAAAAACAAGTATCTGTCTTAATATAGACATGATTTATTTCCCCATTCAATTCGGCGAAACAAATCAAAAGGAATTGGAACAAATAAAAAACAAAAATCATACACCGATCATTTATCTATTACATGTCAGCGAAATCGGTCCTGAGTTGTCGTTGAAATATATTTTTAATATTGCTACAATTACTGTGCTATTGAATTTCAAATTTGCTTTAACACTACAAGATCTGGTCAGGATATGCATTGCTCATTTCCATTACATTCGAGCTTAATCAAGTCAGTAATATTTGTGTTTATAAAGTAAATTTTAAAAATGGCGTCCTTTGCGGTCATACTGGAATTCTGATCGGTTCTAAAACTACAAAGTCCAGTCACTACCATGTCATTATCATTCCAAATACAGTTCAGCCTAATGAGCTCAATAGAAATTATGTTAAAGGGGGAAAAATCAAGATGGATACCATGGAGTCCATATTTAATTTTAATTTTAAGTATTTAATTTCCATAGTAACAAGAGCAAATCTAAGCCACACATCACATTCCAATTATTTTCAAATAAATTTCAGCTAAATTGGTTTAGCAGAATTGGAGTTAAAACTCGAAATATATTCTGAAGACAGCTGCCATGGCGGCCATATTAAAAAGTTTTTTTGAATATACATGAAAGTTTAAAACCTTAAAAATCAGAACTTAAAGATAAATAAAATAAACAAATCAAGAGGCATGTATTATTTAAAAAAAAATAAAAAATAAAAATCGCAGGATATATTAATTCATAAATCTATATTAAATTTTGAATGATCAGCATGTACTACCACACTCTGTTATAATAAGGAACCATTCAAATCCATTTTGCGTTCAATCCATTGAAACAAGAGACCCAATCGGCCTGTATCAACCCGCATCTATGACAATTAAATAGGTCTTGGTCAAACTCTATTTAAATAGGCTAAAGTATGGTACTTTACAAATTATCAGTATTTTTGGGAGATTGTATTACCTGGTAGACTACACTTTATAACAATTTATAGGAAGGCTTTAACTTACTGTAATAATCTGACCTTCAAAGATTGTTTAGGTCATTCATTCAAATTTCACTGTAACAATATAATAGCAATTTACCCATTAACATACAGACAAATTGGAATAACACCTATGTGACCTTGGAATTGAGTAAAAAAAGTATCACTGGAAACAACTTCAAAGACTATAATATTTTACTTTTACTTTTTCATTCAAACAATTTGATCCTTTTCGGTGTTTTGGCAATAGCCTATTTGTTTTGTCTTAACACTTTGAACTATCCAGCTTTTTGCCTACATAATTATGACATGAATGTTTAAAACACTTACTCGCTATACATGCGCATAAATGTCACCCACTATTCTTTTCGATTCGATATATAAATCAGAACACGTTTTCCCATTTGTTATAGTCGGTGGGGGATCCACGTTTGTTCGCTGGGGACGGACCGACTGTCCTGCCAATCTGACGGAACTCGTATATTCTGGTAAGTTTGTAACTCTATAACCTAAGGACAGGAGTGTCTTGTCTCTTCATCCCTAGCAAGTTTATACCAAGGTATAAGATGAGAACGTTAACTGCTTCGATGTTATGACACAGGGAGTGAGTACTAAGGTGCGAGATACGAGTCTAGTCCTAACAACACTAGTATAATTACCTCTTCCTGCATGGGAAATGTATATACATTATGTAGGATGATGTGATGGGGATTTGCACTGTTTATTCCGTCTTTGCGTATTGTAGAGTTATCTTCTCTTTGGAGTAGGTATTGATTGTTGCGTCACTTGTTTGTGAGAATAACGTCATCAATTTTTGAGAAAACGATGTAATTTTCTCGCACAGACCAATGACGTAACAATCAATACCTGCTCCCAAGAGAAGATAACTCTGCAATACGCAAAGACGGAATAAGTTGTACCCCAGGAAGTAAGTCCGTGTTTGGTTTGGTAGAAATGTTTTATAATTTTACTAGTTTTCTGGTATAATGTTATCCTGGTATCATGAATGTTTTGTCTCTTCATGCCTGCCTAGCAATAATTTATGTGGTAATAAGGTGGAAATCCTGATCATTTAAGTTATGACCTGATTTCCCTATTATACCCCTTTCCTTTGTAAGGGAACAGACGCTAGAGCAATTTGTGGTAGCATAAATGCATTGTCTATTGATGTCAAGTATAATGCATAGACATAGGATGGGGATCACAACCGTTAATTTATTGTATTACTTATTCCATTGAAATAAGGCCCCGTCCGTCTACCTCTATAGGGTTCACATCCCCAATTTATAAAACATTGTCCCCTATGCCACAGATGTTCAAAATCAAACATGATTTAAATACGTTCAATCTTATGGAAGGCGAGGAATTTGAAAGATTTACCTCTACTGCCCCTATTGCGTCTGCCCCTCTGGCCCTTGTTTGACCAACAATGTTCCATACTAAATTTTACAAAAATCGAGTTAGCCGTTCTGGACTAGAAGTGTTTTAAAAGAAACGATATTTTTGTTTAAGATTTGTTTATCTTTCCTTTAAAAATGTGGCGTATTTATAAATAGGAGCCCATTTGTGTTAGGTTTAGCAGGAGGTTCCTGGTATGACCACAGTGGAGCGGCAGTTGACTATCTTTGTCTGCCACCTGATCCGGAATGGTTACAGACAACAGTTGTACCGGATGATTACACGGGGAGGCTCTATGGGGCAGAGTACGAATCTTTCAATGGATATACTCTCTTTGGGCCACAATCACACAATGAAGAGGTTCCCTGTGCGGTCTGTAGATCTACTTCCTTTGTTTCCTCTGTAATGATACCGGCAAGGACGACCTGCTACAGCGGCTGGACGAAGGCTTACAGTGGGTCACTGGCGTCAGGGTCCTATGCACACGTAGCTGCTTCCCAATACGTATGTGTAGACGAGAACCCACAGCCTGTTGTTGGAGGAGCTGATAGAGACGACAATGGTAAAATGTTTCTTGGCGTCAAAGCGTTTTGTGGTTCTCTGCGATGTCCTCCATACCAGCAAGACAAATTTCTATCTTGTGTAGTTTGTATGAAATAAATATTTGAGAAAATATTTAGTATCTTGCATTTTTATGAAAGATTTCAAAACAAATATTTTAATTTTCTCTCATATTTATTTTTTCCTCATTTACACGCAGCAGATGACCACTGAACGTAAAGGATCTCAAAAAATATCTCAATCAAACTATCAATTAATTCATTCACTCATAAAGACACATTTGAACACTTCTTTAATTTAATTTCTCTATGTTCATGTGTAAAATTTGGCAATGCTGCATAATAGTTGAAGTCTTCACGATTCCATTGAAACCATTAAAGTGAGGTAAGGGTACTGCTAGATTCATTCAAAATAATTCAGTTAACACCTTTTATCTAATTGTGACCTTGAAAGTTGACTTGGTAGTCCTCATATTAACGAGGCCATGTTCTCAACAATCAACGGTCGTTCGTATTTCGAAAGTGTTTTTTTACACATTTGATCCCTTACCTTGTAATTTGGTCAATGCCATTTGTGTTTGCAAACTTGCTAGCTCCTCACTTTTCACAGCACGTTTCTGGTAAAACATTAAAAGGATTTTGGCCACAATTTTTTACATTTTGTAAAAATAAGCGAAACCTGTAATATACTTTAATAAATACCGAATCATCCATTAACATATACTTAATACCTTATCATAATCCATCATAACGTTACATATCCCCATATCGACGTCAAAAAGTGAAAGTTTTACCAAACAAATTTTGCATCTGAGTTTGACGTAGTATTATAGCACGTAGACATGGAACGCGAAAACTTTCATTCAATTTGGACTTGAAAAGTAAAAACGCCGGACAGTATAGTTAGTTTGTATACCAACGAGTATACGTGAACAACTAATGTATGTCTAGTGTCGATCAAACTGTCACTGTCACGATTAAATTAGATTATGATAGTTTGAAACATTTGTTTCTTTGAAATATTGCTTTAGATGTCGGCTGAAATCGAGATACGAAAATTAAAATGACCCTTCCCCATTCCATGATTTTTTTTCATTTCACCTAAAATCAGTAACATGTTTTTTAACACTTTGTATGGAATTAGCAAAAAATAATCCTCTTTGAGGTGTTTTGAAATATATGAAAAGGTTTAACGTTCTGAGGCATTATATTATTTGCCTACTCCGTTGAACAACGGTTAAAAAAATGTACAATATCTATTTAAATAATTAAACAGATTCGTCACGCAGGTGTGGCTTGAAGTAATTACCCAAAACCCAGAAACAAACAAATATTGCTTCATATTCTATGCATACTTTTCAGAAAAGAAACAGGTTCCTAAATCTCCACTTATCGCTAGCTTCAAATTATACGTAAAATTCAAACTCAAAATAGAAAAGAATTTTGCCAGGCTTGTGATATTCAATTCAATTAGGCTTCACGGCATTGGTTTTGCGTTTGTTTTAAAACACAATTTCCATAAACAGGAACTTGATTAGTTAGGATCTATGCTAATATTGGAATGTTTATTATGAAAATAGTGTGCCACAAGTAAAGTCATCACAAGTTGTTGGATCCGCCCCTGAAGATATATTTTTGTTAAAAAAGGCTGCTAAACAAATGTTCATGTTGGTATTTTAAACTATGCAATAGATGGCATATCATCACCACCATTGCTACAAAAATAACAAAACTGTAGAATTCAGAATTTTCATCAAAAAACTAATATCGTTTATGATTCACACACATTTTTACCTTATTAACTTGGTCAGTTTTCAGTCCATGTTACTAAACGCATGTCAAATACAAATATAAACGCTGTTGAAATTTAGTTTAACACTTTTAACAACATTTTTTCCCCGAACACTTGGACAAAAAGAAACGCACCGGTACACCATACTACCTGTGTTAGTTGGATGATCGGTTATAAATGCCCTTTGGCCACGACATTCACAGGTAACACCTCTGACATAATGACAACTGTAGTTCACCAGGTAGGTAACGTAAATGCCCTTTGGCTATAATAAAATGTGGTAAGAACTACATGTAACTAACATACCTTTTAATTCACAGGCAAGATATGTAGGTGTGTGAACTGTGTATTACCACGGACTTAGATAACAATCTAATTCCGTGGTATTACTATATCAAAGTTTGGACCTGAACTAAAGTGTTCAGAGTAATTTTACATCTTTAGATCGACTTTCGGTAAAAATGACACCCCCAAAGATCACAAATATATACGAGAAGGGTGGGAAGCTGTCGAAAAGTCGACCCCACCTAACTTTCTTGCATCAAAAACAAAATTTCTAGTTGATCTACTGAAAGTACCGCTGCAAAGATAGATACTTTTCCACGTAAAGTTGACGTCAGCCTCGTGCCGAAACATGCAGTGGTTTAGCGAAAAAAATGGCTGCGCTTCTAGCCAATCACACCACGATCCGCGCGACTCTCCGCAAGTGGCTGACATTACCATCATTAATATTATACAACAAAAGTGGCACGATGACTGCGAAAAACTTTTTGAAATAGCGTGTGTTTTTGAAGCAAATAGAGATCATGTCCGCGGAAGGAGAATACATTTTATGTGCATAAAGGAGGTTTTTAAAAGAAAAACTATCCACCTTTCTAACGGTACTAAGCATTTACCCGTAGATCAACTAGAAATGTTTTTGATGATAGGGGGTGTCATTTTTACCAAAAGTCTATCTAAACACTTGTGACATGTAAAATGAATCTGAACATTTTAGTTTAGGTCCAAATATAGCTGTAACAAATTCTCATGTCCCTGCAAGTGGACATGACAACAGTGACATGGACTTTTGAGATTTTGCCCTCAAAAGCTTTCCCAAGCTAGGATTTCGGATAACGGTGTATAAGCTTTATTGTCCCACATGAATTGTGCTGACTCCCTATTATTTTCTACAGCAAGTGATATTGACCATTGAAATTCTGACTTGAAAAACAGTCGCAAGCAACCACTTTCTAAAGGAAGCATTGCATGAAACTCGAGTGTTCAACAATTAAGTAGAAACCAATAGTAACAATGACTTTGACCTTGAAAAACCATCCAAAGCAAGCACTTTTGTTAAGGGAGGAGTGTATTTAGTTTGAGTGCTATCAGCCAATGGAAACTTCAGATGTACTTAGCTTCTCAGCCTCTAGGCGGGTCATCCCCTTTATTTAGGAGGCACTNAGAATTGTTGAATGTTAGCTGTGAGCGCTGAAATGGCAACACCAGCTGTTTGCTCTCCAGGGAGTTGAGAAAGATATTTGCTGGTTGCAAAGGCTCTATAACCACGGATAATAATTTGTGAACCACTATGAAACGAACTAGGTTGTGATAAAGCGTTATATAAGAACCTAAACTTATTATTATTTGTATAAGTTCTGTTCCCCATGAGCTTAAAGATGCTACCGCTACATTTAGGATAAAACCTCTCCAGTAGTTTGGAAATAAATGTCATGTAATGTCTTTCTCAATGATTTGATTATCATATTGTCGTAACAGGTATGATAACTCTTTATAACATTACATATTTAATTTGAAGAAAGAATTTGAACACCTTTAGGGAGTGTAAGACTATTCTCTATAGAGAGATGAAATATTAGCCTTCAAATTTCCTCATAATGTTTATAATGTTTCTGTGGACTGCAAATATACAAATTGCTTTCATATCAAATTGTGAAAAAGTAATTACAAAAGTTTCAAAAACAAATAAGGTTTTATAAAGATTTTATTTCAGAAAGAAATATATACATCAAATGATCTCGTATCTCCTCGCAGATTAAACCATAATTTACAAAAGTATCTATATAAATTCCCTTCACGTGAAAAGCAGCAGAATGATAAAAGCAAAGTGTTCATTGGTCAACTGTATCTTGCTTAAGGAGACTTAAAGCTGACAGTGCAAGTTATAAAGCTTTCAATTGAGATTTAAAAAGAACAATTATGTTATTTCTGGTTTACATATTTTCCCCATCTCTTCCTTCTGCCGTTTCTAAGAAAGTGGCGACATTTTTGTTTGTCCTTACTTGGCAATGAGTATGGGTCTCGCTGGGTATAAAAAGCGCATTACCCGTCAAACCAGTTATCATTTGTTCACGCACGATTTTTACCGACATTGTGTATCAGATCAGTTGAAAAAGACCTGAAATGGAACACATCAAATATATCATTTATCTAAGAAAAGTGGAAATAGTAGTATGATACGATCAATTAAAATATCAAAATATCTAATGCACTAATTCAAATCTTTTCCATGAAAACGGTTCAATTATCAAGTTTAACATTGCTGACTTCACACCTGGCAGTGTCGCAATTTGGAAGTGTTTATCTAGTAAAGGGTCTACACGACGTAGACTAAGAGTTCATAATAAAGTTATTATTAAGGAGTCATCTGCAAATTGTCCGAGTTTAGGATTATTTTGAAGTATCTGAATGCCCTTGATATTTATATTGTTTTCTCCCCGTGTTATATATATATAGTATATATGAACCAAACAATGTGATGATTACAGTGTAAGGGAGCTAACAATTGCTTTGTAGAAATTCATATAGATTGCTTTATAGACATACATTTAGAGAAGATCTACATTTTATTTAGTATATATATGAGCCAAACAATGTGATGATTAAAGTGTAAGGGAAGTATTGATTTGTACTATGTTTGTAAACTCTCCAGGAAGGAGATAAGAAAAGAACCAGAATAATAAGAGAGACAGAAGACGAATGGCGTGGTTTATATTTCCTCCGAAATAAGCGAGCCCCAACATATTTAACCCATAACACCTGAATAGTTAGTATTTCAGCCTCATACATTGCAAATAGTAAGAATAGATACAGTGAGACGGGACCTCCTTGGGGGAATCCAAATTTTATATTTAGGTTCGACACTATATAATTGTGAGTTATATCCATCTTAGCCCGAGTTTCCTCTGGCCCTAACACCAGAACACTGCATCACAGGTTGGGGGTCTATATATATTGGCTACGAGTTAAGGGTTTGAGTTCTTAAATTAGATTTGAATATACAATATCAATATGTCCATGCCCTCTACCTCCATGTCTTTACGTCTAATAAACGGTGTATTGTTCTCTATATATGTCGCTACACTACCATGTCGTTTTCCATGCGGCCTGTCCAATCGTTCCAGCTGATAATTATTTATATTAACATCTCTTTCTTCTTCAGATAAGTAAACTCGGACTGCATATACATTTCCTTTGTACAGCATTTGAACACTATTTATGATGTTATTATAAGGATTGACTTTCGTTTTGACGCCGTAAACGGTAGTATGAACGCAGTTGGCAACGGATTATAGAATATGTTCGTTGCCATCTGCGTTCATACCACCGTATACGCCGTCGAAATGCAGGTCAATCCTGAAATGTACACCTCATCGTCACTTATGTCCGAACATAGCCAGATTCTTGGGAACACAAAATATCGAACTGCTAACGTGCGACGTGGAAGGATATTTCTTACAATGTATTGTAAATACTCCGTATGTTCTACGAACACATCTTTAAACCAGCAGGTAACGAAAATAATGAATGTTCATTTTCCTCAATATTACCGTAGTACATATGTGCCAGTTATGCTAATTGTGCATTTCCAGAACATGCTAAGAATACAAACATTTATGATAGTCACACAATTAAATATCACAGACTGTCTTAAAACATCTACACTGCATGCATTTCTAACACTGCTGTTTAGCCCATTCCACAACATCGATGAGCAATAGATAAAATGCGTAAACACAATAGTGTTGTATACCTTTGAAGAATTTCATTATACATAAAATGTCTAAGTCGTCAAACAACACCAATCTGTTTTGAAAACCTTTCCATGATAAAAATATCTATAAAGACACCTAGAAGTTTGGCCCGTATAACAGTTTCAATGGTAAAATTATCAATCCTAACTACAGCATCACTACATTTAGCAAGTTTTTGGACAGTTGTGTCATTTTTTCTTCCAACACTTCAACAGTCTTATTTCTGACATCCTGGGAAGTACATCAGCATACATGATAGCTGTTGCATGCTTTAGACACTTTGGATAATCATTTATATTTAATATTAACATCAGTGGTCCCAAAATTGAGCCTTGCGGGATACCAATATTTATTGGTAGAAAGTCGGACAAAATCTTTTCGAAACTTACAGCCTGTGTCCTCTAAGAGAGATAAGACTCCAAAATTGCAGAGCTGACTGAGAGACACCATGTGCATACAGCTTGTATAAAATTACCTTCTGATTTGCCGTTTCAAAGGCCTTACGAAGGTCAATAAAAAAATAATAAGATAGCCTTTGTCAAAAACACTTAGAAGTACTGTTTCAGTAGAATGATATGGTCTAAAACCAAAATGACAGTCACCTATTAGTTTGTCCGTACATGTTCATCTTACAAGTGATCAATTAGCGTCGTAAAACTGTTAAAAAATTATGCAAACAAGTGTACTTCATTTACTTGCTTATTCCTTTTGTCTATAAAAGAGATAATGAGAATATACCCTTAAAACACAATAGCGGATTTTTGGATTTTTTTCTTCATTGTTATGAATAGTATTACTAGTATAAAACTCATTTTTGTTCGTGTTTAAGTCCCAATAATACTCTTTCAATAGAAGCAGATAAATTGGAAATTACTTTAATCTGCGATTTCGTGCAAAATTTGCGAGTAGGATTGATCATCTAAGGATGTATATCGCGAATATTCATTGAGACACAATTAAAGCTGTTAAATCTTCGTGAATACGTTGTTGGAAGAACAATCGCTAAAATACATGTTCACAAAAACAAGCGTCCCACAGCATATAACTTATCTATTGTAAACTAGATTCGTGGGAGTTTTTCTTTGGTTCACCACAAGTTACACACCTATGCACTGACACTGACCCGTTTTTGACGAGGTGTCTGTTACTGCCTGATAACCTTTGCACGGATTGTTGTCGCCATTTTGTAAGCTATAGGGAATCAGTATAGACGTAAAATGTTGCTTAACCGAATCAGTTTGGTAGTATTCGTCTTCTATGCGTTGATAGTTTGTGGTCATTGCAAAGATGACTCTAACAAGAGGATTCTCCTGAATGATCCGAACTATATCCAACAGCTTATAACCCACCTCCAGGGAGAGCTACAAACCCTCCAGGCCACGGTTCAAACACAGCATGGTGAACATCAGACCCTCCAGACTACGGTACAAACACAACATGGTGAACTACAGACCCTCCAAAACACGGTACAGACACAACATGGTGAAATATCCTCTCTCAAAACACAACTTTCACAGGCAAACAAAGGTAAAGTACTTTACTATAAGTGAAGATAGACAGATATTTAAAGTGTGTGATTAAAAGAAGAAAAGTCCTAACTACGATTTACTCTTCAGCTGGAAAACGGTGTGCAGGTATATCATTTAGAGTGTGAATTGTATATGTGAAAGTAGTTACTAGTGTGTTAGTGTTAGCAACGACGTTACAAGATGGCGTTTCCTTTAGCAACGGTGCCGCCATTTTGTTGTTTTGACCTGCGGCGAGCGTGGTTTAAACCGATTATCGTTGACATAAAATTGATTATGAGCATGGTCACGTAGCCGCCATGCGGTTGATCCTGGACCACGAAGCGATGACCCTTGTCAGTTTTCCTATCAGGTTTTCTGAATGTTTTAGTTTTGGGCTCAACAAAAGCCGTTAACTCGATGACGTCATGAAAACGTACCCTCCATCTAAACGAGGTAATCAAACATATGCCGAAAACTACAAAACAAAAAAAGACACCACAAGATATCGGCACCGTTACTAAGGATAATGCCATCTTGTTACGCCGCTGCTACCCGTTCCATCAAGACATATCAAACACTACTTGTACATACATTTGAAATAGAAATATCGTCTATATCATGCTAAAATACCTACGGGTTTCTCACAGCAAATTAGTCTATTGAATTTGTTTCATTAAGGTGTAAAAAAAGTTGATGTCGGCCAGGTTGGATTTCGAATCAATTCCAAAAAAACAAGAATTGCTCTGGACCATACACCAAACACTTCCATTTAATTTAAAAATTAGCTTAGATGAATGAAGTTCCAAGTAGATTTTCAAGATGGCCTCTAAAGCGGCCATATTGGATTTCAAAACAGCTCCAAATAACAAATATCAGTCTGAATATACATATGATATTCTCCATTCAATTCGGCCAAATAAATCCAAATGAATAAGAACAGAAATTCACAAAAATCTTTTATCTATCATTTAAAATTTGACTTGCAGTTAAAAATATGTTTTCACCATCAGCCTACAGACTAATTATAATAACCCTTATTCCATTGGTTATTCAGAATAAGCCGTTTAAATGTTTAAGCACAATTGACCTCTGTGACCTTGGAAAGTAGTAAAAACATATCACTGGGACGAACTCAAAAGACTATAATATCGTAGTTCTAGTTTTTTATTCAAACAATTTGATTAGAATATAGTTGTACTATAAATGGCATATATTCGGTGTTTTGCCAATAGTCTTTTTGTTTTGTCTTGACACTTATCTAGCTTTTTGCCTTCATAATCATGACATGATATACATGTACTTTACTGTCACTCAGTATTCTTTTCGATATATAATACAGAACGCGATTTCCCCTTTGTTATATAGTTGGTGGCGGATCCACGTTTGTTCGCTGGGGACGGACCGACTGTCCTGCCAATCTGACGGAACTCGTATATTCTGGTAGGTTTGTAACTAAAATTACTCTATTCGTTTTGTTATTCAATTTGATAATTTTGACTATTTATGATTATTTTAAATACATTGTAGATTCAAACATTTTATAGCAAGCTGCGAGATAGGTAAACTTATGTATGTGCGTGATAAAAAACAACAAACAACAAGATAATACCGAAGTGTTAACAAAACTGAAATTAAACTGAAAATCAATTACACTAAGTAAAAATAATAACAGAAAAAAGAATTACGTAAAGTCACTTGAATATGTGGAAAATGATAAAACTTCCGATGTCCTGCAAAGGTAAGCGTTTTCTTTTTCAGCGCCAACACCCGCTTGTTGAATCTAGGTCAAATCCAAATTATGTCACGTCCTGACAACTTCGGTTGTGACAACAATACAAGAAGTCGTACTGATGAGATTAACCAATAAAAAATATCGACTTTCATATCACACAAAGAAATGACATATTTTCAAATGATATCATCATTGCCTATCCATAGTCTTTGTGAATCTGCATCTTTAAAAACCATGTATTTGTATGTTTGTCCGTCAGTCGTTGAAGTCTATCGTAGAAAGCAATGATAATCCGAGCAAGTTCTTGAATACTGAATCAACAGCGACATGTAAACATCGAAAGCTAAGAAAGGAAGGATGTTGCTATCAAGAAACGGAAACTTAACTATAGGAAAATCGAAATTGTCTGCATTTGTATAACTTAGCTGTAAACCGTCCTTTTTGATGTAATAAAGTTGTAATAAAAGATCGAGGAAAGCGTTTGGAGTAGAAGAGAATGTTTAAGATCGACTTGTTCAATGAATTGTTTTACTTAAAAAAACACATTATTGATATATGTGAAAGTGAAAATGAAGGATTTGGTTAGATTTGTCTAACCAGTACTGATAAGGCCATCATCATCAATGCATTGAGCCTGAAATGAAAACAAAAACAAGTCGACTAGGTGAGTGGCACTGTTTGTTCCCACAGGAATACCTACAGTCTGCTGGGAAAGTTTGCTTCTGAACACGACATAATATTGTCATCCTAGAACTGTAAGAACTCAATCATTCTCATAATTTCGTCTTCAGTGCTTTTCATTTTGGCATTTGTTCTTTTGTTTTGTTTTTGTAAACACATGATGGCTTCAAATATAATTTGCACATCCTATTTATATCGCCGATTGTCTTTCTTGAAAAAGAAAGCTGTCTTTATAGGTTAACAAAGGCGTTGTCTTCGCTCAATTTATATGCTTAATAAGCTATCTCGCAGCTTCCAGTTAAGAAAAAAAATATATGGTAAAACATATAGGTATATCCTTTAGTCAAGACAATTTGTCGAACATAGTCAGAGCAGAATTTTATATACATTGATGCTCAAATATTGGAGACGGCAAGGTCTACCACCGTCGATCCTGATTATTAAGAAAGAGATTCATCAATTTGGTATAGATTATTGTTAAGTTAGTTTTGAACACAACCATCAATAAATAACGCTTTCGAAAGTGTTTTCCTTGTCAAACAAATAGTGCAAATGACCGGTGTCTCAACTCTGAACCGCCGAAACAACTCATTATGCCACATTTTGCCAAGTCAGTAAAACTTATTAATAATCAAAACTTTAACGATGTTAATATGCAAATTTGGTCGGGAGTGTCCGTCCTTGCGCACAGGGACTTGTTCTTATATACCGAAGAGTATGAAATGTATAAATGATGATATGATGTGGATCTAAACTGTTTCAAACTGTTATGACCACGAAAGTAAGTCCGTAGTAGTTGGTCCTTATTCCTGGACAAATCCTGGTATCATGCATTTTTTCTCTCTTCATATCTAGCAATAGAATATGAAGTTATAGCAATTCCAAGTTATGACTTAATGCCCCTATTGGACTATTCCTTTGGGATAAGAACAGTCGAGATAGCAAACTCTGGTAGCACGAATGCATTGTCTAATGATTACAAGTATATATATATATGGAACTAGGATGGGGATCTATACCGTTGAATGTAGGCCCCGCCCCTCTACCTCTACATGGTTCTCATCCTCAATGTATACAACATTGTTCCCTATGACACAACTGTTCGAATCAAACATGATTTAAATACGTGCATTCATATGGATTGTTGGGGATTTTAAGAATTTACCTGTATTGCACCTCTGCCCCTTGTTTATACAAGTTCAAGTCCAGTTTAACCAACAATGTTCCACACTTAATTAAATAATATCCAGTTAGTCGTTCTGAACTAGAGGCGTTTTGAAAGAAACGATGACAAAGGAACCAAAGGAACGTTGATAGATGCCTTAAAGCAAAACATAAAAAGGGATCAAGAAAAAAAGACAAGGTAAGAGATCAATGCTAATGGGTTCTTTGCTTTTGTTTTAGATTTTTTCATCCAACTACACATTTTTCCTTTAAAAAAGCTGGCGTACTTATAAAAAGGAACCTATTTATTGTTAGGTTATGCAGGAGGTTCCTGGTATGGCCACACTGGCGCTGCAGTTGACTATCTTTGCCTGCCACGTGATCCAGAATGGTTACAGACAACAGTTGTACCGGATGATTACACAGGGAGGCTCTATGGGGCAGAGTACGAATCTAACACCGGACATACTCTATTCGGGCCTCAATCACGAGATGAAGAGGTTCCCTGTGCCGTCTGTAGATCTACGTCTTTTGTCTCCTCTGTGATGATACCGGCGAGGACGACCTGCTACAGCGGCTGGACGAAGGCGTTCAGTGGGTCACTTGCGGCAGGGTACTATGGACACATAGCTGCTTCTCAGTACGTGTGTGTAGACGAGAACGCACATCCTCTCGCTGGAGGGGCTGATAGAAACGACAATGGTATATTGTTTCTTGGCGTCAAAGCTTTTTGTGGTTCTCTTCGATGTCCTCCGTACGAGCAAGACAAATTTATATCTTGTGTAGTTTGTATGAAATAAATATTAAAAAACAAATGTTATCCTGTATTTTTATGAAATAAACAACACCACGAAAGATGTCTTGAAGATTTCATAACAAATATTTGTATTTTCTCTCGTATTTTTCTTTTTGTAATCTTCCACGCAGCAGATGACCACTAATCATAAAGGATCTCAACAATTGTCTCTATCAAAATATCGGTTCACTCATTCACCCTGAACACTCATTTGCACTCTTCCAGTTCAAAGGTTGGAATAGCTCATTATGAAGTTTTAGGAGTGAATGAGTTAAAGTTGACAAATTTTATCACTTAAGTATTTTAATTTCTGTATATTCATTTGTAAAATTTGGCAATGCAGCATAATAGTCTTTGCAATTCCATTGAAACAATTAAAGTGAGGTGATGGTACTGCTAGATTCATTAGATTAGAATCAGTCAACATATTTGATTTTAATTTTAATCTTGAAAGTTGAGTTGATAGTCTTGATATTAACGAGGCCATGATCTCAACCATCTATAGTTGTTAGTTAATTGAAAGTTTATTTACACATTTGACTCCTTACCTTGCAATTTGGTCAAGGTCGTTTGTGTTTTCAAACTTGCTAGCCCTTAACTTGACCACGTCTCTGAAAACATTAAGATCCTAAGCCGAGTTTGTTTAAATAGCTTAATTGTTCTTACTGTACATACGGAATGAGCTTATGTCAGCCATTTTTACTGAAGTGATAGCCCTTTACTCAAGCATTGGAATGGTCAAATATTTTTCCTCAGCACCTTAGTTTCTTAACAGTTTCTGTATAATTGGCTGATAAGACATGACAAAAGTGACATGGACTTTTGAGATTTGGACCTCAAAAAGCTATCCCAAGCTAGGATTTCTGATAACAGTGTACACGCTTTATTGTCCAACATGAATTGGGCTGACTCCCTATTGTTTTCTACAGCAAATGATATTGACTTTTGAAATTCTGATTAAAAACAGTCACAAGCAACCGCTTTCCAGATGAAGCAGTGCATGAAAATAAATGGACAGATTGGTCGAGTGGTTAACATGGAATATTCAGAGAAAGTGTTTTTCTCCTGCCCACACAACTCCAACAATCCAGTTTGAGTATAAAATGGTTTGGGGTTGGTGTTGCGGTATCGATGCTGTAGCATTCAAGTGAGGAGGCACTATTAATTGTGCTGCTGGAAGCACAGTCCTAATACAAACAGAACACAATACATATCCAGCACACACACAGGCATACACTCATTGGTAGATATTAGCCAGGTGAAATAGGACTAGTAGTTATCGCCTGATAAGGCAGCTCCTGCGAATTCGACAAAATTGTATTGATTAATGTATATGCTAATTGTGTTCATTGTTGATCTATGTACTGTAAAGTGCTTTAGAGTGGCTTATTCTAGCTAGATAGGGCGCTATATCAAATGTTTAATATTAGTATACCCCCGCAACGAAGTTAGGGTTTGGGTATACTGGAATAACCCTGTCTGTCGTCCACAGTCACTTGCCCGAAACACTCATCCTTAACTAACAGGCGGATTTCATTTAAACCTTTCATGAACGATCGTTATTTTTTGTTGTTGGAATCTTTTTGATGGAGNGTGCGCATTACTTTTCCGCAAAACTCCTCCTCTTTAACTAACAGGTTGATTGGTATCTTATGTAGTTGTGCACAAGCATTTTAATTTTTGGATATCGACCCTTTTGATTGAGGTATGCCCCTTAGGCGAAACACTTGTCCGTGCAACTCCTCCTTAACACATAGGTGGATTTCATTGGAACTTTTCATGAATGATCGGTATCTTTTGTTGTTGTGCATCGGCATTTTAATTTGGGATTTCGACTCTTTTGATGGAGTTATGCCTCTTTGGTAGAAAGACTTGTCAGTACAACTCCTCTTTAACTAACATGTGGATTTCATTGAAATTTTGCATGAACGATCGGTATCTTATGCAGTTGTTAATCGGCATTTTAATTTGGGATTTTGACCCTTTGTGATGGAGGTATGCCCCTTTGTGCAGATACTTAATACTGGTGGGAGACTATGGATTGCTTTGCAATGCTTTGCTTTAGTAAGCCTTTAACTTACAGTTCTGGTTTAAATAGCAGCAGGTGTATTAGTTAGCCTTTGGCTTACAGTTCTAGTTATTGAGTGGCAACCAATAAAACATACAAAGCAAGCACTTTTTAAGGGAGTAATGTATGTATTTAGTTTGAGCGCTATCAGCCAATGAAAACTTCAGATGTACTTAGCTTCTCAGCCTCTAGGCGGGTCATCCTCTCTATTTGTATAAGTTCTGTAACCCATAAGCTAAAGGATTCTACCACTACATTTAGGCTAAAACCTCTCCAGTAGTTTGGAAATAAATGTCATTTAATGTCTTTCTCAATGATTTGATTATCATATTTTCGTAAAAGGTATGATCACTCTTTATAACATTACATATTTGATTTGAAGAAAGAATTTGAACACCTTTAGGGATTGTCAGACTATTCTCTATAGAGAAACGCCTTTTAAGCCTTCAAATTTCCTTGTAATGTTTCTGTTACCTGCAAATGTAGAACCATAAAAAGCAGTGACAAAAGTTTCAAAAACAAATAAGGTTTTATAAAGATTTTATTTCAGAATGAAATATATACATCAAATGATCTCGTATCAACCATAATTTACAAAAGTATCTATACAATTCCATTCACGTGGAAGCAGCAGAATGATAAAATTATAGTGTTAATTGGTCAACTGTATCTTTGCTTAAGGAGACATAAAGCTGACAGTGCAAGTTAAAAAGCTTCTAATTGAGATTTGATTTTTTTTAAATGTTATTTCTGGTGCCGACATTTTAGTTTGGTCTTGCTTGGTAACGAATATTGGTCATTTGTTAGGGTGCAATAGGTACACAAGGTCACAAAACTTTACTATATATATATAACACTATCACGCACGATGTTTTACCGACATTTTGTATCAGATCAGTTGAATAAAACTGAAATTGAACACATCGAATATATCATTTATCCAAGAAAAGTGAAAATAGTAGTATAATACGACCAACTAAAATATCAAAATATCTAATGCACTAATTCCAATCTTTTCCATGAAAACGGTTCAATTATCAAGTTCGCATTGTTGACTTCACACCTGGCAGTGTCGCATTTTGCAAGTGTTTTTCTAGTAAAGGGTCTACACGACGAAGACTACGAGTTCATAATAAAGTTATTATTAAGGAGTCATCTGCAAATTGTCCAAGTTTATAATTATTGTGATGTATCTGAATACCCTTGATATTTGTATTGTTTTCCCCCGTGTTATATAGTATATATATGAACCAAACAATGTGATGATTATAGTGTAAGGGAGGTAACAATTGCTTTATAGAAATTCACATAGAGAATATATACATTTTATATAGTATATACATGAACCAAACAATGTGATGATTATAGTGTAAGGGAGGTAATACTTTGTACTATGTTTGTGAACATCCCAGGAAGGAGATGAGTAATGAACGAGAATAATAAGAGAGACAGAAGACGAATGGCGTGGTTTATACTTCCTCCGAAATAAGCGAGCCCCAACATATTTAACCCATAACACCTGAATAGTTAGTACATTGCAACTAGTAAGAATAGATACAGTGAGACGGGATCTCCTTTTCGGCATCCCAATTTTATATTTAAGTTCGACAATATATAATTTTGAGTTATATCCATCTTAGCCCGAGTTTCCTCTGGCCCTAACACCAGAACACTGCATCACAGTTTGGGGTCTATATATATTGGCTACGATTAAAGGGTTTGAGTTCTTAAATTAGATTTGAATATACAATAATTTCATGCCCTCTACCTCCATGTCTTTACGTCTGATAAACGGTGTATTGTTCTCTATATATGTCGCTACACCACCATGCCGTTTTCCATGCGGCCTGTCCAATCGTTCCAGCTGATAATTATTTATATTAACATCTCTTTCTTCTTCAGATAAGTAAACTCGGACTGCATATAAATTTCCTTTGTACAGCATTTAAACACTATTTATGATGTTATTATAAGGATTGACCTTCGTTTTGACGGCGTAAACGGTAGTATGAACGCAGTTGACAACGGATTATAGAATATGTTCGTTGCCAACTGCGTTCATACGACCGTATAACGTCACTTATGTCCGAAAATAACCAGATTCTTGGGAACACAAAATATCCAACTGCTAACGTGCGACGTGGAAGGATATTTCTTACAATGTATTGTAAATTCTCCGTATGTTCTACGAACACATCTTTAAACCAGGAGGTAACGAAAATAATGAATGTTCATTTTCCTCAATATTACCGTACNCATTCATTTAGAGAATATCTACATTTTATATAGTATATATATGAACCAAACAATGTGATGATTATAGTGTAGGGAAGGTATTGCTTTTTACTATGTAAACTCTCCAGGAAGGAGATGAGAAAAGAACGAGAATAAAAAGAGAGACAGACGACGAATGGCGTGGTTTATATTTCCTCCGAAATAAGCGAGCCCCAACACATTTAACCCATAACACCTGAATAGTTAGTATTTCAGCCTAGTGGATTGCAAACTATAGCAAGAAAAGATACAGTGAGACGGGACCTCCTTTTCGGCATCCCAATTTTATGTTTAAGTTCAACAATATATAATTTTGAGTTATATCCCTATTAGCCCGAGTTTCCTCTGGCCCTAATACCTGAACACTGCATCACAGTTTGGGGGTCTGTATATATTGTCTACGAGTAAAGGGTTTGAGTTCTTAAATTAGATTTGGATATACAATATTTCCATGCTCTCTACCGCCATGTATCTACATCTTATAAACGGTGTATTGTTCTCTATATATGTCGCTACACCACAATGTCGTTTTCCATTCGGCCTGTCCAATCGTTCCAGCTGATAATTATTTATATTTACATATCTTCCTTCTTCAGATAAGTAAACTCGTACTGGGTATACATTAGTATACGCAATGAAAAAGGGCTCGGCGGATTGATACCTGCTTCAAAAATGGCGCCGTTCACGCTTCAGTGAGATAACTGTTCGATGACAGCCATTGTTTGGTTCCTTCAACATCTAGAAACATTGCACATATTTGAAATCCATTTTGTCAAATAATTCAACAATTTTATGCTGGCAAACTTCTTATTCCGTGGATGCATATTCAAAATTCTTTGACGGTAAAGTAAACAATGGCGGCTTCTTTTTTGCGAAGTTCGACTGCGTAACCACCAGAGCGGTGTGTCAATGCATGGACCTAACGACCTTTATAAATGAATAAATATGTCCGAAATGCTACTTATGTTATTAAATTAAAACTTTAAGCGATAAAAAGAAGAAAAATAGTGTTGTTTACTGCGTATTTTCTAAATTTACCCATATATCGATGTAGATTCACTGGAACTATATTATCCTAGCAAACACGGTTACTCTATTTAACATCGTAGTAACTCGCTTTGAATGTCTTTTCCTTTGTATAGCATTTGACAACTATTTATGATGTAATTATAAGGATTGACTTTCGTTTTAACGGCGTAAACGGTAGTATGAACTCAGTTTGCAACAGATTATAGAATATGTTCGTTGTCATCTGCGTTCATACGACCGTATACGCCGTCGAAATGCAGGCCAATCCTGAAATGTACACCTCATCGTCACTTATGTCCGAGCATAACCAGATTCCTGTGAACACAAAATATCTAACTGCTAACATGTGACGTGGAAGGATACTTCTTACAATGTAAATACTCCGTATGTTCTACGAACACATCTTTAAACCAGCAGGTAACGAAAATAATGAATGTTCATTTTCCTCAATATTACCGTAGTACATATGTGCCAGTTATGCTAATTGTGCATTTCCAGAACATGTTAAGAATACAAACATTTATGATAGTCACACAATTAAATATCACAGAATGTAAAAGCTATTTGAATCATGTATCACCGTATAATTATATCGGGTAATTCTTCTTAAAACATCTACACTGCATGCATTTCTAACATTGCTGTTTAGTCCATTCCTCAATACAGAGCATTTATAGGTAAAAGATCTCTTAAAATAGTAGTTTGTTCTGGCTAACGGTACATACCGCTTCTCTGAAGATGATGCTCTTGTAAATCTAGCAGTGACCTCATTTACATAAGATTACATATTGTATAAAACACATGGAATATCAGTTTAAAATTTTGTCAAAACCGCTTTTCTAAAATCATATAAGTCAAACACAAGCATCCATCGTATGATTTAAAAGGTGAACAAGTAGGAGTTAAGATATTTCTAACATCGAGTAAAGTTCTAGCGGCTCGATTCTGAAGTTTAAAAATATTATCAATATATATACTTTATTACTTGGAGTGCTCAACATCGATGAGCAATAGATAAAATGCGTTAACACAATAGTGTTGTATACCTTAGAAGAATTTCATTATACATAAAATGTCTAAGTCGTCAAACAACACCAATCTGTTTTGACAACCTTTCCATGATAAAAAATTATCACTAAAGACACCTAGAAGTTTGGCCCGTATAACAGTTTCAATGGTAAAATCATCAATCTTAACTACAGGATCACTACATTTAGCAAGTTTTTGTACAGTTGTGTTATTTTTTCTTCCAACAGTTCAACAGTCTTATTTCTGACATCCTGGGAAGTACATCAGCATACATGATAGCTGTTGCATGCTTTAGACACTTTGGATAATCATTTATATTTAATATTAACATCAGTGGTCCCAAAATTGAGCCCTGTGGGACACCAATATTTATTGATAGAAAGTCGAACTAAATATTTCCGAAACTTACAGCCTGTGTCCTCTAAGAGAGATAAGACTCCAAAATTGCAGAGCTGACTGAGAGACACCATGTGCATACAGCTTGTGTAAAATTACCTTCTGATTTGCCGTATCAAAGGCCTTACGAAGGTCAATAAAAAGGACACCCTTAAGATAGCCCTTATCAAAATCACTTAGAAGTACTGTTTCAGTAGAATGATGTGGTCTAAAACCAAAATGACAGTCACCTATTAGTTTGTCCGTACATGTTCATCTTGCAAGTGACAAATTAACTTCGTAAAGCTGTTGAAACTTACGCAAACAACTGTACTTCATTTATTTGATTATTCCTTTTGTCTATAATAGAGATAATGGGAATATACCCTTAAAACACAATAGCTGACTTTTGGATTTGTTTTCTGCATTGTTTGGAATAATATTTGTATTATCAATATCATTTTTTTAGTGTTGATGTCCCTTTAATACTCTTTGAATAGTGGCAGATAAATTGGAAATTACTTTAATCTGCGATTTCCTTTCGTTCAAATTTGCAAGTAGGATCGATCATCTAAGGATGTATATCGCGAATATTCATTGAGCCACAATTAAAGCTATTGATGTACTTTTTTCTTTCGTAAATTCAAATCTTCGTGAATACGTTGTTGGGAGAACAATCGCTAAAATAAATGTTTACAAAAACAAGCGTCCCACAGTATATAACTTTTCTATCGTAAACAAGATTCGTGGGATTTTTTCTTTGTTACACCCAAAGTTGCACACCTATGCACTGACCCATTTTTGACGTAGTGTCAGTTCCTGAATGATAACCTTTGCACGAATTGTTGTTGCCATTTTGTTAGCTAAAGGGAATCGGTATAGACGTAAAATGGTGCTTAACCGTATCCGAATCAGTTTAGTAGTATTCGTCTTCTATGTGTTCATAGTTTGTGGTCATTGCAAACATGACTCTAACAAAAGGATTCTCCTGAATGACCCAGACTACATCCACCAGCTTATAACCCACCTCCAGGGAGAGTTACAGACCCTCCAGGTCACGGTAGAGACACAAACTGGTGAAATATTCTCTCTAAAAACCCAACTTTCACAGTCAAACAACGGTAAGCTACTTAATTACTATAATTGAAGATAGACAGATAATATGTTGAATTTTAAAGTGTGTCATAAAAAAGAAAAGTCCTAACCATACTATTTGCTCTTCAGCTTGGCGAAGGTGTGCACGTATATCGTTAAGAGTCTGGATTGTATATGTAAACGTAGTAATTATGTGTCTTGGTGCGTGTGTGTGTGTGTGCTAATATCCCTTAGCAACGGAGTTGCCATCTGGTTATTTTGACCTGCGTCGAGCGTGCATGGGTTAACCCGCTTATCGTTGACTTCATTGATTATGGCCCTGGTCGCGTATACGACATGCGTGTGATCCTTGGCCACGAAGCGGTGACACCTGTCAGTTTTTCTATCGGGTTTTCTGAGGTACTTTTATTTTTCGGCTCAACAAAAGTAAAACAACGCGATGACGTCATGAAAAGTTACTCTCCGTATCAAATTAAAAAATCTCAGTTAAACCTGAAAGTAAAACTGACCAGGATCAAGATGGCGGCACCGTTGCTAAGGAAAACGCCATCTTGCAGCGCCGTTGCTCCCCCTCGTTGACTTCATTGATTATGGCCCTGGTCGCGTATCCGACATGCGCGTGATCCTTGGCCACGAAGCGGTGACCCCATTTCCATTTGCAGCAGAAACTCAGCAAAATTGGTCTATCAAAATATTATTTTAAGTTTAAAAAGCGTACTTATGTCTGTCAGATTGAATTTCAAATCAATTTTCTAAGTAACAAGAATTGCTCTGGATCAAAAACTCCAATTTAATTTTATTGAAATCGGTGCAGATACATTGGAGTTTAAGTTCCAAGAAGATTTTCAAGATGGCGTCTATATAGCGGCTATATTGGATTTCAATCAGCGCTAAAATAACAAGTATCTGTCTGAATATAGACATGATTTATTTCCCCATTCAATCGGCGAAACAAATCCAAAGGAATTGGAACAATAATTAAAAACAAAAATCATACACCGATCATTAATCTATAACATGTCAGCGAAATCGGTCCTGAGTTGACGTTGAAATATATTTTTAATATTGCTACAATTACTGTGCTATTGGATTTCAAATTTGCTTTAACACTACAAGATCTGGTCTGCATTCGAGCTTATAAAATAAATTTTAAAAATGATGTCCTTTACGGTCATTCTGGAATTCTGATCGGTTCTAAAACTACAAAGTCCAGTCACTACTATGTCATTATCATTCCAAATACAGTTCAGCCTAATGAGCTCAATAGAAATTATGTTAAAGGGGGAAAAAATTAAGATGGATACCATGGAGTCCATATCTAATTTTAATTTTAAATACTTAATTTCTATAGTTACAAGAGCAAATCTAAGCCACACATCACATTCCAATTATTTTCAAATACATTTCAGCTAAATTGGTTTAGCAGAATTGAGTTAAAACTCGAAATATATTCTCAAGACAGCTGCCATGGCGGCCATATTAAAAAGTTTTTTTGAATATACATGAAAGTTTAAAACCTTAAAAATAAGAACTTAAAGATAAATAAAATACACAAATCAAGAGACATGTATTATTTAAAAAAAATAAAAAAATAAAAAAAATATTCATTGCAGGATATATTAATTCATAAATCTATATTAAATTTTGAATGATCAGTTGATGCATGTACTACCACACTCTGTTGTAATAAGGAACCATTCAAATCCATTTTGCGTTCAAACCATTGAAACAAGAGACCCAATCGGCCTGTATCAACCCGCATCTATGACAATTAAATAGGTCTTGGTCAAACTTAAATAGGTTAAAGTATGGTACTTTACAAATTATCAGTATTTTTGGGAGATTGTATTACCTGGTAGACTACACTTTATAACAATTTATAGGAAGGCTTTAACTTACTGTAATAATCTGATCTTCAAAGATGGTTTAGGTCATTCATTCAAATCTCACTGTAACAATATAATAGCAATTTACACCATTAACATACAGACCAATTGGAATAACACCTATGTGACCTTGGAATTGAGTAAAAAAGTATCACTGGAAACAACTTCAAAGACTATAATATTTTACTTTTACTTTTTCATTCAAACAATTTGATCCTTTTTCGGTGTTTTGGCTATAGCCTATTTGTTTTGTCTTAACACTTTGAACTATCCAGCTTTTTGCCTACATAATTATGACATGAATGTTTAAAACACTTACTCGCTATATACATGTGCATAAATGTCACTCAGTATTCTTTTCCATATATAATCAGAACACGATTTCTCATTTGTTATAGTCGGTGGGGGATCCACGTTTGTTCGCTGGGGACGGACCGACTGTCCTGCCAATCTGACGGAACTCGTATATTCTGGTAAGTTTGTAACCCTATAACCTAAGGACAGGAGTGTCTTGTCTCTTCATCCCTAGCAAGTTTAAACCAAGATATAAGATGAGAACGTTAACTGCTTCGATGTTATGACACAGGGAGTGAGTACTAAGGTGCGAGATACGAGTCTAGTCCTAACAACACTAGTATGTATATACATTATGTATGATGATGTGATGGGGATTTGAACAGTTTATAAGTTATACCCCAGGAAGTAAGTCCGTGTTTGGTTTGGTAGAAATGTTTTGTCTCTTCATGCCTGCCAAGCAATAATATATGTAGTAATAGGGTGGAAATCCTGAGTCATTTAGGTAATGACCTGATTTCCCTATTATACCCCTTTCCTTTGGATGGGAACAGACGCTAGAGCAATTTGTGGTAGCATAAATGTATTGTCTAATGATGTCAAGTATATGCATATATGGACATAGGATGGGGAGCCCAACTGTTAATATATTGCATTACTTATTCCATTGAAATAAGCCCCCGTCCTCCTACCTCTATAGGGTTCACATCCCCAATTTATAAAACATTGTCCCCTATGCCACAGCTGTTCAAAATCAAACATGATTTAAATACGTTCAATCTTATAGAAGGCGAAGAATTTTAAAGATTTACCTCCACTGCCCCTATTGCGTCTGTCCCTCTGGCCCTTGTTTGACCAACAATATTCTATACTAAATTTTACAAAAATGGAGTTAGCCGTTCTGGACTAGAAGTGTTTTAAAAGAAACGATATTTTTGTTTAAGATTTGTTCATCAAACTACACTAATTTCCTTTAAAAATGTGGCGTATTTATAAATAGGAGCCCATTTGTGTTAGGTTATGCAGGAGGTTCCTGGTATGACCACAGTGGAGCAGCAGTTGACTATCTTTGTCTGCCACCTGATCCGGAATGGTAACAGACAACAGTTGTACCGGATGATTACACGGGGAGGCTCTATGGGGCAGAGTACGAATCTTTCAATGGATATACTCTCTTTGGGCCACAATCACACAATGAAGAGGTTCCCTGTGCGGTCTGTAGATCTACTTCCTTTGTTTCCTCTGTAATGATACCGGCAAGGACGACCTGCTACAGCGGCTGGACGAAGGCTTACAGTGGGTCACTGGCGTCAGGGTCCTATATGCACACGTAGCTGCTTCCCAATACGTATGTGTAGACAAGAACGCACAGCCTCTCGTTGGAGGAGCTAATAGTGACGACAATGGTAAAATGTTTCTTGGCGTCAAAGCGTTTTGTGGTTCCCTGCGATGTCCTCCATACCAGCAAGACAAATTTATATCTTGTGTAGTTTGTATGAAATAAATATTTGAGAAAATATTTAGTATCTTGCATGTTTATGAAATATTTCAAAACAAATATTTATATATTCTCTCATATTACTCTTTTTCTAATTTCACACGCAGCAAATGACCACTGAACGTAAAGGATCTCAAAACTTATCCCAATCAAACTATCAATTAACTCATTCACTCATGAAGACACATTTGAACACTTGTGTAAAATTTGGCAATGCAGCATAATAGTTGAAGTCTTTACGATTCCATTGAAACAATTAAAGTGAGGTGAGGGTACTGCTAGATTCATTCAAAATAATTCAGTTAACACCTTTTATCTAAGTGTGACCTTGAAAGTTGACTTGGTAGTCTTCATATCAACGAGGCCATGTTCTCAGCAATCAACGGTCGTTCGTATTTCGAAAGTGTTTTTTTACACATTTGATCCCTTACCTTGTAATTTGGTCAATGCCATTTGTGTTTGCAAACTTGCTAGCTCCTCACTTTTCACAGCACGTTTCTGGTAAAACATTAAAGGATTTTGGCCACAATTTTTTACATTTTGTAAAAATAAGCGAAACCTGTAATATACTTTAATAAATACCGAATCATCCATTAACATATACTTAATACCTTATCATAATCCATCATAACGTTACATATCCCCATATCGACGTCTAAAAGTGAAAGTTTTACCAAACAAATTTTGCATCTGAGTTTGACGTAGTATTATAGCACGTAGACATGGAACGCGAAAACTTTCATTCAATTTGGACTTGAAAAGTAAAAACGCCGGACAGTATAGTTAGTTTGTATACCAACGAGTATACGTGAACAACTAATGTATGTCTAGTGTCGATCAAACTGTCACTGTCACGATTAAATTAGATTATGATAGTTTGAAACATTTGTTTCTTTGAAATATTGCTTTAGATGTCGGCTGAAATCGGGATACGAAAATTAAAATGACCCTTCCCCATTTCATGATTTTTTTTCATCTCACCTAAAATCAGTAACATGTTTTTTTTACACTTTGTATGGAATTAGCAAAAAATAATCCTCTTTGGGGTGTTTTGAAATATATGAAAAAGTATACCGTTCTGAGGCATTATATTATTTGCCTTCTCCGTTGAACAACGGTTAAAAAATGTACAATATCTAGTTAAATAATTAAACAGATTCGTCACTCAGGTGTGGCTTGAAGTAATTACCCAAAACCCAGACACAAACAAATATTGCTTCATATTCTATGCATACTTTTCAGAAAAGAAACAGGTTCCTAAATCTCCACTCATCGCTAGCTTCAAATTATACGTAAAATTCAAACTCGAAATAGAAAAGAATTTTGCCAGGCTTGTGATATTCAATTCAATTAGGCTTCACGGCATTGGTTTTGCGTTTGTTTTAAAACACAATTTCCATAAACAGGAACTTGATTAGTTAGGATCTATGCTAATATTGGAAGGTTTATTATGAAAATAGTGTGCCACAAGTAAAGTCATCACGAGTTGTTGGATCCGCCCCTGAAGATATATTTTATTTAAAAAAGGTTGCTAAACAAATGTTCATGTTGGTATTTTAAACTATGCAATAGATGTCATATCATCACCTCCATTGCTACAAAAATAACAACACTGTAGTATTCAGAATTTTCATCAAAAAACTAATATCGTATATGATTCACACACATTTTTACCTTATTAACTTCGTCAGTTTTCGGTCCATGTTACTAAACGCATGTCAAATACAAATATAAACGCTGTTGAAATTTACTTTAACACTTTTAACAACATTTTTTCCCCGAACACTGGGACAAAAAGAAACGCACCGGTACGCCATACTACCTGTGTTAGTTGGATGATCGGTTATAAATGCCCTTTGGCCACGACATTCACAGGTAACACCTCTGAGATAATGACAACTGTAGTTCACCAGGTAGGTAACGTAAATGCCCTTTGGCTATAATAAAATGTGGTAAGAACTACATGTAACTAACATACCTTTTAATTCACAGGCAAGATATTTAGTTGTGTAAACTGTGTATTACCACGGACTTAGATAACAATCTAATTCCGTGGTATTAATATCTCAAAGTTTGGACCTGAACTAAAGTGTTCAGAGTAATTTTACATCTTAAGATCGACTTTCGGTAAAAATGACACCCCCAAAGATCACAAATATAAACGAGAAGGGTGGGAAGCTCTCGATGTCGAAAAGTCGACCCCACCTAACTTTCTTGCATCAAAAACAAAATTTCTAGTTGATCTACTTAAAGTACCGCTGCAAAGATAGATACTTTTCCACGTAAAGTTGACGTCAGCCTCGTGCCGAAACATGCAGTGTTGGTTGGTTTAGCGAAAAAAAAGGCTGCGCTTCCAGCCAATCACACCACGATCCGCGAGAGTCGCCGCAAGTGGCTGACGTTACCATCATTAATATTATACAAAGAAGTGGCACGATGACTGCGAAAAACTTTTTGAGATAGCGTGTGTTTTTGAAGCAAATGGAGATCATGTCCGCGGAAGGAGAATACATTTTATGTGCATAAAGGAGGTTTTTAAAAGAAAAACTATCCATCTTTCTAACGGTACTAAGCATTTACCCGTAGATCAACTAGAAATGTTTTTGATGATTGGGGGTGTCATTTTTACCAAAAGTCTATCTAAACACTTGTGACATGTAAAATGAATCTGAACATTTTAGTTTAGGTCCAAATATAGCTGTAACAAATTCTCATGTCCCTGCAAGTGGACATGACAACAGTGACATGGACTTTTGAGATTTTGCCCTCAAAAGCTTTCCCAAGCTAGGATTTCGGATAACGGTGTATAAGCTTTATTGTCCCACATGAATTGTGCTGACTCCCTATTGTTTTCTACAGCAAGTGATATTGACCATTGAAATTCTGACTTGAAAAACAGTCGCAAGCAACCACTTTCTAAAGGAAGCAGTGCATGAAACTCGAGTGTTCAACAATTAAGTAGAAACCAATAGTAACAATGACTTTGACCTTGAAAAACCATCCAAAGCAAGCACTTTTGTTAAGGGAGGAGTGTATTTAGTTTGAGTGCTATCAGCCAATGGAAACTTCAGATGTACTTAGCTTCTCAGCCTCTAGTCGGGTCATCCCCTTTATTTAGGAGGCACTATAGTCTAGTGGTAGGACGCCCGGCTCATGACAGAAGGGTTGCGGGTTCGAGTCACGTCACGCCATTGTGTTGTATCTTTGAGCAAGACATTTTACTCCGCTTGTTCCAGTCTAATCAGCTGTAAATGAGTACGTGGTTTGGCAGTGCTAGAATTGTTGAATGTTAGCTGTGAGCGCTGAAATGGCAACACCAGCTGTTTGCTCTCCAGGGAGTTGAGAAAGATATTTGCTGGTTGCAAAGGCTCTATAACCACGGATAATAATTTGTGAACCACTATGAAACGAACTAGGTTGTGATAAAGCGTTATATAAGAACCTAAACTTATTATTATTTGTATAAGTTCTGTTCCCCATGAGCTTAAAGATGCTACCGCTACATTTAGGATAAAACCTCTCCAGTAGTTTGGAAATAAATGTCATGTAATGTCTTTCTCAATGATTTGATTATCATATTGTCGTAACAGGTATGATAACTCTTTATAACATTACATATTTAATTTGNATAAGCCTTCAAATGTCCTTGTAATGTTTCTGTGGACTTGCAAATATCGAACCATAAACAAAGTAGTGACAAAAGTTTCAAAAACAAATAAGGTTTTATAAAGATTTTATTTCAGAATGAAATATATACATCAAATGCTCTTGTATCTCCTCCCAGATAAAACCATAATTTACAAAAGTATCTATACAAATTCTCTTCACGTGAAAAGCAGCAGAATGATAAAAGCATAGCGTTAATTGGCCAACTGTATCATGCTTAAGGAGACTTAAAGCTGACAGCGCAAGTTAATAAGCTTTCAATTGAGATTAATAAAAAAATAACAAAAAAATGTTATTTCTGGTTTAGTGATCTTCCCCATATCTTCCTAAGGAAGTGCCGACATTTTAGTTTGTCCTTGCTTGGTAACGAGTATGGGTCTCGCTGGGTATAAAAAGTGCATTACCCGTCAAACCAGTTATCATTTGCTCAATATGTGCACAAGGTGACACTCTATACTATATATATATATATAAAACACTTTCACACACATTTTTTTGCCGACATTTTGTATCAGATCAGTTTAATAAGACTGAAATGGAACACATCAAAGATATCATTTCTCTAAGAAAAGTGGAAATAGTAGTAAAATACGACCAATTAAAATATCAAAATATCTAATGCACAATCCCTCCCCCCCTCCTATATCTAATGCACAATCCCTCCCCCAATTAAAGGACGGCCCTGAAAGAAGCAAACATACGACAAACACTAATGCCTACCTTTTAGATATCCAATTAGTGATAATCTCCTGTGTGAAAACAATACTAATTCCAATCTTTTCCATGAAAAAGTTCAATTATCAAGTTTCACATTGTTGTCATAGCACCTGGCAGTGTCGCATTTTGCACGTGTTTTTCTAGTAAAGCGTCTACACGTGTTTCAAAGTATTCATGTGAGTGTGTTTGAATTTCGATATCGGTTGCCGATCAGGGTGTGCGGTGCATTGTATCGCAAGACGTTACCAAGCAAGGAAAAACCTTAAATGTCGGCACTTCCTTAGAAAAACGGTAGAAGGAAGAGATGGGGAAGATCTCAAAACCAGATTGATTTTTTTTTTCTTTAAATCTCAATTGAAAGCTTTTTAACTTGCACTGTCAGCTTTAAGAACATAAAAATATCATTATCACATACACACCTTCTCGCTTCAAAACAGGAGTAATGCAACGGAAACGATACTCTTATTGATATATCTCGTCCCTGAAACAATTTTCAACTTGAAAATTCACTTATGACATTGAAAATGTCTGAACTGGGTAACAACTAGAATAAGACTTGAAAATATAGCTCTAGCTACTACCTTCATCCATTTTTCTTAACTTACATTTTCCCATTAGAAAGCATTATTAGAGTTAAGGAACTCTGATGAAAATTTTCCTTATCATCAAGTCACAATATTGCAAATACTAAGACTAAGTTTGACTTAAGACGAGTTTGAAGTTAACTTTCTATGTTAAGTCTTTCAGAAACTAAGCTTGAGACAATCTTAAACGTTGTTCACATTAGGGAAAGCAATGCTTTCCTTTTTGAGAGGGCAAAGGACTGTATGGTTTGGGCTTTTTTTGACCCCCAAATCCATCAAAATTAAAAATCTGCGATAGAACTGTCAAACGACTGTTTCTTTAATTTTGAATACCTCTCCAGTACTATTATGTAAACATTTATTTGTGTTTTCAATTATGGCTGCCATGGTAACCAGGTCATATTTGCATAAATTATTGAAATTTGATTATTCAGTCGATTTTGGCAGGTTTTCACCTATTTTTTCTCTGAGCTACCATAGAACGCACTCTTGAACAAACTTTTTATTTCTCCTAGAGATGTATTACAGGTGCCTACACATTATCCTTTGATATTAAGTTTGTTAAAGCATGCACTCTATAGTTTCTAGGAGAAAAACTATGCAAAATATCACAATATTCACTGAATATTCAATTTTTTCTAATTTATGCAAATTTGAAGTTGTTACCATGGCAACAATAATTAGAAATATACATAAATATTTTCATTATGGTATTTAGGAAGTATTCGCAATTAAAGAAACAGTCATTTCAAAGTTCATTTAAAGGTTTTGAATTTTGATGCATTTGGGGTCTAAAACAGGCCTAAACCATACATGGTCCTTTCAAATTACAGAATTCTTTAAGTTGAGGAATGTGTGTGAAACTGAAGTGCAATTGTTGTTAAACAACAATGATTGAACATATGAACGAAAGGTTTGATCATGTCTGTCAACAAAATACTAAAACAAAAGCTTATTAGTGTCCAAGAGTGCAGCTGCCCTTTTTAACCTTTACTAAGATTAGTAGGGAGATTAACCCTAAGTCACAGGACTGATCGTAAATATATAGAATTCTACCTCTTGTCAGATTATCAAATATGCATGACACCTGCCCAGTGTTGAATACTGCCACACTTTTTATATAATTGATCTACCAAGTTTCATTGAAATCAAATCAAGTCTTTTAGAGACTAAGGTTGTTTTTTTTACATGGAAACCAATAGCAAATCAGATTGAAGTATGCTAATTAAGTATGCACAGTAAACCAATAACAAATCAGATTGCAGTATGCTAATGAAGTATGCACAGTAAACCAATAACCAATCAGAATGAAGTATGCTAATTAAGTATGCACAGTATCTGTATAGCCTTGAGCTTGGCCCAAGTCTTTAAGTTATATTTGTTAATCTTCAATGTTTCATTAAAACTGAATTATATTTAAGTCAGTTATTGTGTGAATTACTGAACATCTGATTGCTGTATGCTGATTAAATATGCACAAGACCTGCTCGTTAAGAAACTGGCCTTCGTTTTCTATTACCAAAAAAAAGGGATCTTGTGCCTTAATTGGATAATAATCTATGAAGTTCTTGTGTGAAAAAAACAATAACCAATCAGATTTGCAGTATGCTAAATTATGATCAGTGAATTCAACATAGAATGTGGACATTTTTCCGATTATGCATCTAGATTTCTTGTCAGACAAAGTTTCAGTTAAAGTAGACCATATTTAATAAAGACATTTTTAGACCAGAAATTGGATCGTGTTTGCGGAAGACATTGACAGAAACCAACGTCTAATCCTAACATACCCAGTCTTCTACAGGCATATAAAGGCAGATGTACGAAGGCATGTAATGTCATTGTTCTGAGGTCATAATTCTGCTTAATTAAAAACAGCAGATGAGCAAAACAAATAAGTAGAAAGAAATATATTTTTCTGTCACAACATCACATGAGGTTAAGTTTTCAGTGATTTTCTGAAGTTTATATTCTGCAGTCCTAGATCACCGATATCGAGTCATTGGAACCATTACTATTTTTATCTCTGATGTATGTGTCAACATCCTCCGATGTCCTTCCTTTTCTTCCTTCGGAATCTTGTTTCCTTAGGATCGAATCCCTGTTCCTTGCACCCAAACACTGCCCAGGAAGGTGTCTTAGCCATGTAGTCCTCGGCACAGAAAGTCTCTTGACCGTTACTGGACTTGAACGCTTGCACAAGTTTGTGAAACTTCTCGTAATCTATCCATGTCCACCATTCACCGTTCACCTTAAACTTAAAACGGAAATTCCATACGATAAATTTTATTGTAATTTTTGCATTACACTAGAAAATTAAAAAAAAAAAAAAAGTTTTTAATATTTCAATTACTTTCCTCAATTTCCCTTTAAATTCATTGCTTGTGCTCACAGTACCGTATAACAGATTATTTACACAGGCTTGAATTTTCAGGATTTTGACCCAAAATTAGAAAATTATATTTACACAATCTAGACATGTGAATAAACTAAATTTTTGCAGTGTTTCAGCACAGGGATGGAACACTTGGCATATGAAATGTCAAAAATTCAAATGAATACATAGTATTACAGCATATTGAGCAAGTAGGTGTATTTTGTTAAACAAATCCTCAACAAAACTATAAAATGTGCAATATAATCTATTTTCAAATATCTGGTATTAATCTTGACGTAAATAAATCGTTACAACCACATACTCGCCATTTCGTGACAACATAACGGTAATGAAGTATAATATCGCCGCTCAATTTTACGCTTGTCATATCATTCTGAGAATCATATTTTTCGCGATCACATTATTGACTTGCGAAATCGCGAAAATATCATCCCCGCAGAAATATCCCGCTCTACACTAACAAAACTTTATAATGAACAATATTTTACATTACTATAAATTGATCGAAATTTGAATCAAAATACATAATAGAGATTTTTAATGTCTGACGAATACAGATATTGCGAGTTACCTTTTTGTGAGCCATGAGTAGACAGTTTGAGTGTTCGTGTTCCGAGGCAATCTCGTACTCGTCAAGTTCATCCTCAAGAATCTTGACAAACTTGATGACTTCCTCGTGCCAGGGTACATTTTCCATTGTCAGTGTGGAGGCCTTCGACTCACCACAGTAGGTAACACCCTGGAACAACATTTTTGAAAACTTTTTTATCATGGTACACTGATGTGATATGGGGCCAGTGTTGTAAATGTTGTATTTACATTTTTTTCTTTCTATATTTGTACTTGTGACTTGTGTTTACTGCATTAGGTAGTCTTTGTTCCTTGAAGAAATTGGCAGTTCTTAATTTATTTTAGCAGCAAACAACAGTAATTGTCAATCCAACCGAACTAACAAGTCAAAATGTTTCAGTCAGACGACGAGGAAATCTACAAAGTAAGGTGTCTTATACGTATACCCAGCCGTGAAAACATATCTAAAGTGAATACAGCAGGAGAACAAGTCCGAGGCCTACCGTAGCTGAGGTTGCATACGATATTGATGCTTCAAGATTTTTGCAGTGTTATTAATCGTCATTTTTGTTATAAAAGGCTGTGTGATAACAGAATAAATTTGTGACACATTATGCAAGTTTTCCAATTAGAGAGGAAATTATCGGGTCTTTGCAAAGTCATTTCTAGCAAGGCTGGATATGGAGATTATTACAAAATCCCATTAGCATGATAGCATACAGCAAGACAGACTGGTTAAAAACAGGTGTAATGTGCCTTTTTTTACAGTCATAATGTGACATTATCTTCAACATGTTTGAAATAGAAAAAATCCAGAATATCAAGAGCTTTCAAACAATAAGAAAGATGTTTTACTTTTTGCTTATAATACATGCATATAGGGAACACCTTGGATAATGTAGAACAAACCAATTTCTTTTGAAATACATGTATCAAAGCATGCTCAAACCTTAACAAAAGTTAGAGTACTGACCTTGACCTCTATGAAGTCAGGTTTGCCCTTGGAGACAAGCTTAGCATAGTTCTCAATCTCCTCTGTATTCCATGCCTTTACCAGGGTCAGTCGGTACACAGTTCTCTGTCGTTTCTCACCCAGGGCAAGCAGACTTTCCATAAATCTATCCCAGAAGTCCCTGAAGAGTGGTCTGTCAATCTTTTTGAGACTCTCCTTGGTGCTGGCATCCACACTTACATACAACTGGGTGACAGGAGACATGTTCCTGTAACAAAGTTAAAACCCTTCATTAATCTCATGAACAGATCTTGAATCTAAATTACTAGTACCTTTAGGTGAGGCTGACCCAATGATATAGGAACCTGATAGATTATCATTGAGTGTGAACAATGTAATCTGTACTACAGGTTACGGAAGCACACATGTTATTCAGGTGACTCTTAACATTTTTTACAATTTCAGAAGTCAATTAGAATTTTCCAGAATTGTGAAGAGTCAAAACATGTAAAATAAACCTGTCTTTTAAAACCTGAGAGTCTAAGTTCATTCCCAATTTCCGGGGAGTCAAAAACATACTCTTTTGAGTTTATTGAAAGCCCTATAACATTGAAAGTAATAAATGAGCTCAGAAAATGTGTCAAAATTGCCTTTATTTACAAGCCTATTATTGTTCTTTATTTACAAGCCTATTATTGTTCTTTATGTTATAACTCTAACTATCTGATTATCCTAAATTAATATCAAATTGACTTCCTTAAAGATTGAGCCAACAATGGCAGGCGAACAACCTTGAAAAAGTTCAGTCAAATTACCATATAGCGTAAAATGGTACCAATACTTAATTAATACCACGTGCCATGTATTTCACTGCACTGCAAACAGCCTGAATATTGGATTTATCACTAAAGTAAAATAAAGTAAAATAACCATTTGCCGTAAATTGGTACCAAAACATTATTTCAGAACTCCTAAACCTTTTTTTTAAACTACATTGTATGCTATTCTTTTGATAAATTGCAAAATGTTGGTGAGTTTCAGCTTTCAGGCAAATATCACAAGGTGAAATACTTAAATGCTGCATGCATGGCCTGAATATTGGCTGTATCACTGAAGTAGGATTCAACAGTTTTGTGATAAATCACGGGAGACGACCACTTACTTGATAGCATCTGGGAACTGAGCATTTGTTACGAGGAAAGAGGAGATGCCCTTGTCATGCAGCAGGTCCACAAACTTGTTGATCTCCGGGTACATGATTGGTTCGCCGACTAGGGAGAGGGCACAGTGTTGGATGTCATGGCCCTCCTGTAGTCTCGTAGGTAGGACACCAGGTACACCTGATATATTAGATACAGGTAAAATATTTCAACAATCAAAATGCATATGACATTTTACATGCTATGACCCCTTGCAGCCTGTCCTCAGCCTCTAGGGGTCAGCCCATTGTTTTTAAAATCCCAATCCCAACCAGAGACTGATGATAACGATTTATGAGGTAAAGGATCATTGTCATTGTTTATGGGTAATGCACAACACACAATGCTAGAAAACAAATGAAAAGTAATCACAATAAGTCAGCTTAGCCACTCAATTAACCTTAACAGACAGTAGCCAGAGTGTTTTGTACTTTAATTTAACTTTGATAATCTAATGAAGCGATCTCTGGTAGGTCCTCTTCTACCATGGTACTGTCACAGTAAATAGCACAATCTTGGTCGTTTCCCATCCTGACTCCTACCTCAGAATTACAACAATCAGAACAGTTGCCTTTGAACTGTTTGACGTGACTTAGTTCTCAATCCTGACTCTTACTTTAGAATTACAACAATTTGGCTCCGAGATCATGTTTTTTAGTCTAAAATTGTCTCAAGTTTGGACGTGACCAATGAAAAGTGACGTCATATGTGATTGGCTAAGCAAAAACTTAAGTCAAAGATTGTTTCCTGATCCTAGGGTAAGGACAGTTACCTTTGAATTGTTTGATGAGACTTCGATGATTTTGGATGGCCCCCTCTATCACAGTTTCAGCGTCATCCATTTTCCACCTCCACTCTGTCCCCACAGGGTTTGTGTGATGCCTGTGGGGACATAACATATATACTAGTTTAAACGTTTGAAAAGAGAAACAAAAAAGTTAATCATGTTTATCAGAATTGCAGAATATTCCTCATTAAGAGCGGAGTCAGTGCTTTCATTTACCAGTCAACATCCAACATAAGTGTTAAGAAGGACCTAAGGTTTTCTAAGACTCTCTTTATTAGCTCTCACCATCCGCCTCCAGGGAGTCAAACTTTACATTAAAATAGTGTCCCGTTTGCCCCCAGATGCTCAATATCAGATTTTGTTAACATCTCTTTTGTGATTTTAAACGAGTCATACATCAAACTTAAAGTTGACAGTAAAGGATAGACATAAACACAGACAAACAAATACAAAAGCTGTACCATTGCATAAGCTGACTTCGCTTTCTGGGTATGATTAATAAGTTTAAACACACTAATATCTAGGTGAGTCATCGGCCAATCACATCATCATGACATCACCAATACAGGCATAGTGACTTTTCATAATAAACCTTTTTATAAATTTGCAGAACTTCACTAGTGAAGTAATGAAGTATTGAAGTAGTGAAGTGAAGTGAAGTATATATTGATTGGTAAAAAAACAAAGAGTTTGAAAAGGGCTGGTTGACTCACCTCCAGCAGAAAACACACTTATTGGCACAGGCAAGACTGGGTGTGGTTTCCATGCAGCGGTGACTCTCAATGCCATAGAAGGCATGCTTGTAGCACCCTCCTCTTCCTCTCAGCATCGACTGTTCTCAGGCAAAACACAAAGTTATAGTACAATACATGACTTTAACCAGACAGAGCTTTGGACTGTTACCAGGCCACAACACACAGATACTCAGGACTGTTGCCATAAAACAGAGCTTAGGATTGTAACCAGGCAACATCACTCAGATATAACAAGAGTTTATAACTGTAATCAAGGAACAACACATAGATATTAACTTAGCATTGTTACAAGTCCACAACACACAGAATACAGCAGCGCTTAGGAGTGTAACCAGGCAACAACTACAAGATAAAGTAGAGCTGAGGAGTGTAACCAGGCAACAACTACAAAATAAAGTAGTTCTTAGGACTGTAACCAGGCAACAACTACAAGATAAAGTAGTGCTTAGGACTGTAACCAGGCAACAACTACAAGATACAGTAGAGCTTAGGACTGTAACCAGGTAACAACTACAAGATAAAGTAGAGCTTAGGACTGTAACCAGACAACAACTACAAGATAAAGAAGAGTTTAGGACTGTAACCAGGCAACAACTACAAGATAAAGTAGTGCTTAGGACTGTAACCAGGCAACAACTACATGATACAGTAGAGCTTAGGACTGTAACCAGGTAACAACTACAAGATAAAGTAGAGCTTAGGACTGTAACCAGACAACAACTACAAGATAAAGAAGAGTTAAGGACTGTAACCAGGCAACAACTACAAGATAAAGTAGAGCTTAGGACTGTAACCAAGCAATTACTACAAGATAAAGTAGTGCTAAGGACTGTAACCAGACAACAACTACACGATAAAGAAGAGTTTAGGACTGTAACCAGGTAACAACTACAAGATAAAGTAGAGCTTAGGACTGTAACCAGGCAACAACTACAAGATAAAGTAGAGCTTAGGACTGTAACCAAGCAATTACTACAAGATAAAGTAGTGCTAAGGACTGTAACCAGACAACAACTACAAGATAAAGAAGAGTTTAGGACTGTAACCAGGTAACAACTACAAGATAAAGTAGAGCTTAGGACTGTAACCAGGCAATAACTACAAGATAAAGTAAAGCTTAGGACTGTAACCTCGCAACAACACACATATACACAGGGGAACAACACAGTATTGAGTGAGAGCTAATGATAAAACAGCTCAAATGTTGAGAGAGAAATAATGATACCACTTCCCAATTGTTGAGCAAAACCAAAATAAAATGAGCACAATACAGAAAATGGGAACCAGTAAAAATAGATTATTATGTCCCCTTGGTCCAGCAACACCTTATCACACGAGTGAGACCCTGTGATAACAGACGATGTTGTCCCTACCTTGGTCCAGCGACACAACTTGACACCCGAGTGGGACCCGATCAGTCGGTAACCCTGTTTCTCTAGTGCTTTCCTGAGCGCTGGCGTCACCATCTCCTTAGGTTCCGCACTTGCTTTGGCAAGGTCCTCTCTTTTCCTCCGTACCTGGACAAAATATCACAGTTGAAATTTCAATTATTTATCTGGAAATACTTCCACAAATATAATTTTTTTTAAACCTTACATGGTCATAATATTTTGGTAATTATCTGCTTTTGGTAAAAAAAAAACGAATTGAAAACATTACCGTAAAAACACAAATGAGTGTCACAGCAACTTCCTGTCTCAAACTTTACATAAAAAAGTCAGGTTTCTGCTATCACAAACATATACATTAAAACCCTCCTATATTGCCATTATTTGTCTTACAGAAGTCTTGCATTTCAAGAGATTTGGATTTGGATATTTTTTTGTGAAACAAACAGGGTTTCAAATGAAAACGGGCACTATTTATGGACTGAAATGCATCTTTTAAACATTTATGATGGTATGCCACACAGTTCCATTTAAATTTATTCCATGCTGCACAGTAGTGCGTCTTAGAGAATATGTTTGAACAGAAATATATTGCATACCATCAACAAGCCATTCCTATTGGTATGTCTCGCCTGTTTCCCACTTTGACCATCAATGCACATGTCAAGTTTGGTTGGTGTAGCACTTATAGTTTCAGAGAAGCTAGCTTAAACACAAAACACTAATGTTGATCGAGATGCTGACAAAGTCAATGGACCATGAAAGGTAGGCCACATCCAGCATTTGATGCATGGGTTGAGATGTACTACTAATGATGCATCTATGGTCCAAGTTTGGTTGGTCTAGCATTTATACTTTCAGTGAAACTAACTTAAACGTAAAAACTTAATGTTGACGCCGCCTTCGCCAAAAACTAACACCTTAATCTCGCTTCCTCTACTTCGTCGCAGCGAGACAGAAACCTCAGAATCTTCATGGTTCTTTCAACAGCATAGATCTTTGTAAAGTAACCTCTTGAAGCAGCTTTCTTTGTGTCCCTGTAAAATAGCCCAACAGTAGCGAAGACATTTGGAATACCTTTGCTTTTTTCATGTTCTTCATGACTTTTCCCAGGTCCTCCACATCTACAACACCGTTGCTCTTCTGTAGTGACATATCACTGCCGTCCTCATTTGCTTCCTCCTCCTCATCATCATCATCTTCTTCTTCACTTGTTGTCTCATACAGCTCCTGGAATCATTAAGAAGTAGGTACAGATACCTCTAAAACACTGTTGATACCCATATCATTGTATGATGGAGAAAACAGTCTTCAAAGTGATGTCATATTTATTTTAACAGGGAACTACAATTCTAACAAGAGGCCGATGGGCCTTAACGGTCACCTGATATATTTATACAAAGAGTTGATTTTTGTTTTTAACATGAACAGAAATATTATTCAAAGTGACAAAAAACAATAAAACCACCTTATTCAATATCTAGCATGCAGATTTAATACTGAAAAGTATTTGAACTAGCACCTCTGATTCTAAACAAGGAAAATGAAGAAATTTTATTTTAACACACAGACTCCATTGGGCCCCACCCTACAGCCCTTGGGGGTAGGGATGGCTCAACATTTTCAAAGTATCAAACTGTCAACTTAGGGTTATAATTCCAATCAAATTATCAACATGTAATCTTCAAAGTATCATTTGCCATTATAAACCATAACAAATTTTGCCCCCCCCCCCTTCCTTCCCCAGGGGTAAACGTGAGACCCTAGGGTCATAAAGTTCACAATTTTGGTAGAGCACCTAAAAACCCTTCCATCTATGAAGAGAATTTGATTCTACCATATCTGGTCTTGAGAAGAAGATTTTGAAATTTCAGTCAATTCGACCCTTTTTTTGCCCCACCCATCAGCCCCTGGGGGGTCAGTCAGGGCTGATATGTGCATACCATCAAACTGCTATCCAATACTGATAATGCTAACCCAAATTGAATTACTTCCAATGGCAATGAAACAAATGTTGGTCCAAAATGTGATTTCCCTATATAAACTATAGTAAAGTTTCCCCCGTCCCCAGGGTCATGAAATTCACAATTTTGGTAAAGCACCTTAAGACCCTTCCATCTATGAAGAGTAATTGATTCTTCCATATCTGGGTCTTGAGAAGAAGATTTTTGAAATTTCGGTCAATTCAACCCTTTTTGGCCCCACCCATCAGCCCCTGGGGGTCAGTCAGGGCTCATAGGTGCATACTATCAAACTGCTACCTAATACTGATAATGCTAACCCAAATTGAATTACTTCCAATGGAAATTAAACAAATGTTGGTCCAAAATGTGATTTCCCTATATAAACTATAGTAAAGTTTACCCCCTCCCCAGGGGGAAACGTGAGACCCCAGGGTCAAGAAATTCACAATTTCGGTAAAGCACCTTAAGACCCTTCCATCTATGAAGAGTATTTGATTCTACCATATCTGGGTCTTGAGAAGAAGATTTTTGAAATTTCAGTCAATTCAACCCTTTTTGGCCCCACCCATCAGCCCCGGGGGGTCAGTCAGGGCTGATATGTGCATACCATCAAACTGCTATCCAATACTGATAATGCTAACCCAAATTGAATTACTTCCAATGGCAATTAAACAAATGTTGGTCCAAAATGTGATTTCCCTATATAAACTATAGTAAAGTTTCCCCCGTCCCCAGGGTCATGAAATTCACAATTTTGGTAAAGCACCTTAAGACCCTTCCATCTATGAAGAGTAATTGATTCTTCCATATCTGGGTCTTGAGAAGAAGATTTTTGAAATTTCGGTCAATTCAACCCTTTTTGGCCCCACCCATCAGCCCCTGGGGGTGAGTCAGGGCTTATAGGTGCATACTGTCAAACTGCTATCCAATACTGATAATGCAAACCTAAATTGAATTACTTTCAATGGCAATTTAACAAATGTTGGTCCAAAATGTGATTTCCCTATATAAACTATAGTAAAGTTTACCCCCTCCCCAGGGGAAAACGTGAGACCCCAGGGTCAAGAAATTCACAATTTTAGTAAAGCACCTTAAGATCCTTACATCTATGAAGAGTACTTGATTCTACCATATCTGGATCTTGAGAAGAAGATTTTTGAATTTAAGTTAATTTTACCCTTTTTGGCCCCGCCCCTCAGGCCCCTGGGGGCTGGGGACCATATAATTCACAATTTTAGTTGACAGCTTGACATGATAGTTTCCCCCCCCCCATTGTCTATTTTCAGTAAGTGACCTTGACCTTAAAAACTGTTTCCCTATTGCTCATCTACATATCACAGTTTATCACCATGTGACATTTTTAAAAAGGTCATACTTTTGGATTTCAGGATAAGAAAAGTACTCCTTACAGCCTATTTTTAGAAACAGTAACTTTGACCTTAGAATTGTTTTAACCCCTATTGCACATCTATATATATCACAGTGTGGAATGGGATATGGTTATTATGTCAGTATCTAAATATACAATCTTTCTGAAATTTGAAATGGTGATACACCGTGCAATAAGGGTTTATGAAATTTCTGAGGCCAAGGTCAAAGTCACTGTTTCTAAAACTAGGCCAAATGATATACACATATCACAGTGTATCACCGTGTCATATTTCAGAAAGATTTAAAAAGTCTCTCAGATTCTGAGATAATCTGAAGAAACAAAGTGCAGACAGAGGGACCGACACTGTGATTACTATGGGAGTCTAAAAAAGAATTCAGCAAGAAAGTCAGAAAACTTAAGTGTTATTTTGGTCAGATTTAATGCTATAATATTTCTCATTAAAAGCCTGTAAGTTTGAAGTTTTGACCTGAACCCCTGTATTTACAGGTAACATGACTGACCTCGATCGCTCATCACTGCTACAGGCCTCCCCGGAGTCCATGCTATAATATTTCTCATTAAAAGCCTGTAAGTTTTTATTTTTGACCAGAACCCCTGTATTTACAGGTAACATGACTGACCTCTCCACTGCTACAGGCCTCCTCGGAGTCCTTACATTTGCACTTCCCACCACAATTATTAGATCCATCTGAACATTTGTCGTTTTTCTTTTGTTGATCGACTTTCTTGGTAAATGGTAAGTTTTTCAAAGTTTTCATTTTTCTCCAGAATTCTGCTCGCCATGCATCAAAATCAGCTTCTATTCCTGAAAACAAAACAATGTTTGTGTCTTACATAGGTTTACTTCTTTATGATGGTTTTAAGTTCACTGTCAATACCGTTCACAGAACAGATTTCTTGTATGTGGAGGATGTTTAAACTATTACAATTCATTTGTAAATTATTTTTCAAAGAGAGAGTGTTCAATCCTACCTGCATGTTTACTCTCAGCAACGTTCTCATCTCCAACACCTGCATTCACAATCCTGTGTCCAGACAACTGATGTAGTAAACTGTCAACCTTTTTACCAACCTGGGGAAACAAGAAATATGTCAAGAATGCTACTTCAATCAGCAGATATATATATGTAGCCAGGTGTTCAACTACAACATTCAAATCATCGCCCATAGTGCCATTGTTAAGAAATGTATATGCACGTGCAGCACAGACCACCCGTCCATATCCCAGTCACCGCCGTCTCCCTACTTTAATCTGACTTTACCTCACGATGGTAACACACGGAACCATCGAGAGCACGAACCAGTCACTCCTTGCTCTGGATGCTCCTGGTAAGTATTTATGTGTGTAGTTATGAAATAATTTAACTTTAAACATAATAATCATTTGTCATATATTTCATCATTGTATATCCATTATTTTATAGTGTGAGCGATGTATGAGTGATTATGTATGTTTATTTATTCCATAGGTTTATTTGTCCATGACAAAGAATAAATCCATCTTCTCATATAACTGGAATGGCATTTGGAGTCGATTCATTTAGAACCTACACGCTACATATATAATGTATGTATGTAACCTAACTGAACTATGCAGAATGAATTTTTGTTAATTCAACAAAAAACTCATTCTAAATTATAACTTCTACCCAATATGGTACAGGACAACTTAAAACAAAGTGAGCAGGAATTTGGATATACCCTCCAAAGTGGTTAAGTGTGACCTTTGACCTTTTACTCTTGTCTTGTTTACCCAATGACCACCAAAATCTAACTAGGTTAAGAAACTGGATGTAACCAAACTATGGCGTACATCTAAACTAAATCTGTTGAGATTTGCTTGAGATGTCTTGTACACAAGCTTTTGACTTCAAAAGTGGTCAAGCGTGACCTTTGACTGACCCTTTAGCCTTGACTGATGACCACAAATCTCGAATCAGGTGTACAGCTTGATGTTATCGTATCATATGGTGCAAATATGAACTGAATCTGTTGCAGGATTACCAGCTGCTTTGTACAAAAGATTTTTACTATGGACACTGATGCACAGTGATTTCCATATTTACCCCTCCACTATAAGCGGGAGCATAATGTCAGCCCTTTGTATAAAATATAACAGCAAACCACATATCAACAGCATGACTTCAAGCCTTATGGGTCTGTAGAAGTTATTTAAAAGTTTTTTAGAAACAAGTTGAGGTTGTAGAAGGCATTTTTATAGGATCATAACCGTGCATTTTTTTTTTCAGTGGCCAAATATAAAATGTATAACTTAAACCTGCCAAACACTAATTGATATTTTATCATATTTTTAAGCCCCCCCCCCCCCAAACTTATTCACATATTGAATAACTCTAATTAACTAAGATACTTATTAACCCATTTGGTAAGATTATTTTATGGTTTTAATATGTATTAAGGATAAAAAAGGATGAATTGTGAGACATAACTAAGCCAATATATAACAAGGTCACAGTGACCTACTTATCAACCATGTGCTATTCTTTTCGGCCATTTTTAATATTTGCAGCTTTAGTGTAACGTAATACACGAAAATGATGAAGAAACTTAAAAAAAAGATACATATAGTTTTTTCAAAAAGCGTCCATTTGTGATTTTGATCCCCCCACTTTACCTCCTCATATCTCGGGATGATCTCCAAGCTGACCTTAATTTCATGTCATATCAAATTGATGGCATAACCCCAAGGTATGTAAATACAAAAAATGAAACTTATCGGTGATAGCCACCAGAAGGCCCAAATTGGCACCCCTCCTTTCAATTATGATTTTGAAACTTTGATAAATGAGCCCCAAAAAAAGGCCAAAACCATGCAGAGACATTTTGCAAACATTTTGTTGGCATGCATACATATATGGATATTTCTTTTTTCTGTCATTATTTTTCAAGTTGAGCGAAAAAGTCACCAAGTTGAAATTTGATTTTTATTTCTGTTTGACTTTGCTTATTTTCATAGTATTTTTCTTCCTTAAACAATACAATCTATGAAATTGTTTGTGTATAATTCAAAATCGGATTTAATAAACAATGCATCAAAATTATGATTTCAACAATCATTCAACAATGGTTTACACCCAAAACACTCTAAATCTTTCAACACATATCAATGTCTAGATTGTTTTTTTATACTATCACGATAAAGCTTACCACACCAAAGTGTTCCTTGTACAATGAGTTTCCCAGTCCAAAAACAGCGTAATTGAGATCCTTCAGTAATGTTTTTTGTACACGGAAATCTGAGGATGTGTCTTGCAGCCATTTCAGGAACCAAGCACTTCCCTCTGGTGGCTGACCCTCAGTGTAGGTGGAGATAATCACAACAAGATAACAGTCATCTGCCTGGGGAAAAAAAAATCATATAAAAATTAATAAACAGTTTAAAAAATTGTTTGTTCTATTAGTTGATTTTTAAATGTATTCTTGAATAAGGATTACTTTGGAAAAAAGTTAAATGATCAAGATCTGCTTGATTCAGAAAACATTAATGCAGAGATTCAAGTTTCAAACCCTCATGCCATTGTGCAAACTAAATTTACGTATTATTATTACCCAGTATATGAGAGTAAATACATCATTTTTTTTTCAAAAGGCATGAATACAATTTGTGTGGGAATTTATCTCGATTAGAATTGGAAACAAGAAAAATGAAATATGAACGATGCTTTTATAAACCTGTATGAAGTCTTCTTATAACAGGACATCACAGCCGCTACCATTACCAGAAATGCTGATAAATGCAACTTACATTTGACCATCTCAAATATTCTATTTATAGTAACAGTGATCTTAGTAATGTCGCGATGTAAACTTGCACAGGTTATGTTTATGAACAAGTTTTTCAGTTTCATGATAATGGATAAAAAACGTCTGTAAAGTGATGACAGCAAATCCAATTCAATGCAGCAGTGACCTTAATTTGGGCCTCATTATCAATTTAGAACACAAAATCGTACAAAAGAGGATGTTTGTGAACATATACATTTGTATGTGAAGTTTTATGACAGTAAGAAATGAAATCTGCTCAGCAATTGCAGTAGAAGTTATATTACTTGTGGCCTTGGTAGAATACCGACTCCTACAAGCAAATCAATGATGTACATTAGCTGTTATTAACATTTGTCGACCTAATCTAAACATTCTTTTCTTTTGAATGCTTTGATATACATGTTACAAGTCTGTAACTTCAAAAACAAGAATTATTTCAGAAAGATTAAAATTAAAATCTAAAATTATAAGTAAACAGATTTAAAATGATCTTTCGAACAAAAGAGACACGAAAAAAATCATCTTTTGAATATTTACATTAATGACTTAATAAACTTATCAGACATTGCTCAACTGGCGCTGTATGTGAGAGACTTACCTCGTCAGCCAGTGTATCCTCAGGTTCGTAAACTTTCAGGTCCTGTATCTCGGACGTAAAACCCTTACGTTCAGCATCACTGGCTAAAAGTCCAGCAAACGTCTTGAAAAGGAAGAATCATACATATTGTTATTGATGAATTAATTTATAAATAATGAAGTAACACATTTACATTCTTAATTGATGAGTTACTATAGTGGTATTATAGTTCAAATGTATATGAATTTAACCAGATTCCTCCAACATTCTCTTACCATTCTTCATTACATATATATACTTAATTTACTTCACAACAGTAATGAAAAATCTTTTGTTATCTTATATTAATCACTCATGTTAGCCTGGATGGAAGTGTGCATGGGGAAACACGAGTGTGTGAGAAAACGAGTAGCTGGAAAAGTCCAACATGGCTGGGCAGTTGACCCTATACTTTTAATGTAAGACCATCCCTCATTACTTGAGTTTTGCGCCTGCGACGGATCTATCAACGATTTTGTCTAGTTGTATAATGAAAATTTTAATGCTGAAAGTCAGTAAAAAAATATGAATCTGAAGTTTGACCAATCCATTGGGGTGTAAATTTAAAATGGCTCCATTATCAGTTGATATTGTCTTCACATGACCTTCACTGTCACAGAAATATAAAACAAACCAACATTTGAGCCCTCCACATATACACTGTCTGATGTTTTGTTTTAAAACTAAGGCCGGTGAATATCAGGCTTCACAACACTCTTTGTAATTAGCATGTCTGACTTATATGTTTTAACAAAATGTTGTCTGGATTTTCTTTTTAAGTTAAATATTTAATTACGAAGTTCTTCTTCACACGAACATTTTCTTAAGTTCGGTAGTCTTACCTTAGACTTCCCTGTTTGTGTACCAAACAAGACCTTGAGTTTCTTTTGCCTTGCCTGTGTGGTATCAGATGTACTGATAGTGGGTTCAGCTTTGTTAGTCACTGTCTCTGGTGGGGAACTATATCCCTTCTACAACACAAAATAGGTAATACAATGTACAGCCATGTTTCTACTGCCTGGTGGAGGACAATTTCCATTCTACAATACACAATCAGTGATCATGTGTCTACTTTCTGGTGGAACTGGGGGGGACTATATCTCTTCTACAATACACAATGGGTGACATAGTGATGTGTCTACTCTCTGGTGGAGGACTATATCCCTCCTACAACTTGGAGGACTATATCCCTCCTACAACACACCAATAGGTAATTCATAATATAGCCATGTGTCTAAGCTCTGGTGGAGAACTATATCCCTCCTACAACTTGGAGGACTATATCCCTCCTACAACTCGGAGGACTATATCCCTCCTACAACATACCAATAGGTAATTCATAATATAGCCATGGTCTAAGCTCTGGTGGAGAACTATATCCCTCCTACAACTTGGAGGGCTATATCCCTCCTACAACACACCAATAGGTAATATAGCCATGTGTCTAAGCTCTGGTGGAGGACTATATCCCTTCTACAATACACAATAGGTGACATAGTGATGTGGCTACTGTCTGGTGGAACTGGGGGGGGGACTATATCTCTTCTACAATACACAATGGGTGACATAGTGATGTGTCTACTGTCTGGTGGAGGACTATATCCCTTCTACAATACACAATAGGTGACATAGTGATGTGTCTACTGTCTGGTGGAACCAGGAGGACTATATCCCTTCTACAATACACAATGGGTGACATAGTGATGTGTCTACTGTCTGGTGGAACTGGGGGGGACTATATCTCTTCTACGATACACAATAGGTGACATAGCCATGTATCTACTCTCTGGTGGAGGACTATATCCCTTCTACAATACACAATAGGTGACATTATATAAACACAATTACATGCATTAGAGTGTGACAGTACCTAGGGTCACCCCGAGGTTATCACCATCACCTTCGGCTTCGCCTCGGGTAACAGTGATAACCTCGGGTAACAGTGATAACCTCGGGTAACAGTGATAACCTCGGGTAACAGTGATAACCTCGGGTAACAGTGATAACCTTGGGGCGACCCTAGGCACCGTCACACTCAAATGTCAATGTAGTATTTATTTTATCATACCAAAAGGCAATCATCTGTGGGGAGTTCTTACACCAAATCACCATGAAAAAACCAATGGCCCTCGATCTGCACCAGAAATAAAGATACATTAGACCTACTGCATCGTTTCCACATTTCAGAGTATGCCTGTAGTGTTTATCTAGCAGATGGCCTGTTATATAATTACAAGGTAACCAAATCAAAGAAGCCCTTGGAAATCCCACTCATTTCAGCGTTGTCGTATGAATCACCAGAGAGTAATAAACAGTAGCGAAATGGAATGCCTTTGGCCTGCTAGGGCGTTAGGAAGCACCCTTCCATTGACTCATTAATTGTTAAATCGAATGTGACAGTATGAAATGAACAATTTGTCTCGACCAATCAGATTACAGGATTTTCACTAGAGGTATGAAAAAGTGATTTGTCTACTCTGTTGTGGGGAACGATGTCCCTTCTGCAATACACAATACAATGTAGGTGACATAATGATGTGTCTATTCACCAAGCATATACATTTGGATTGAAATTTATTCCTGATTTAATCTACCTTTTTGTGAAATCCTTGCCTTTATAAATATACAATGGTATTGTACTTTTGGGTCCACTCCCTTTCTGACTCCATATACCTTCGGGTTAACTCCCTTTGTGACTAATACACCTTAGGTTTACGTCCCTTTCTGACTCAATACACTCAATACAACTCCCTTCATGACTTATTAAACCTCAGGGTTAACTCCCTCCGGTACTAAATTATATATCTTAGGTTTAGGTCACTTTCTAACTTAATGTAAGTTTAGGTTTCCCACCTTTTCGACTCAATATATTGTTGGGTTAACTCCCTTCATGACTTGACATAAGTTGGGGTTACCTCCCTTTTTGACTTGTTTTCATGTAGTGTCGACGTAGACGTAAGCTGACTTAGTATACCTTTGGGTTAACTCCCTTCCTGCCGATGTGTAGAAGCCAGACTAAACATCCTGTAGCGAGAGCCACAGTCCATACGGGAAGCTGTATGTATTCTGACACAGTGGCTGTTAAAATCTTCTCCAACATCTTTGTCGATCAGTGTAATAAAATGAAACTTTTACTGTTGTCATCTGTTGTCAGACATTCCACTCTGAAAACAACAATGTAGCTACATAGAAGATTTGCCAAATACATAACTTAAAGTAATTTCCTTTTCATCAGTTATATTGAATTTGGTGTGTTCCTTGTCATCCGATAAAAGATCAGTGATTTTTGAACATATACACGCTTTCAATTTAGGTTTACTATATTGGACTGATCATTTTGTTTCCCTAGAACATATATATAACATCGAAATAATTTCCAAAACACTTAATTCTACACTATAATGATATCAAAAAGTCAATCACATTCTAGAAAGCCAATCTCACAATTTGCAAACCAAACTCTACTTTAAGTCAGTGAGGACAAGTATGAATTATATCCAGTTAGTTTACCTGAGAGTCATCAAATACGTGTACTTTCACTTTTTTCATTTTGATGCAATGAGTTTTGAAAATTTGGTATTTGACATACATTTATTGACTCACTGCTTTTCAGAACTTGTTAAGAACAGAGGCAATAAACATTAACAGCAGAATACCAGAAAAATGAGGAATTCTGTGGCAATGAAAAATGGACCTTTCAGACAGGGACACATTTCAAAACCCTTATTATAATTATTTTTTTTATTTTTTTGGGGGGGGGGGGTCTAGTTTCACAGTTGAATTACAGGCTGTTATAAGTGTACCTATATTTGTAGCAACAAAAAGAAAAAATGAGGAGGACCTTCTCAATGACAACAAAAATAAAGCTTAAGTTTCCAAATTCATTTAAGAACAAGCTGTTGTTAATTTTGAGAAGAAAAACAGTGGCAAACCTACACTATCAGAAGCTAGGGCTAGGGGGTGAGCCAAGGATACATTTTCATACAATCAAATATTCCAACAAAGCTTCAATAATGACTTCCCACAGAAAATAAACTAAGTATACCCAAAACTGCATTTTTTTTTTATAAACTATAGTAAATGTAACCCCCTCTGCAAGGGGAAATGGGTGACCAGGGTTAAGGAAATTTGCGATTTTGATAAAGCACCTTTGGTTATAAGCACCTTAGCACCTTTCCATCTATAAACAGTATTTGATTCTAGCATATATAGGTCTGCAGAAGAAGATTGTTGAAATTTGAGCCAAGTTTAGCTCAGGCCCTGGGGCGAGCCTGGGACTAAATTATCATACTGTCAAACTGCAATGATATGATTATGATTGTAACTAAACTTGAATGATTATATGAACTATAGTACATTCTACCTCATTCCAGGGGGGATAGAAGACCCAGTAAAGATGAAATTCCCAATTTTTATAAAGAACCTCATAACTGGGTCTGAATCTGACCCTGTCACTCTGGCCCCTGGGGGTTAGATCCATATAAAACAGAAATTTGGTTTGCCTTTAACCATGGAAACTTACTGCAAAATTTTATTGAAATTGGTTCTGTGGTTTTGGGGAAGTTAAAAATGTGAATTTTGCTTAAATAGACAGATGATGCGTGAAAACGGACAAAAGACAATTGAAACAGGTCCACTGAGTATATTCTAATAACACAAGAACAAATAATCAAAATAATTGACCAATGTACATCAAATAACTGTTTATCTGGCATTATTATTATTATAATGGATTTAACTTATACGACCTACACATCTTTATTGGACATGACTCAAGTACATGGAATTTCTTCTTGTATGGGTAAAGTACAAATTCTCATATCTCTTCTCCTTTTCAGAAATTCTGAACAATGAGTGATTTTTTTTTTTTCAAATACACTGTATAAGATTTATAGGAATTTTAGTAAAATATAGAAAAAATATAGCAATGGCCAAATATTTAGAAAATTATAGGAATATGTAGGAAACAGACACTGCAATTTTGCGCCACTCAAGTTCTGCATTCAAAAGTTACTTTTAGGACAAAATCTACAATATTTTCGACAAATAATTTCTGCTTAGGTCATTATTGACATTGTTCTTGACATGGGTATACAAAGTAACTTTCCGTATTTTTTTTTCATTTTGAGGAAAAGGTATGAGCCCATCACATACTACACTGGCATGAGTCTGTATGAAATACTTTAAAAAATGTTTTTGTTTGAAGCGAAACTGATATAAAGAAATTTAGTTTTATATTATATTCTGTTTTAACAAGTTGCATAATTTTAGGACCATATTTATAAACAGAACTTTAAACTTGTTTCTACATAGTATTACATTAATATTAATACCCGGCCTCTTCTTCCTCGTGGCAAGAAGCTACGTTATCGCAGCTAAGGTGACAGTACGCCAATCGGATCACCAAACCATCATTTTATTAAAACCTTGAAAAATCTGAGGAGGAATTATATCCATTTATGGTTGTATCAAAGAAAAAATATCGATGGGTGTTCTTACAAACGAAATTAGCACCCGGGGCTCACTTGAGATATTTATAGAACGCTCTGAAGTCACCAACCAGTGTCTCCGGTTTTGTCGGGACCCAAATCGGATCATGGCTTGAATTTTGCAGTATATTACGCTTCAAATGAATATTTTGTCAGCATATAAACATTTTATGATGACCTTTAGAATTTATATGACAAAAAGTATTTCTATAGTGTGAATTTATTCCTCTAGTCCAAAACTGAATGCATAGTCGTCGCATGCGCCATTATTTAAAAACGCAATCAAAACACTGACATTTGAGTTTGAATTACGTTTTCTTGTGCTATTTGAACTTAAAAACTAATCATCTGTTGACAAAAAATGGTGCATGGCTATCTATTCTAAGATTACATCATTGTTATAACTGATTTGCTGACACATTTATTGATTTATAAGTATTTTTGCAAAAAGTGATCCGATTTGGGTTCTGCCTCGACAGTATATCGACAAATAAGCGAAACAAACAACAAAACCACAAGAAAGATGTTCGTTGTATGTCTTTCGTACTCTTGCTATTAATTTTCAAATATTTCTTTTACCTCCAGAGAAAGTATTGTTATTCATTGTGGTGTTAGACCTATATTTCCACTGTCTACCGCCTAAAGACAAAAAAATATATCTTCTTTCCTCCCTGCACGTCCACATGCAACTTCCGGTGAAAACATAATATAGAATAAAAACCGTAATTGCAATCCGGATGTTTTCTTCGGTTTTGTTCCAAATGCTATTTCTGTCGAATCGTTTTTCCTTTACCATAGTTATACAGAAATATACAGAAAGTGTATATTTCTGATATTGAAGTAATTAATTATTTGAATAAGGGAGTTATTGATACTTGTGTTATTTTTATTTTTCACCTTCGTTACAAGAACTTATATGACATGGATTGTTTTACTTTCGGTTTAGAATACACACCTTCATGAAGAGGAAGTGAAAACCCTTCGTCATTTAGATATAAATTAATGTTAGGGACTCATCAGAAGACCAAATGAAGACCTAAAAGTAAGTTACAAATATTTCAACGTTTTTGTTTTAGCTAAACAGACAATAGTAGATCTTGTTCCATTGAACAGTTGAAGACATTATTCGGTTACTCCGACTGGCACTAGGCCTAGGGAGAAGTCTTTGACAGCGAGGCGTACAGCTGTCATTTTTTGGTGAACATTTTGTCATAAATTGTTTTGTTGGGTTTCAAAAGAAAAAAACAACTTTTGATTTTGGTAAATGTTGAATTCTTTTATTTTGTAAGTCCACAGGTGTTTGAAATTCTGACTGTAAATTGAGATAAAAATCATATTAAAAATAAGTGCATTACTATAAAAAGGTACTGTACTTTTTATAGTAATACCCTTATTTTTTTATATGATTTTTATCTCAATTTACAGTCAGAATTTCAAACACCTGTGATAAGTCACAGTATCTACAACAAGTATTGTATTCAACCAATAATCAAGACAATGTCTTACCTTCACATAAACAGCTGATAAACAGGTTGGACACTGTAACCCCTATATGGCTTATAACCATGAATTTAAGTTACAGTCACTGTTTTAAGTAACAATTATATTATTGAAATGGGGAATAAATTAAAATCAAAACTCATCAAGTTCTTTTTAACTATATTATAACTTGAATATAAAATAGACAGTTTCATGCGCATGCTCACCTTTCGCATTTGCACTGACTATCATTGCACCCCCTGGTATTCGATGGAGAACAAAGTCAGTGATTGTCATTTTAACAAGAACAATGACAATCAATGACTTTGTTTTTTCATTGAATACCTGGGGGGAGCCTGACCAGGATTCAAACCAGGGATCTTCCGAACACTAGATGAATACTCTGTCAATTGAGCTACCTGGTCCCCAGCGATCAAACTAGTCCAGTTCCACTACACATATACACATCTATTTCTGCAATATTTCTTTATAAATATTGTTCCCCTTGATTGATCATTTAATAAGGACAGCAGGGCCTCTTAAATGGAAAATGCTGTTTGTCCTTTTATCAGGTATAGAAGTAAGAACATATAACCCTTCAATGGGTGGAAAAATTGCCATTTGGATAACAGCTGATTTTTTTTAAAAGTAATTACACTTAAATTGTTGACAAGTAAAATAAATTGACAAACAGAAAGTTCTTAAATAGAGAACAAAAAAGGCATCATTCTTTCAGCATAGACCGAGTTATGTACCTTATTGTGTACAAAAATATCAGTTCTGAAGTTTAGTTTTACTGAATTCCCTACTGCAAAACTGGATTTAAAAAAATATATTTTCAGGATGGCTTGAAAACTGGCTTGGCCATCTTGGGTATTTGACTGAACATACCTATTATCATTAACAATTTCTTATTGAGTTTTATTGAAATCACTTAAGCAAGCATAATTGGAGATATTCACATTATAAGCAGCAGTGAATACTCTCTGGGATATCAAAGGAACCCCACAAAAAGGCATCACTTAATCAGGATCATGTACTATGAACTTTCCTAGGAAGCTTTATTTAAATGACTTCTGCAGAAGTGGAGTTAAGATTTTTCAAGATGGTTGTAATGGCTATCACCTGGATTGCTAACCTTTTTATATATAGCTACCGAAAAAATAACAACACATTCTCATTTAAGTTTCATTAAGTCCTTTCGGCAGAACAAGATTTATCAGTTATAAGAGATATACAAGCCATCGGGCAAGTGGAATTTTACACCCTTACAGTCAACCTGTATGATTGACCCCCAAAACAGAGCAACAGTTTGTCAGAATCATATACTAAACATTTTCATAAAGTTTTATTGATATTCCTTCAGTTGTATTTGCATTTAAGATAAAAATGTAAAAGGTAAACAGACAATTGAAATAGACGGGTTACAATACTGGTCACCGTGAGCCTTTCAAGGCCTCAGGTGACTCAAAAATATGTCTAGGGTAGGAATATTTACACCAGGTAGGCTGGTAGGCTTTACTTCGGCCAGAAAAAAACCATATGTGTGTTTCAGGTAACATGCCTGAAAATAATAGGGTATGTCAGTTAAGGCAAATAATTTTATTTTAATGTATTTATTTTAATTTTCGTGAATTCATATTATGCTTTATTTCAAATTTACAATGCATTTTCACACGTTATAATGGCTATTGATTTGTCAAGAATAAGATCAGACTTGTAGAATAGGTACATTTTAATGAGTAACTGAACTTAGTGTGGCTAATAAATTAATTTTATAGATACAAGTATAGGTGATAAATATCTAGGGTCGACAATAAAATCAAGGGTAGGTCGGGATACCTGAAACACACATATTTTCTTTTTGCCTTACCACGCATGGCTGTACATGTTGTGAAATGAAGCCTATCCATTTTTCATCATGGCCAAGGCCTTGGTATAGGTAAACGCACTATAATGCATCATTTATCATGGGTGATGAAACACACATCTAGTTTTAAAGATAAATAATTCAAGAGCTATTTTACACCTAATGATATAGAGTTGTAGGCCGGGTTGATCACTCTGAAAACATTCCTAAACTGTAATTCATTCAATCCTGTCCAGTTAATCAATTGTTGAGTTTTAAAGATAAATAATTCAAGAGCTATTTTACACCTAATGATATAGAGTTGTAGGCCGGGTTGATCACTCTGAAAACATTCCTAAACTGTAATTCATTCAATCCTGTCCAGTTAATCAATTCATGAGTTATATGTCCTGTTTTATTTAATAACACTTAATTTGCTTGGAAAATAATAACAAATTCCTCAGCTTGCTATAAACACACATACAAATGTAACATATCTGCCAAATTGACATGTCTCCTTTATTTATAGTGGCATCAGGGGGATTTCCAGATCCTGGTCGTCCTGGCGACGATAGACCAGGAGACACACCTTTAATTCCTGCACCTGATTCTGCATCGTCCGATGATCCCGATAATCAGACGTCACAAGATTCTGATCAGTCATTTGACACCAGTTCTGGTCTAGAGACATCCAGGGTACATGTCGGGTCATCCTTGAGCCCAGTGTTGATGCCAGCCTCTATTGACTGGAAACTGAAAGTGTTTCTGATGAATATTGCAAGGAACATTGATGAGGAAGACTTGGATGATATGAAATTCCTGATGAAAGGTACTGATGATTAATTTCATTATTTGCCAATAATGCCAGTATCAATAATATAAGACCCCTTTATGCCCAGGGGTGTAGCATAGGGAAATTTCACCCTCGGGATTTTCAAATTTGGCAAAATCCACGTTCCAACTACTGGACTACTAACATGAATGTATATGGCAATGTTTAAATATGTACATGTAAACAAATACCTTCACTCGACAAAGCAAATTTGCTGGAGATATGTCACACACGGCTGATTTATAAACATTTAAGTCCATCATCATCAGAATGTCAGCTGTTCAAATCGCCCATTGTCCATGGTCCGCCCATGTTGGTAATTAGTTGTGTATGTTTAATTTTGAGATTGATCAGAAAAACAAGTCCATAATTATGCTTTTCAGAAGAACAAGATGGCAGCCAGATGACTATAATTTCCCCAAAATCATTGCATTATAAAGTTAAGGTAATCAGATACCAGGACGGTTTGCTCATTTAATCAATTGGTCTGTGATGTAAAATCTTAGAATATGTCTCATTTTAGAATCTAATGATGCTTAACTTTATTTTGTTTCAAAGGAGAGTGTGGAATGGGTAAGAGAGCACTATCAGAAATAAAGACTGTCAAACAGTTCTTCAACCACATGATGGAAATCGACTTTGTGAACAATAATAATCTGTTACAACTACAGAACTTACTCTGGCATTTAGGCAGGAAAGACTTGCACATCAAGTTCGTAGAATTTGCCAGAGACTACAAGACAAGCCCACTACACTTCTTTATACCGAACCGTGAGCCAAGTAAGTGTAAAGTTTGTCAAAATGTTCCCGTCAGTATAGGGTTCATATATCCACTTAAAGTGAGTACATAGTTGATTTCTGCATGAGGTAATTACAATGTGTCAGTAGTTTTCATCTCTACCCAAAATAAGGACAGAGAATATTTTAATCTTCCGTAATATATATAGTACAGGGTTGATCACTACCACAAAGAAGCAATCTTTACTAAAAAGTAACTACAGGGTTGGTCTCTGTTACATGCTGTGTCACATTGTCCGTTGTCTGTCAGCTTTATCCTTTAAAGGACTTCTTCTTAAGAACAGAAAGGCCTAGGGTTATGATATTTGGTAAATTCCTGAGATAGGCCCTACAAATGTTGTGAATAAAAATGACCTGGACTTACTTTCAATGTTGTCACAGTAATAAAATATGTCAAAATCTTCAAACAACTTCTTCTGAAGTACAAAAAGGCTTAGAGTAATGATAAAAGGCTGGTAGCTTTCTGGGATGTACCCGGAGAACATTGGCTAAAAACATTCAAAAAATTTGCTTGACTTCTTCTGATGAACCAAAAGGCCCAGAGTCGTGATATTTGGCTGGTAGCTTCCTGGAATGGAGCCCTACAAAAATTTCAAAAATGGAATTATCTTGACCTGCATTATGTACTTTCAAAGTCACATGGATCAAATATGTTGAAAACTTCAATTTAACTTCTTCTGGAAAAAAAAATGTCCTGGAATCATGATATGAGGCTGATAACTTTCTGGGATGGAGTGTAACAAAGTCAAAGTCGAAGACGTAAAATATGTCAAAAATATCTTCTTCTGAAGAACCAAAAGGCCAAGAGTCATGATATCTCTAGCTGGTGATCTTCTAGGAAGGAGCCCAAAGTTTGTGAATAAAAAAAACATTTACTTACTTTTAAGGTCACAGGGGCAAATAAATAAAAACCTTCAAACGACTTCTTGATAACTAAGAGGCATAGGGAAGATACTTGCCAGTAGCATGATTGGATAAAGGGCTATCCATTTTGTTTCAAGAAAATGATCTTAACCCTCTTTTAATGTCAAAGGGAACAAATATGTAAAAATCTTCACACAACTTCTTCTAAATGTCCAAGAGACCAAAAGTTATTACATTCAACCTGTAGCTATGAAGTGAAAGATCTGAATAGATGAACTAGACCTTCTTTGAAGGTCAGCTTATTTCAGTAAGTTAAAGTCTCCCAAAGAAGACTGATAACGTGCAAAGTACCAGGTAATAAAATCATCAAATAAAGAATGATAATGTTTAAAGTAACATTTACTGAAGCCAAATTAAATAGATATATATATGACATTGTCCCTCTTTGAAGGTCATGGATGCAAGATGAATAACAGATGAGCAAAAATACATTGTTCTCTTTAACTCAGTCACCCCTGAAATTTCATAAAGGACTATTCCAACCTATGATTTGAAGAGTTCAAATGTATCTTCAGGGGTGAAAGAGTTAACAAGTAAACTCATGGTTGACTTCTATGCATTTCTTTTACTTTTAATACTGCTTTAAATCCCCAGTTTTATTGTGTATCATTTGGAAACAAGAAATTGGTTAAGGAATACATAATATTATTTTCCTTTAATCATCAATGCATATTGTTCAATAGTTTCTGATATAAATGTCAATATTCATTCAGGTAACATATTACTGATTATCTTTGTCCGAAGGAAATGGTTATGTGTATGCTGACTTCCATATTGGGGGAAGTCTGGAGACCACATCGAGGCAGGAACTTGAAATCCTACGAACAGAAATAGCAGAACTGATGTGTGTTCCTCCAAAATTCATATTCATCAAAGGTTTAGAGCCCCTACATAGTTTGATTGTGACCCTGATGGTTCCAGCCAAGGCGGCATTTGCCCTGTTTGAACTTTCAGAAGTTGAGAAGTCTATATTACAGAGCCTGAGAATCGACTCATTTGGGGTGGGGGACAAACGTGTGGTTCTGGCAAGTAAGTATCCACTTGTGTTTATTCCACACTTATTCCACACTATCAACTCTTTCTGTGATTTGTCTCATGTTCAGGTAACTCCCCAGGGCCATTTTGATAATGGACCACACTTTTGTAAAATACCTTATTTCTTACCCATTTTTAATTAGATCATGTACTACTGTATAGCAGTTATATTTTGCGTTTTTGTTTTTTTTGCTACATTCACATTTCGACTTAATTCTGCAAATCTATGATGCATGAATTTCAAGTGTTGAATGAAGGAACACAGCAATTATGATATGATGCTTTGTTACTGGTCAAGTATTGTATAAAACAAACCAATAAAGCAAGCATTAGAGCATCTTCTTGAGATTTAATAGTGGTCTGGATACCTTAATTAATCTTGTTTAATTTGTTGGACATTGTTTTTAGATTTCAAATTTGAAAAAGCGGCCTCTCTTAGTGAAAAAGACGAAATACAGCGTATTTTGAAGAAGAAGGAGCTACTAACATCAGAACTGGACAAAAGCCAGGCGAGGCTAATAGAACGAGGCAAAAAACTCTCGTCTTCAGAGGAAGAACTGGCCGAAGTAAAGATCACCAGTGACCAGCTCAAACTGGCCAATGACCATGCCATGATGATTTTGGCCACACTTGTATATCAAGATCTAGCTCACAATTCCAGCCCTACTGATTCTCTCAGCAGGCTCAGCATCCTTACCTATTTTAAATTTTGTCTTAACAAATTCCAGATACAATACCCAGAGGCAGCAGATCATGTTGGAGATTTGCTGGATGCAAATGCTTTGGTGGTGCGAAAAACAGAGAGAGATCTTCATAAGAACTATGTAGAACGATTACAGATCCACCAATTAGCTTTAGAATACAGGTGTCAGACTGTGCAGCCCGTATACACCCTTAGTGACCATCTGTTCCAGCGACCGTCTGAGGCTGTTCGCCGGCAGTTCATCAACACCAAAACTCAACAACAATTATTTCGGTCGTTTACTCATGCGCAAACTCCGGGTAATCAACATAAAACCACCACCTCTAGGAAGAAACTTTTTGATAGAAGGACAGATAGACCAGGTAGGTTGAGATTCTATAGGTTCTTTCGACATATCATCATTTAAATGTATTTGCTTAACCCTTCCACCCCTATGTAACTTTAGTAGACTCTACCATGCATTGATATGGATGAGTCCATTATGATCTGCAGTGGTGAAAGGGTTGTGACCAATAATGTGACCAATAATGTGACCAATATTAATCTGTATAAATAGGTTATTGAAAGAAATTGTCATGGTTCAACTTTGAAGCTGTATTCTTTTATGATATATATTTGAAAAGATTAGAAAAAAACCCAGAAACATGTAGATCTGTAGAGCACTAGTGCTTTCATTATATAAATAAAATATCAAGATACCGACGCTTTACAATGCACACATATTTACATATATAGCTATACCTAGATACAAGTTATGACGTCACGAATAAAAGGGAAAATGGATATTATGACGTCGTAAAGAGAGGGAGATGATTATCATTACCCGTAAAAGAGTCTAGGCCGGTATTCAATTTCAGGTTTCATGTCTTTATGAAATGGTTTTCTTTTTTCTTTCATTCAAAAGCATTTTCCAAAAATGATTTGTGCAATTGGAATATAGTAAATTTCTTTTTTTCCGCAAGTGTCTAAATGTCACTAAGTTTTATTTTTCTGTATCGCGTATGGTACATTGATGTGTTTTTAATGTACATTGCACATTGGCTCCTAATGTGTTGCCAATTTCCGAAATGTGATTTTTTTTTACATCCTGAGCATGGTACATGTATGACATAAATTAGGTTCGTTGAGTCACAAGACATGCTGGAGTTTATAACAAATTCCTTTTGTCCAAGCTTGTTCGCATTTGCCACATCGCATATCTCAATACTTTGAAACTTTGTTTTCCAATTTCTCCTGAAAGTTTGATTGACATGAAATTCTTTTCAGGCTTTTTGGTTGATGTTTACTGTTAATAAATTTCTTGTTTTCCAACACCCTCTTCATATGTTCACCTTCTATGAGTAACTGGTAGGTATAGCTATGTGTAATGCTGTTGAAGATTATATTACCGTAATACTTAGTTCATTTCCCATTGGGTTCTATGTTAATTCATCTTTTTCCGATAAATTTTCCAGACTTCATTTTTCGTCCTATTTGATGAAATTTTGCACACAGTCGGAAAATTATGCTGTGCTCCTTACAGTAATACAGATAAAATTACAGTTATCCATGTCATTGAGATATCAATTTTAAATGTCCGCATGAAAGTCGTTTCCACGTATCGACACAATTTGAAATTCTGCTATAGAAAACTGTTTTGGCCAATGAAATAATCCTGGTCAAAACTTTTAAGAAATTGAGTATCATTTAAAGACAACCATCTGGAGTTCTGGATAATCTTTCTAGTTGTTTGTCAAATTTCATCAAAATTGGATGAAAAATGAAGTCAGGAAAAGTTATTGAAAAACGTAACTGATCATATAGAACCCAATGGGAATATATTGTAGCATGAAAGACTTAAGGCACATCTGTGAATTTATATGTAATCTCTACTGAAAACTAGGCAGATGTATGGATAATATATTAACTAATTACAGAAAATTTTACAGTTCTTAGAGTAGACTTTTCAGAAGGTACAATACTTTCAAGATTATCTTATAAACTGATGTTTTTTCTTTGCAGTACCTTCCACGCATCCGTACCACAGTGCTCTCAAGGAAATCTCCTTAAAACTCAAAGAAACTCAAAAGGAGAAACTCCTCGGCAACTTACGCTTTAATAAGGTTGAAGAATGTGAGGTTGCCAAGCAACCAGAGAAGTTCTTACAATTACTGTTTGAAAAAGAGCTGGGTGCGATACCAGCTGATCCTTGTAAGTAATTTCTAGTATTTACCTGTCGTAAACACTGCTACAGGTATGATATACCTATAGTGCCCTTTGTTTCATTTGCCATATCTCACTCACTTACTTCTGAAATATTTCAGTGTCCTCTTTTCTGTTTTTTTTTCTTCTTCTCCTTCTTTTCCTTTTTCTTCTTCTTTTCCTTTTTCTTCTTCTTTTTCTTCTTCTTCTTCTTCTTCTTCTTCTTCTTCTTCTTCTTCTTCTTCTTTGCCATTACAAGGATCTGAACTTGGAGTGCAATTGACCCTGGGGGTTGGCACTTCAAAGAATATATTTTGTAATTTTTAAGTATTATATTAAAACTATGTACATGTACATAATGAGGATGCGAAAAATTAGTAGAGAGACTGGGGCATGGTAACCTTCAAGTGAGGACTTGAAAGAAGGTAAATTCTCACTAAGGGTTTTTCTTGAGATTGAGGTATAACTGTCCCACTGCAGGCAAAACACTAGAAATTCCACTGTTATTTTTGTATATACAGCAATTTTGTTTTGGATATATAATAAACACAATTGGGAAAGGGCATGCAGTTCCGTTGAGCAGGAAGCTCAATTGGTAAGAGTGGCAATATGATGATCTGAAGTCCAGGGTTCGAATCCTGGTCTAGTCACGCTGAATTTTTACACTCATAACAATATTGTTGATTATTTTTGTTTATTTCACCTGTATTATGTTTTCATAAAAGTCCTGCAATGTAATGTTTTCTTTCCGGAAATAATTTATCAAAGCTTTAGTCAAGCGGAAAATAAGTTTCTGATGCGTGGTTACAGTTTTTAGCAGTGGTACGGGGATCCTTAACAATTTGTTAATACATCTCTCTTTGGGTATAGTGCTGAACCTCTTTATAATGCCAAAATGTTGTGAAACTTTACTGTAGATTAAGATGTATATAAATCCTGTTTCTTGATGATATTTTTCAACTTTTATAACGAATACATTCCATATCATTCAGTTTCTTCATTGTTTTCATTTGAAACAGGTGAACATGTCCTGAAAAAGCTTCGTTTAACAGGAGATCAAGATTTACAGGTCTCTGCTAACAAACTTTTATCAAAACGTAAAGGTGATTTGAATAAAGACGCAGATAACTCAAGCTCTTCAGGCCTCAATGTCTTGGGAAGAAGAAGACCTGATCAGTCGTCCGATACTGACCAGTCCCCACATGTTGCCAAACAAATGGAACAAAGGGAAGATAAGTCTGGTGTCTCAGATTCAAAGAAAACACCAAATTTATTTTCTAAAACTATGTTCAAGCCAGGTAAGAGGGATATCAGAGATGTGATTGCAGGGGCTGCTACTCCTGGGGATGATGGTTCACAACATACTTCCGAGCTGGACATTCGAGGTGTACATAAAAGCGCCAGCGAATCGGCCCTTCGCCGTCTTGATTCAAATGACGAAATGCATGAAAAGTTGAACAAACTCTTGTCGGAGATTGAGTGGGTAAAAATAATGCTGCAAAACCAAGCAATGCATCAATCCCCTGTGGGAATGGGTGCAAAATGGTTTCCTGCAACTCCAACAGAGTTTTGAAGTGTGTTTCCCTATATTAACCTTTTCTGCACTGTAGACCATAATAGACTCATCCAGATCAATGCATGGTAGAGTCTACTAAAGTTACATAGGGGTGAAAGGATTGAAATGTAGTGTTATATTGGAGCACCAATACTTCAGATACTTTCGTTCCCAGGAAAAGTTGCTGGATTGTGAGAGGTCTGGATTAGTGATACGTTACACGCTGTTGTAACAGCCCGTTCATTACCCCCGCTTAAAGTTACCCTGTGGAAAGAAGCAGTTAACTGGTTTCTTCCCCAGGAAATCTTTCAGGTGGGGTAAAGAAATGTCTACAGCTACATGTACAGCTAGTGACATACAATGTACAGTAAGATCTGTCAATTTCAAGAGATCATGTATTTAAGAGCTTGGCTGTTCAATGCCTCTATACAGATTGTTCTCCTAATGAAATTAATATCATAAAAGAATTGATGTAGCCTTAGATGATAGATTTCATTGTTCTAATTAATATCTGTTTATTTTTACTAAAAAATGAATACTTACCGGTAAATATCAGCAATTGTGTTTTATATACTTATCTAGAATTATTTTAACCTGTAAATGTACTTCTTTCAGCAGTGATACTATTTTAGCAGTTCTTGTGCCAGTTAAAATGTACAAAACTTTGGCAAGTTTTCTGTTTGCAATATTTTTTGTGATATATGAAGGTCAAAGTTTTTTACTCATCAACCCCAAAGACACATTTGAGCTCTTCCTATTCAAAGGTTGGAATAGTCCATTATGAAATGTCAGGGGTGAATGAGTTGATTATGTTCATTAATGTGCCAAGTTGTTTCATTATCACTACCCTGGTTTTTGCTTTGAGGATGTATCAATACTTCGGTCTGACCTAGATTTACATGACAGGTGTTATCTATGAAGCAGAAGATGCTTACCCCTCGGAACACCTATTGTCCTTCGTTGTCCCTTTTCAAAGATCTCCATGTACATTTTTCTTTCGATTATGTTTTGCTACAGTTTTATCAATTTTCATTTTGAATAGCTGTTTTATTTACTTGTTTTCTGTGATTGTTTTTACCTCAACTCTGACAATGCCTCAGAAATTAGGAAACCTATAGTATATTTAAAAAGCCTCGTCATTATCATCACATATATATACATTTTGTATGATATAAGCTTTTTGTTGAATTTTATCAATTTTATTATTGCTGACTAATAAAGAATTAATGTACGTGATAGACCTAGCTTTCCATATCAACCAAAGATATACCAGCTGATTATACAATCATCAACAATGGTATTCATGTTGCAAAAACTGTATGTGTCATTAATCTTATCAGGTACCTGATCATGAGCATGGCACGTAACTCTTGTCAAAAAAGAGTTCCACTAAAGGCAGATAATCCTGGATGATAGATGTTACGTTATGTAAACTTTATTAATTGATTGATAAAACATTGGGAATGTAACATAATTACATACATAGATAGTGCTCAGATGAGTTTAAGTCAGGAACTAAATATATTGCTAAGAACTCTGATTCACCCATGAAAACACATTTGAACTCTTCCCATTCAAAGGTTGGAATAGTTCGTTATAAAATTTCAGGGGTGAATTTGGAAATATACAAATAGCAAGATGGCAAAATGGACTTCAAGAATAAAGCTTCTGTTGAAGTACGGAGACGACTTTATCACGTTATCTTCAGAAGATTTACTGCAGCTACCTTTCATCATTTTAGTGTGATGGTTTTTATCGATATATTTACTCATGAAATATCAAATTATTTCAGTTTAATTTAGTAATTTTATGATTAACTGACTTAGAAATTTGTTTGAAATGTTTTGTTCTGTTGTTGTCTGTTTTCGTTCCACAAATAATATTTATGGTAAAGTTGTTAATATTTTATACTTGCTAATGATATTGTTTAAAAAAAAAAAAAAAAATGATCTTCAGAAATACAATCAAACCTAGAGACAACTCGGCTAAGAGACCACCTCTATAAAAGTCCAGATTGAAGTCATTTTCATGTTAACTTTTACAGTATTTCCTCTGTATGTAGGAGATTTGTTTTTGGCTCGTTATTTTCCCTCAAAATAAAGATGAATGGGGGCTGTGAGAGGGGAAATTGTGAATGAAGAACTATGTGTAATATATGACCATAACGGTGAAACTGTTTGTTGCAATCATTTTTTTTGTTTTGTCTGAACTTCAAGTAGCCATCTACATATATACTGTGGTTCAAATTCTGTAAAAAAATGTAAGAAAACTCCTCGAATGTCCATAATGATGACATGTATTTCCATGGTATATATGACAGCTATTTATAATTCTAAAGAAGTAGATCTAGAGCACACGAGTCAAGCAAGTTCACCTGTGAGAGAGTGATATATAACCTTGTTAGACAGGGTTTGTTTCTACAGGTAAAAGTCATGTAGGTGACAGTACCCAAATTAGATCGCACAACTATCATTTCCTTTTACATTGAAAATTCAGTGGATGAATTATATCAGTTTATGGTTATATAAAAAGGAGTATACCTATGGGTGTTATTACCAACGAAATAAACACCCAGTACTCACCTGAGGTATTTATAGAACAACACTCCGTCTATGATGTCACCAATGAGAGTTTCCGTTTTTTTGTAATGTCAGGACCCAAAACAGATCAAGACGTGAATTTTGCAGTATTTTGCGCTTCAAATGAATATTTCTTTGTCAGCATTTTAACATTCTATGATGATTTTTTTGAATTTTAATTAATAATAGTATTTCTATATTTTGAATTTAATCCTACAATCCGAAACTGAATACATAATCCTCGCACGCTCTATTTTGTAACACTAACAGCGAAAACAAACAAAAAAACTAGATTTTGAGTTTGAAATATGTTTTCTCATGCTATTTGAACTTAAAAGTCAATCAACTCTAAACTAAAAATGATGTACAACTATGAATTAGAAAGATAAGTTATTGTAATAACTTAACTGTTGATACATGTATTTTTGCAAAGAGTGTTCCGATTTTGGAACTGATCCAATTTGGGTCCTCAGCTTCCTGACATGTAGAATGCTGGTTTTTGTATCAGCAGTCAGCCTTAGTGTGCTTTGTCATCATATATCTCATAGGAATACATGTCATAATTCTGGATATTTGAAAACTTTAATTACCGTAAAATCTTGTATTAATTTTTCGGGATTAATATAGGAGTTAGATTAATATACTTTAAAGACCAATTTATGTTGTTATTATAATAATTTTGTTATTCCTAACAATCAAGGCTGTGAATAAGATTACTTCAGTAGGCAAAGTTATAAGTTAATTTCATATCGGAGAAATTTTGTTTGTAATATATTTTCATTGGGATATGGTCTCAAATGTTGTACTCGTAGTGTACTGAGTTTTACTCTTATTGTATGCTTAAACATTCTGATCAGATAAGTGTATTTGTTAGTTGTGTAAAGAGGCGACTGATCAGCTTTTGGTAGACAAGCCGGGACATTCACCATATTGGGGAATGGTGCACCCATAGCTATATTTTTACTACCAAAGGTAGACTTTTGAAATTTATAACTTACGTTCCTGTTTCCTTTCTTTATGTTTAGCTTCATGAAAATATTCCTTGCAGAAAGTACAATAACTTTGTTGATTTGTATTCAACGTGTTGAATCTGTTCTATTTGAAAGAGAGAGGAATTGGAAGAGAGTTAGATATTAGATGATAAACAAATTGTACTCTTTTGGTTTGCTTGCTTTTATATCAAATGTGAACACCTACCTCTGGTGAAAGGAGTCTGTGGTTTCCGCATCACACTCCTGTGCTTTGGTTATGAGTGCCAACTTTGACACAATTGCGGACACTGCTGTTTCACCTACTTAAGTTATCTTCTTAAATTGGTCGTTGTTGTTGTCCTTTTGCAATTGATGTCAAAGATATGAAGAAAATGGATTTGTGATCACAACATACTCGAGCATCACCAATTCAGTGAGTTTCTAAGTTTGACCGACCAAGGTGAGGCTCCATTACCTTTAAGTTTGATGTTGAAGATTTAATTAGTTTTTTTCCATGATTGTTGATGTCGCAAATATTAGCCAAATTCCTTCAAACTTGTTAACAATGTTTGTGTTCCTCTGTCTTTCCACCCATCTCGGGCACTCTTTGGTTTTCGTGTGATAATTGCTGGAAAAGATGTTGTGCAGATATTTCAACCAAATTCCGTATGCACATCCGACTGATGCTAACTTTGCCAACCGATGTGATTTGTGCATATTTACGGATAACTAATGAGGTGTAAGGTTGTTGTTTTCTTTGAGTTTCAAGCTATGCATTATGTCTCACACGTGTTTAAACCTAACCTCAATAATGTTTACCTACAATATGTCCTGCAAGCGGGGGGATATACATTCCAAGAATTTGCTTGTTCATATGGATCTTACATTGAGTACGTATACAGCAGCATAAGAGACAAATCTCACAGATCCAAATTTATATATGGATCCATTTTTTACAGAAATGGGTGATAGAGTGACTAAGTATGTATATGATAAAACATATCAGTACTCGGAAAGAAAAGCATTATTTGTGGTACAATGTATTATCAGTATGTTTTGTTATATTACCTGTCGTGATAACCAAATTATTGTAAGTCTGGTGTTGGATGAATTATGTCACAAATGTCTGAAATAGGGGGACACATATACTGTTGTACATTACATGTTCAATTCTAGTATCACGTGACTATTTGGATATATATATTCATGAAATGTGGCGGCAACTCATCAAAGTCATTTCCTGGCGACCAGTGGTAGTCATTTCGAGTATCAGAGGTCCAACCAATGGCAGCTACATGTACATGTATGTTCACAGCTATAGTGAATTGGTACGTTCATATATATATATTGTAACAAGCCATAGGGGAACCTTGACTCGATTTTGTAATAGCGCTAGATATCAAATTCTTATTAATCAAGTATAAATGTAACATGACTTCGTGAATAATTACAGAAAGGTAAATTTTCAAAATTAAATTTGTAATGACCAGAAGTGTTGTTCTATTAATGAAATTATTTTATGTTATTTTATTATATTTATCAAGTTTATCACGAATTAACATGTAGATACATACACATTTAACAGGTAATGTATATAATACATGCATATATATTAACTCGTCACGCACGACAACCTTCATGGTTTGTTTAGCAAAGTCACTGTGACATTGAATCGGGAATTATTTTGAATATAGTACGTCACGTCATACTTGGCACCCATTGGACATTATTTAGAATACAACCGATAGAACAATATATTGAACGATATGTTGAGGAATGTCCGTCATACATCATCGCGACTTCATAGTTTGGCCTTACATTGATTATAAAAGAAGTGAATGGGCATTTTGTTATGTCTGTGGATATCGGTAAATAATGCTAAATTTATCAGACACCTAATTAAATCACATGTAACATTGCGACTGCTTTCTTTTTTACACTATGTACTGTTTAGTCCCTTATGTTCATTGTGTCCTATTATGATTACATTCTATTGAATAACACATAGTTTTATCAATCGTTTCGGTGTGTTTGTCTTTCTTTTTTTCTTTTTTTTTTCTGTCTGTCTGTCAATACCAATTTACATATGTCGCCATTTCTCTGTGGCAATAAATATCCGAAATATGAATGACACATTTTAAAAAATTGAGAATAAGTTCAAAATATATCAAATCAGCGGTCATGACGGTCACGTGGAATTAGATCCTTAGATTAGGTCGAAAGTTGTCCAGGACAATAACACGAATACATTCTACGTTCGGGCCGTTTTTCCTAATTGAGTCTGCAACAGTTTTTGTACATTTTTTGTGTGTCTCTGAGAAATAAAAACCATGTAAAAACATCAAAATATCATGCTTTGTTTAGTCACAGCTGAAGTTGAAGAGTAGCCGTGCAAATACGGGCTAAACGTAATGAAAAGATAATTTATATGTATATATACCTCGGCTTGAACACACAACGACATAATCGGAACTCATAGTTCTATGTCTTGAAGTTGAATTGTTCGCAAAACACTGTATTAACAGTTAGTGGCTATACATGAGTAAGAAAATAACAAAATAACTACTGAAATTATTGTAAACTTACTAAAATACATTATTAATGTCAAGTCGATTTTCATCTGAATTTGTAAAAAGGATTACCCCAAAATACTGCATTACGTTGAACAAATATTTCTTTTTAATCGTTCGCTTTTGCAGATGGCAGTGAGATAAACATCTCTAAATTTTGTGATCTATATTTACTATATGCAATATGTTGCCAACAGTTTTTTGTATATGTAAATCTCATTACCATTGGTTAACCTGAAAATGGACAAGTGATTTAATTATGAGGAGAAACTAGACTTTCTTGCTTGATTTGTGATCAAAAAATAAATATCTAAACTAAAATAATATTTATTCTTTTTGAAATCGGTTAAGAAATGGCTTGACCACGACTTTGACTATTGCAGTTACCTGTAGTGATCAGTTTTATCTTTGCAAACTCGTTAATTACCACATATTGAACGTGTAATTACAATGTAATGCAATTTAACGTGTGATGAAATCAACAAAAAACACAAACATTTACTTACAAACTTTAATTGAAAGTGTTATGATTGAACAACATCGCCAACCTTTGTGAAAAAGCCTCCTGCTGTTAAATGAAATAAGATAGAATAAGATCTAAGTCGTCTATTGGTTAAAATTATTGTATTCTATAATGGTATTGTAAATTGATACCAGAGCATCTATGTAAAAACTCAATGTTTCGGTATTGTAAATTGATACCACCAAGCCAATGTATGCTGTAAAACATTATCTCATTGCAATGTTTCGGGTACAATATTATAGTAACAATTGCACCGACAAACCAGAGACGTATACAATCATGTATGATAAAACCATGAACAATCATCCCGTATCACATTATACACCTATCGCAAATCCCCAAACTTGGACCATATTGATACTCAACTTACAAAGCAGAGACGTATACACTCATGCATTATAAGTCCCTGGACTATCATAGACTCTTCCATATCACATTCTACACCTGTTGAAAAAATCTCTAGAATTTTGATCATATCTATAATTCACTAGCAAACCAGAGACGCATAAAATCATGTATTATTAGTCCCTGGACAATCATAGACTCTCCCATATCACATTCTACACATTTCAAAAAAATCTCCAAAATTTGGATGATACTGATACTTCACCGACAAACCAGAGATATATTAAAGAACGTATCATAAGTCCCTGGACTATCATAGACTCTCCCATATAGCATTCTACATCTATCGCAAATATCCAAAACTTGGATGATATTGATACTCGACCAACAAACCAGAGACGTATATATAAAATCATGTATGATAAGTCCCTGGTCAAACAGACTCTCCCATATCACATTTTACACCTATTGCCAAATTCCAAAACTTGAATAAGATTGATGCTTCTCTTTCGCCCCTGTCATACTGTATTTCTCTTTATTGGTATTGCTAAAAATAATTTCTTTCTGTGCTGCAGGCGAAATAATAAAGATCGCGATTGTAAACAATTTCGCTGCCCCTGAAAAGACCTGGGTAGTAATGATCTTTGAGATGCTGAAACTTCGATATATATACTGTGTGTGTTCATTAAAACTTTAATAGAAGGCATTTTAAAATGGGTACATTTTGAAGCATATAAATCGTCAATATTTGTAACTATAATTATATTGAGAACAAAGCAATTTGTTTGTTTACCCTATCACCCCTAGGTAATTTTAGTAGACTATACCATGCATTCATTAGGATGAGTCCATCATGGTTTTCGGTGGTGAAAGGGTAAATACGATATTTTATATTCTTTGAAATAATTTGATGGTAGATAATCTGCAACACTTGTAGATGCAATAATATTGAGGAAAAATCAACCCATAATGAATCGCAAGACGTTACTGTAGAGACGATGATGTCGTTTTGTAATGTTTCAATGACCGTAAATGTCATATATTATTGTTTCACATACTATAATGGCATGCTATTACATACACGGTAAAATTCGTTTACCTTGAGCGTTCCAGTTTCCTAGTACCATCCCGTTATATAGTTTCTGTTAAAATGTTTCGCATCAGTTGCATTCACTTTTAAACATTGATGTAATCGATGCTCAGTCACTGAAATAGACGCACTATCGCATTATAAAGTAGTATTTTCCCCTGTTAGGAATACATTAGTGTTGTAGTGCTTTTCAATGTTGAATCCATAAGAATTTACTATGGAGTAAACGCATGCAGAAAGTAACATATTATATTGTTTCAGAGTCGTTTTTAAGTGACCTGTTATGTTAATATAACTTGCCAGGGAACTAAACCGATCGATCGAAATGACACACGGTTTTTGTCTTTTAATTGTTGTCAAATATTGCTAATTGAAATGTGCAAATATAACGGAATTAAAACCAAATTTATAGGAATTAAAAAAGTAAATCATAATTTTAAAATCAACTCGTCGAGTTGAACCACTTAAGTTCTACATGCAAACTGTTTGTCTCGACTTTGTTCATCAGAATTAACGAACAGGTTACAACTGGACGACGTTAGCTAAATCCTGTAAAACACTTAAGCATTCTTTTGGCTTCTCCGGATTATTGTGTAGACGTCTTAAAGCATCTGGTTCCACATGGCGTCTTTGTAGCCCCTCGTGGAATCTGACTTGCGGTGTTATCGTGAGCTCCTGTTGAACTGCTAATTGGTGTTGATAACCTGCTTTTTGGACCCTCCGGATGATATCAAGTACCTTTATTTCCAGCTTTTTGTTATTCAGCAGGCGTATCGTCTCACGCACAAAATCCACTGTGAACGAGCATCGAACATATTTTAATGTATACTAGGAGTAATATGTAAGGTGGAAGACACGCTTTGATGCATCTTTTTACTATATTTCGTACTTGTTCATTCGTTTATGCTTCTGCCAGATAAATTATGTGATTCTGGTCAATGTAAGTAAAGGTACCACACGAATTGAAATATTAATAAATGATATTCGGAGCTTTAAAAAGTGAACGTCAAAATAATTTAATGATTATTATAATACTCACATGGGGTATCCCTACGTGGCTGCATTTCAAATAGTTTAAAGAAAAAACTCTCCAAAGGTGTCAGGAAAAATTGCTTCTCGGAGTCTTTGATCCTGAAGTGCTGCAAGATAATATTCCGTTGTTTTTTGCTGATCATCTTTGACAGGTCTTCCATTGCTTTCATTACTGAAATATATGAATATGATATCATACTGTTAAGTTATTGAATATTTGTTTTTAAATCTAGATTTTTGAGTGCCTCATTCACTTAACAAATCGTTTGCCTGTTTTGGTGATAATATTATTTTCTTTGGTTCCTAATTCTCTGAACATAAGTGATTTCATAAATGGAAAGGAATAGCATTCAGAATCAAAAAGTAAAACTCAGGCAATATCTTTTTCCTTTTGCTAAGTTAGTTAATGTCTTTTCTTTCAAAGTAAGATTAATCTTTCCATTTTTGATTGAAGAAATAATTATATACTACATGTATTATTAACAATACGTACTTGCTATGTCTCTTTATAATATGTCTGACTGTAAACCTAACTACATACCAATCAAATGTGTTTGGACATTGACGCCGACTTCTATAAATCCTGTCATACGCTGCACAACAGCCCCACCCAACAGCAGACGTGAGTTGTGATGCATTCCCTGCATATTTGCCGTCATCACAGTTTCCTGCATTTCATGCATATTCTTTTCCAACGCAATCACAAGTTGCAGGTTTTGTTCACGCTTCTGCCATATTTCTCTTTCGGTCTTGCACGCGACTAGCTCTTTAGCTTCCAACAGTATCTCAATGGTGTCCATCTCCTCTGGAAACTTAGCCTGGAACTGCTGAAGACAGTGTTTGAAGTAGACCATTGCACTCTTGCTCACCAATGAATCGATAAGACGGGTAACTGGGCGATGATTGTACAGAAGTGTCAAGCAGGCGACTATAGCTTGGTCTTTGCATGTTCGCATACATTCTTCTTTTCTCTTTGCCTCTCGAAGTTCTTCAGTACGTTCTACCAGACAAGATTGTACTTTATCCAACTGTGACTTGATCTTGTTTCTCTCTCTTAAGATAAGTGCGACTTTCATTTCGGGCGTTGTGGTTGACTTCTGCACCTGTCCTCCTGAAATTGTTTTGTTTTATGTTATGGCAATGCAATGCAATAATACAACGGTTTTTTACTCGAATGGACATATATTTAACTACAGGACGGATTATTACCAGTTTTATGTCTAGATTAACTTTCACCATGATCTATCGTCACCAATCTGCGATTAAGTTTTCAGATAAGAATTAACAAAATCAGAAACTATTATTAAAATGTAATACTGTAATACATGTCGTTTTGAATCTGCCTATTTTGTTTCTTAAGAGAGAAGATTAGCACTGTTTTGCTAGTCATAGATTGTTTTTAAACTGTATTTTATCATATGACTTCAATGCTTTACAGTGTAATAAAGCCATTATACAATGTTCTGTATTGCACACATCTAACAAAGCTTTCAGTTACGTTGATTGGCTGATCACAGAGTACGTGTGAAGTATATTCATACACGTGGCAACGACCTACTTCTTTTTACTACCAAGCGTAAAATAACGACTTGATAAAGAGCTTAATAACCAAAACATTCTTCCGAACCAAATAATACAAATTACAAGTGCTTGTAGCAGTCAGAACGTTAATTATTACAAAATTTGAGAATGACACTTTACAAAAGAAGATATTGAATATCTTCCTAAATGCATGTCTGACTATCGTCGACTAACTAACACGTGTAGCAAAATCCAAAATAATGCCAACAAATAAGCGTAATCTAACGTCGCATTTTTACGGCAGTTTGAACACTTTGTTTGATGAAAGCATTCTGGGTGGAATATTTATTTTTTCGCGATTAACTCGCATGAGAGAAGGGGAAAATCCATAGTTGTCAAAACCCGCCGTCCGTTGATTGGGTATAAAACCAGCAGCGACTTAAGTTCGAGTCTCCATTTTCGCGTCAAGTGACGTCACGCCCGACGCCACATACAAAACAGTCGCTCAGGCACTAGTAAATTAAGATTGGTTGTACATTTGTTTCAATCGCAAAACGCCATTTATCAGTTGTAAATAATTCCATGTTTCTTAAATATATATGACGAGATAACTTTATTTAATATGAAGTAACACTTAAGAATCTACGTTATGCGTTGGACTATTTCTTCTTTCGCCGGTATGTTCGACCTACTTCGGTTTTTAGTGATTTGGTTGCAATTGTTTACGGTCAGCTTGCGATGAAGGAAAAGAAAACTAAGTTCGAGAAAATCGATGGTAAATATGACATATGATAAAAATAATCTGTCATTCATTTCCCTTCATATTAGAATTACGATGCTCGTTTAGAGTTTTGAATTTTTACGAGCCAGAAAAATTCAAAACTCGTATCATAAATCTAATTCGAAGGGAAACTCATGACAGATCCGCTTATTCTTTCAATTTTGATTGAGTTTTCCAGTGATATCTGAATGAAATGTTCTGCTTACCGACTATAGGTATTTCGTCATCGTCTAAGATAATGCAATCGACCTTCATTGATGTAAAGATTTCCTTATCTTCGGATGTTAGGGAATGAAAAACATCGACAGCCGTTTCAGGAACCATGAATGTAAGCACACTGCTGTTGGACGGGCTGTGGCCGACGAGGAAGACATCTGTGTGTTTAACACACATCAAAGATGCTACATATCCTCGTAGATTTTCCATCACTTGTCTGTTGACGTATGAGCCTCCAACGTGGAATTTCACATGCCTAAATCCATTCGCTGGAATATTTTATCAACATTGCATTAACTCATTTTCCACATTATTGTTCATATTAGCCGTATTCAAAACTGATTTGCAGACTGGTATTTTGAATATAGACTCAGCAGTATGGTGACCTGTATGACTTAATGTATATAAACATTTTATACAATCAATAAAACACTCATGTTTCAAATTGAATAAAACACTCATCTTTTACATTCAATGTTTTACAGTGAATAACAAACCAATGTTCACAGGAACAAAACACTGTTTTAATATGCTGTAAAACATGAGTATTTTGTTCCTGTGAACATAGGTTTGTTATTCACTGTAAAACATTGAATGTAAAAGATGAGTGTTTTATTCAATTTGAAACATGAGTGTTTTATTGATTGTATATAATGTCTGAATGTACTGTAAAACACGAGTGTCTTATTGTTTTTTTTATTCATTGGTAATATGGGTATTTTGTCAATGTAAACATTGTTGTTTTATTCGTTGTATATTAAGAAACAATGGTGGTGGCCGTTAACAAACGTCACCATGAAATTCAAAGCAAGGAAGGTGCCGTAGAAATAATTATCGACCATCTTTTGACCCCCAGGTAAAATTTACATATAAGTAAACAGGTTTTACTACTTACACATATTATACATTTTAACGGTAAAAAATAGAGTGACATGTATATACCTGGTATTTCTTTTGGTGTAAAAAAGTATAATGGCTCTTTTCGGCACTTCTGTGCGAAAGCAACCATTGATTGGTGAAGATCTTTCCTGCCAATATGCCATAGCATGGCTTGTAGTTGCAGAAGATTGTTACTGTTCAGAAACTCCATATCTCTTAGTAACTGGAAAAACGACGTAGCTGTTTTAGCTTTGTTTAACGCAGATCTTCCGAGTGCTCCCTCTGAAGAGAAAATACAAGAAATTTTGAATTCAATATTATTCCTAATGAAGTGAAATACAATATAAAACAATTTGAATTAACAGTGTCATGATTATATCCAAATTCCCTCTAAACAATTTGACTCTTTTGTGTAAATGGAACTCTAACCCTCAATAATATGACTTCCGGTCACTTGGGATGAGGTTCCCGTGATGAATCGTCTTGCAATAAGTAGGACAAAAACTGTGTCATCGTGTTGTTTAAAAAGAAACATTTAAGGGCGAAGCATGGTGAAACAAAACGCTAAGTAAAAAATGAATCGTATATCGGTGTATCCTTCACGTGATTCTATGTATTATGTCGAGAAGCAGTGAATACTTTTTTTATTCTTGATTTATTTTGTGTTACATATGCATTGAAGAGCTAAGCTTCTTTTACGTGAAGCATTTTTTATCTCATTGAGTTCTATGTCAATTACATTCCTTTTTCCTGACTGACTTTTCATCCTTTTTAATTGCAGGAGGTTCTTGGAGATTGCCGCGAGTCAGTTTGTCAGTAGTTTTTGGGAAAACCCAAATTACTATACGATCACATTCATCTACCAACACTGGACAGGCTCTCCCACGGATACCATATTACACAAACAAACACAAAAACAAAACAAAAAACCAAAAAACTCACCCCTGCAGAAAGATTTCATTCTGGTGATTTCTTCCTCACTTAGATCCTGGCCGATTTTGTCTAGGAAAATATTGAAACGCCACAAAGGTGTAATGAGGTTATCTTCGTCCATGTTGTTGTCGTCATCATGAGCGTCAGACGTTTCCATGGTTTCCATAGTTGTCAGAGACATATTCTTGAAAGTACGAAATAGATTAGTATTGATAAAATTAACAATGCAACCATACAAGTTACATAGATAATTTAGATAGTATTTGTAACACCCGGATGGACATATAGTTTGTCTGTTGTTGTTTTTTTTCAAAATAGGGTATTCCAAAGTTATTTGATCGCGAACAATACGTTATTGGATCTATTACACTATATTCAAATATAAATGGTTATGTAACCATTAGTCTTTATGAAAAGAAAAAAAGGAACAGGGAAAGCTAGGAGAGAAATCAGATACATTATCAATTCTAATAAGTTTTTATATGACTATAATATATACTAACAAATAAAACCACATTTTGTTTTAATTATTACCAAAATATTAAGCCTTTTAACTCCTATACTCAAAAGTTTGTGCAAACTTTATTGGATCCATAAATTCTATTTTTGCTTAGCCAGATTCAACTGTATCTTGTTCGTACTACTGGTATATCAGCATCCATAGATATTCTGTGATATTGCGATCAATAAAGTATGTAAATACTTATCGATTTCCATTCATCACTTTTGCCTGCTACATATATAATATTTCCTCCAATTCAAATATCATACATATTTATGAATTAAATAAAGATGAATTAATTGCATTCAGGATGAAATAGGTTACATATTAAGTAATTGAAATGCATGATTTGAACATTGATGATGGTACATGTATGCAAGACAGTGTCTTACATACACCCTCCAGGACAATAAATCTGATATGACAAAAAACATGTCTTTTGCAAACCGGACAGTTTTCGTAATTTTAGCTCGTATTGAAAGAAATTCGAAAATCTGTCATTCATAGTTCCTTTTGTTCGGATAATGATTAACAATTATACCTGTCTTATTACAAATAGATGATTTTGTTTAGAATAAACATCATTCTGGATTTTTTTTAAATTCGAAACTATTATATCTGTTTAGTTTCGGTTTCTCTTTCTTTCCAAGAAATCGTGTCACAACAGTGAGTTGTGCAGTACAACGAGTGTGTACATCCTCAGCCTCCATTGATAGTAAGGGGAATGATGTATATTATTATTTATGAACTGGAAACACATGAGTCGCAATAAGAAGAAAGAGAAAGATCATGCTATTTAGCTATGAGGGCCTCAAAATACAATATTGATCTACTAAGTTTTAGAAATGTGCAGGAAGTGCGCATGCGTTTAAGCTCTGCTCAGAGTTCACTCAAATTATCAGGACATGCGTTTCTTAATATATTTAGTTATTTGGACGAAAACTTGTCAATAATGAAAGATATTTGAAACCCTACGGTTAATGTGAAATACAAAATTGCACGATATGTCAAGTTTCGCTTTCATTCTGTTTCTGAGAACCCGCGCTACAAGGATCAAAGTTCACACCATGTGTTATCGACATACGTGTGTGTAGGTTATTTAAATGCTGACGACAACAGACGTGATCAGACAGGTGACCTAGATAAGACCATGCTATTTCAGCCAAGTCTTCGAGTAATACATACGCATTAAGACTTTATAATACAGGTTTCCTTTTTTTACTATTTAGTTTATTATTTCAATTTTATATATTCTTAGTCATGTATTGTCACGTGTCACGAAGATAATTGTACTAAAATGATCTATTATGGATGTATGTATTAAAAACATTTAAATAACAATGCGCACGTTTTGCTTATATTATGATGATAATAAATAAATAAAAATTCGTAGAAAGTAATATTTTCAATTTCGACATTAAACAAAATGATATCTGGACAGCTGAAGACATTTCAACATACGAGCAAATTGAGTGATTCGCGTTCAAGTACTCTAGTGGTAACAGAAAATATGTTATACCCAAAGTTTGGAATTCATATACCTATCAAAACTATACATGTAATATTTTTTTATGTTTCAACTACCTTTTAATAGACATTTCGTTGACGATATGAAAAGAAAGATTATTCAACATATTTTAACAATGCAATTGACGGTCTAATGACGCATAGCTTGTAAGGTTATAGTTGCTATATACTACCTAAAAACCGGAACACGAGACAAAACAAAATCATATAAGAAGCAAAGATAGTAATTAACAAATGATTAATTACACACAAATATCTCCACAAATATAACACTATGGTATTGTATACATTAAACAAGACGAAATATGATTATCAACATGTATTTAAAATCATAAAATATTACAGGTTAACAAATGTTCATTTAAGGCAGGTTTTAATGGTATATATGATTGCGGTCACTTCAAGTTTCGTCCTAGAAAGAATTTCTGTTTAGCTTAATCGGAAGAGTAACAAGCGGAAAGCTTGGGTTGGCTTGTACGACCCCAGGTGGAAGACTCTACTCTCTTTCTATAACAAATAGTGTCCATGACCCTCCCTGTGGTGTCAAAGAAATAGAACCTAGGTTAAATTGATGTTCGGGGACTAACACATTAAGAAAAAGAAAATGGTATTAGCTAATGGGGCAGGTCTTAATTACAGATACAGTTGCCTTCAAGCTTCGCCCAAGAGGGATTGTTTCAATATCCAGTGGAATCACACTCTTCTTGTCTAGCTACATATTTACAAAAAAATAACAAAGGTTAGGAACAACAACGAATAATATTATTTTAGTAAAACTGCAATCATCCTTGGAATCCCATTGGTTTAGCTCACTTCCGGTGAGAAGGTAAGTGAACGTAACACCCAGAATTTCGATAATGTAATGACTACAATATGCGTTAAGGTTCGCTTTCACAGCGTTTCCGGAAAATAGAGTCCCCAGGTTTGTTTGATGATAAATAATTAAAATATATATTTTTAAATTTGTTCTACCGGAATTTAAATACCGAAAGAAGATAAAAGTTACAGTTTAACTGTAGATAATATACAATGTAATAGATACCGAGTTTTGAATCAACAAAAGTATATTGAAACACACCTAGATTGTGACCTTACCTTCTATTCTGAAAGTTACTCCCCTAGGACAAGAGGTCGACGTCTCGTTAACACGTTAACAGTTGATCATAGGAGTTCTAATCATAAACTTTAACATTTGAGTTTCACTACCATGGTCTCCGAAATACAGTTTTAAGATAATGACTACCATATATCTTAAATCTGTATTTCAGATCCAACACTAAATATCCGGGTTGGTATGGGAAGTTTCAATATGGCGGCTGAATCAAAATGTAGATTTAGAATGCGCATGTCTATCACGTATCTAACAGCTACTAACCAATGTCACGTCACAATTACTATTTATAAGATCTCAAGTTAGAAACCTCTGGAAATTTCTTCATTTGGAGTTTGAAACTTGATGAACGTACATACTAAAAGGCATTTATATTTTCAACCTCAAAACATATCTGTACATGAGGTCAATTTTTATTAAAATATTGATTATCATAATTTGTGTTTTTGATTTATGACTAAAAGATAACCGGGATGGTGAGATGATAGTCAAACTCATTTTTATCTCGTGATGATAATTGTACTAACGTAAAAAAAAGCAACTAAGTATACGAATCCAACATATAATTAAGGAAAGTCTTTTTGTATTAGTCACTTCCACTTACGTTTATTTTTCAGAGAAGTGAACTGATGCCATTGCCATCAATAAGCACTTTCTTTTGTGATTATCTAGTCGTCGATAGTACTACATATATATATAGTCGCATAAGGAGGGTAAGTTGCAGTCAATGGCAGTGTTATCCAAATCAGGTCTTCAGGAAATTTTACAAATTCTACATATTTTCTAAAGTGAACCGTTTCATCTTTCCTTTGTCCTACTGATTGTTTCTTCAATTTTTGAACTCTTATTGTATTTTGAAGAAGAAAATAAAAGCCGAAAAATGCATCTTTATTCAACAGTAATTATACATCTTAAATTTGTAATTGATTTCGAAACGTTTTTGATATAGATATATAGCTTTTAGCTAATTGCGCATGCTCGTTGGAAAGCCAGTAATTTGTTCCGTATATGACGTGACGTCACAAACATTTACCACAAGGTCTACTAGGAACGTCTTGTTCATTCTAGTGTTTTCTCTGTAGTTCTGCATACCAGTCATTGATTGATTTAGATTTATTTCAATAATAGTTAATAAAATATATTGCGAAAAATAGAGAAAATAACTTCACTGTAGTTGTAATTCATGGATTGAAAACTTCTGGTTTGAAGAAATTAACATGAACTTATTAAACATGTAACGGGGTGAGAAAAGGAGCTTTTAGTTTAACCACTAGATCAACTTATTTTTAAATAATTACTAATAGGCATAATAATAAATCAAAATTAACAAAATTTCATAAGCCGATTAGTTTACTTTCACTTTTGCGTCAATTTGTTGTTAGTTTACGACTGCGAGTAGTGAGGTAAAAGCAGGCTTTAATATAGAGTGAACATAAGCACACACTGTGGTCACTTCTGGTAAATAGTCGTAGAGGGCGACTTAATCATGAGGAACAAAACTTTCTAGTTACTAGAGTAAGTGAAAATAAGTGAAACGTATGTGATTTGTTATAACTGGTGCATAAATATACAATTCATAATAAGAATATCATAAATAACAGGTCTAGAGCAGCTGCAATGTTCAGTTATTACGTTACTTAAACGATAAGTCATCATCAAAGAAACAGCTTTCATTATAATTTATACATATATCCCATTTAAATGATTTACAATGTATACATTTATAAAGCTTCTCAGGTTTTACTTTAAAACCCCGTTTCAGATTCTTTTAAAACAGGAAATAAAGAAACATATTTAAACATGTTGGTATCCATATATTTGTTTTATTTTCATGCTCTTTTGTGCTAATCCTTACAATAGCGTTTGTGCAGATTAAACATTATTCATCACGTTAGAGAAATTTATGTATAGCCTGAGAATAGTTGATGATTCGGATGAAATATAAACATTTAACATATTATTATATATTCGATTTTAAGTTTCAATAAACATAACCCAACAAATCATCTGATTGTATTTCTTCCTGATGTTATCTATAATGGAATCTTAAATGGGTTTGTGAAAGTATTATACTAATGCTTTGTTTTATTATCAATCATTTGAATTTATTCTACCTGAATGTATTTATCGAAAGAAGATAAAAGTTACAGTTAAAATGCAGGTACCGAGTTTTAATTCAATACAAGTATATCACATTAATCTTCTTTTTATTCAAGACTACATTTACCACCACCTGTAACATGTGACATCTCTTCTTGTCTTTCCGATTGAGAACAGTGCACGTAAAGTCATATGGACCTTTTGGTATCATGATGAAGTTAGAATGGAATGATTTCACTCACTGGTTGTCACGATTATTCATGTACTTTACTTCTATTTAGTAATTTGATATAAAATCACATTGTAATCGCTACCGTCATATGATATAAAGTGTTTTTATTAGTGGGTAATGTATAAAAATACTTTAACTCCTCATTTTAAAGCTTTTCATTCTGAGTATCATTTAGGGGCAAGAAATGGAGGATTCGTTGGTAGCAGGTAATTTGCAGAAAAGGATGCGATCTTTTTGCACAACAGAAACATATATTTTGAACATTAAGGACGGTATGCAAGGCAATTACTTACAAACAACCTTCAGGATAATGTTTTAGAAACAGTCTTCAAACTGATACGCATACACCTCATGTTTTTGTTTTAAGCTTCAATTTTGATTTTCAATCGTAACAAAATAAAATGACTGGCTCTGTAATTAAAGACATACAAACAAATAATCTTACGGGGAACTCCACTGATAATTAAAGATAATATACTTAGCATATTTAGTATGATTATATGAAAATACATAGAATATATATATATATTTTTAAAAGTTAAACAGAATTACAAATATTAATAAATGTGTTCAACCAATGTGAAATTGAACGCTAATGCATGCATACTGCCTATGATTGGGTAAAATTGTGATAATAAATGTGATATGACAAAAAAGATGTAGTTTCCAAACCGGTCATTATATTTAATTGTAGACATATGCAGGAAGTGCGCATGCGCTTAAGCTCTGATCAGAGTTTACTCAAATCACCAGGACATATGTTACTTAGTTAATATATTTGGACTTAATCTTGTCAATATTGAAAGAGATTTGAAATCCTGCGGTTAATGTGAAATGTAAAACTACACGATCTGTCAAGTTTCGCTTTCATTCTGTTTCTGTGAACACGAACAAGTGTAACCAGGATCAAACTCCACATCATGTGTTATCGACATACCGGTATGTAAGTTATTAAATGTTGACGAAAACAGACGGGATCAGACCACATGCACCTGTAATATAATCATGGTTGCTAACTCTGTCTCCCTAGTGAAATGACCCAGTTCCAGAAAATATGCGATTTTGTTATAACCGTTCACAATATGACGCCGGGAGCAGTCTAGATCGACAGGAAAATATTTATTCTTTAATTTGATGTATGATTTGACATATATATCATGTGGTGTATTTTTTGCAGACTATATGAAACATCGTTAAATGGTCGAATTGCAGTTGGTCGGACACTGTGCTGTCCCCGGGAAGACACGCTTAACCCCTAGTGGGTAGCGCAAACCACACGGCATGTACGCTATTCAATGTCAGTACAGTGTTTCTATAGTAGGAAACAAACTTACTTGTTTGATATGTCATGCCCTTACATTATCATGTCGGACTTTTGTGACATCGGCGCTGATAGGTCCGTTAACTTTAGAAGCCAATAAGCGTGGAGATCACAAAAGTTTGAGAAAATGGCAGTGTCTGTTCAGATTTCCTATCGTCAGCCTGACAAGCTTGAAAACTAGAATCGGGTGTCCGACATGATAATGAATAGAATATGCGTTCAGTTTCGCTTTTACAGTATTTCCGGGAACTCATGTCACCAGCATAAAAATGATAGATTTGGAATGTTCAGGTGCTGTTGCACCATTAATGCTTTATGATGAAAGGGTGTGATATAATCCACAACATTGATTAGAAAAGCATGTTACCTCCTATAAGAAAATTTAAATATGTAGGTATCCATATATTTGGTTAATTTTTTAATATACGAAAACTGCGCATGCGTTCATACTCTTTAGGATTAATCCTTACAGTTGCGCTTGCGCAGATTATACATTTTTCAACACGTTAAACAAATTTAAGAAATAGTTAATGATTCGGGTGAAATATAAAGATTTTTTACATCATTTTATACTTGATTTTAAATTCTAAACAAACAGTAACCAACTAATCATCTGATTATATTCCTTCCTTGGCGTTATCTGTAATGGAATCTCAAATGGGTTTGTGAAAGTATTATACTCATGTGTTTGTTTGATTATGATTTGTTCTACCGGAATTTAAATATCGAAAGAAGATAAAAGTTACAGTTTAACTGTAGATAATATACAATGTAATAGATACCGAGTTTTGAATCAACAAAAGTATATTGAAACACACCTAGATTGTGACCTTACCTTCTATTCTGAAAGTTACTCCCCTAGGACAAGAGGTCGACGTCTCGTTAACACGTTAACAGTTGATCATAGGAGTTCTAATCATAAACTTTAACATTTGAGTTTCACTACCATGGTCTCCGAAATACAGTTTTAAGATAATGACTACCATATATCTTAAATCTGTATTTCAGATCCAACACTAAATATCCGGGTTGGTATGGGAAGTTTCAATATGGCGGCTGAATCAAAATGTAGATTTAGAATGCGCATGTCTATCACGTATCTAACAGCTACTAACCAATGTCACGTCACAATTACTATTTATAAGATCTCAAGTTAGAAACCTCTGGAAATTTCTTCATTTGGAGTTTGAAACTTGATGAACGTACATACTAAAAGGCATTTATATTTTCAACCTCAAAACATATCTGTACATGAGGTCAATTTTTATTAAAATATTGATTATCATAATTTGTGTTTTTGATTTATGACTAAAAGATAACCGGGATGGTGAGATGATAGTCAAACTCATTTTTACCTCGTGGTTATAATTGTACTTACGTAAGAAAAGAAGCAACTAAGTATACGAATCCAACATATAATTAAGGAAAGTATTCTTGTATTAGTCACTTTTACTTTCGTTTATTTTTCAGAGACGTGAACTGATGCCATTGCCATCAATAAGCACTTTCTTTTGTGATTATCTAGTCGTCGATAGTACTACATATATATAGAGTCTCATAAGGAGGGTAAGTTGCAGTC